TTTAGAAGTTCCTTTCTTAGGTATCCTCTGTATATCAACACTGGGATGCCAGTTGATTGTGGAGTATTTTCAGAACAGAAATTCTTGTGACATCTATAATTGTTTAACTTGGCTTTCAATTGGGCAGCTTTGTTTTGGCATGCAGTCAATACCCATTTAAATTGGATGAAGCAAGAGCACATAGGAGATCTTAGAATCATGGGCTTCGCTCGAGAAAATAAAAGTAAAGGAGGAATGTTACCATGTGCTTTGAAATGGTTTCAACAAAGAGTATCCAATTATTCCACCTTGCTGATTTTGTTGTGTAAGCACCCCCACTCCTTGTGCAAGAGTTTTATCATTTCTAGAACAACCAAAAACAAGCATTTTCACCTACTTCAGAGCTTCCCCTGCAAAGCATTAAAATCTCCCTTGTATAAGCAGTGGGTCCCTCACATGCAATGCAATTTACAGGATCCACTGCTTGTGGGAAGGGAATTGAGGTGAAAAAATTAGTGGAGATGGATGTATCCCACTGGATTCTGGCCAAAGTTGAATATCAGTGGACTAGAACTCATATTGGAACCTATCATCTACTAGCCTAAAGACAACAGTGGAGCATGTATTGGTATCTCTAAAATTAAGGAGCCATGTATTGTAACTGACAAATGGAGGCCAATTTTGGTAGTAACTGGCAATATATACTCTACCCCTAAATTGCAAAATTTGTAAAAAAATGGAAATAACTACAAACTGAAGCACGTATACTAAGAACTATGTCAATTGTATTCAGTGAATCTCTACGTCCTAAAATGTGTGTTAAGGATTACAGCTGAAGAAAAATTATACATTAAATATATGATGTTTTGGTGTTAGTCCCTTCTAGTAGTGTGAGTTAGTGTGTGGTATGCAAGTTCTCCTAAGTGGCAAAACAAGAAATAAGTAAACCCACATTCTGCAAAAAGTGGGTGTAAAGTCATTCTTTGCCAGCAGGTGGGTGGAGCTGTTGCTTTATTTGCTGTAAATGCGTATCTGAAGCAACAGCAACCTTATGGGTTGTGAACAAGTTGAGTTTTGTTCCTTGAGGCCTGTGTTATTTAAGCCTTCACAAGGTGGCATACATATAAAATACTAACATTAAATATAAATTATAAACATACCTTAAAGTTTTGAACAAGCTTTAAAATAAGGTAATTAAAATTAAATGTCAAATATCTAATGGCAGTAAACACAATAAAACCTTATTAGTTCAAAGCCAAAGAGAACAGGTATGTTTTTACAGCCTTCTTAAAAACAGATGCTTGTCACTTTAAAGAGGAAAATCCACAGGGTAGAGGCAACCACTGAGGAAGCTCCCTTTGGTCTGCTAACCTAACTGACCTCTGTGGTGGGTCAATAAGTAGTGCTTCTCAAGATAATCTTAAATACATGGGCAGGTTCATGTGGTTTTAGCTGGTCCTTCAAATAACTTTGAACTATTACAGTTTAAATTATTCTCATTCAAATAAAAATACAGTAATTATACATATCAAGTACCTTTTCGCTTAATTAACTGTTGATAGTGAAGGCAGTTCAAAAAGTTGTACTATTTTTATCAGGTGTTCACTTTAACTTTTTTTTTCTCTTCCACCATGTTAATCATTACTAGTATTTCCACACGAATAACTTTTACATCCAAATGTATGTAATTGGTTTTGAAGTAGTCTAACTTTATTAATTTTGCTCTTTGTGCTCTTCACACAATGCATTTTTCTTAGGCTCATTGTATCTTTCTGGCTATAGAAAGATAATAACCAAGAAAATGTTGATCAGGAAGCAGAAAATATTTTACTTATATACTCATTCAGCTAAAATTCACAAGCTTTTGCACATGTTAACATATTTGGTTCTTATCTGTGGTTTCTGTACAGATGTACACACATGGGAAAGCCTGAATTTGTACAGTAGCCTTTTCAGAATACTTCAAAGCTAAAATATAGTGAGTTTTGACAGCAGGGTAGGCTCCTCAGCTGTAATGAGGAGATATGTCCAAATGGCTGGATCTTATTCTTTGATGTCTCCCCTTATTCTTTGATGACCACAGCAAAAGCTCATTTTCTTGATGTATGCACTGAACTACGCCTATCTTTTTCCCCCCAACCATTTTTCTTGTCTGTTGAATGTCTTTCCCTGTTAATTTACATTTTATTTTAAATGACCTCAGGCAGCCTAAGTAGTGAGAAAGACAGAAAGTTCTTTGAAAAAAAATGATAAAAATGAAACATATGTGGACACATCAGAAGGCAAGACTCACTGGACAAAATGCTAGGAAAAGCAGAAGGGTAAAGGGAAACCATGAGATAATTATGATACTGCATTTATATATCACCTTTTTTCTTAGAGAGGAACCTAAGGCAGCTTTCATAGCTTTCCATTCCATTTTTATCTTAACAACAACCACCTCTGAGGTCAGTGAGGCTAAGAGTGTGTGACTGGCCCAAAGTCATCTAGTGAGCTTCAAGACCAAGTGGGGACTAGAACTCAGATCTCCCAGATCCCTAATCAAATACTAACCACCACACCACATTCAGATTAATTGCATAAGGAAGTCACAGCCTGAAGTTTACAAAAACTGATTAGGGCTGTCAAGGAACTAATATGAGATCCTGGATCTAAAGCCTACTCCAATCTCCCCAGAAAAAGGACTGGAAATTTGCCATAATCTGATTATTCTTTTCCCAGGACAACTTGTAACCTACTACCTATCATTCCAGTCTCAACTTGGTATAGTCCAACTTCTGGGTTTAATCACACACAAAATAATGGAGGAAAAGACTAGAGCAGGAAAACAAACTCAACTCTTAACACAAGAATAGTCACAGCTTTGGCTGAACTGTGTCTGTTGTGAAGTAAGTATTGACATCATCAGAAAAATGGAGTGGCCAGACTTCTGGTCCTTGCACCTTTCAAAGCTGGATGAGAATCTGAAGAGGAATAGCTGCTGTTGATTCAATCCCTACACTTGGTAACATCATGTGCCTGTCACATTATGATGAAAATCCACACTGGAAAGGCACAACTACTCTGCCAAAATGAAACAGTAGCGTTTCCTACTGCTTATGGCTGTTGCTCTAGGTTTTACCTGTACTACGATTTGGGTCAAGAACATTTTGGAAATCTGCCCATGGATGCAACTGAAACAATAGTTTCTACAGTGATATTTATGATTGCCATCTCCTAGGTGCTCTTGAGTCTATGTGCTTCATCCTATTATGCACAAGGACCAAGTTAGCTATTATGTCAAGGGTCCCCAACCTTTCTGAAAAAGTGCTTTGAGTATCACCCCGAATAATATGGCTAGTCACATAATGGCTGACATGGATAATCAAAAGTGAGTTACAGAAATGGGGAGGGAAGTGAAGAGACATAGGCTTGAACTAGAAAGCAGGAGGAAACAGCAAAGCAATGGGGGAGAGAAAGAGCAAGGCTACGGCCTGGGAGGGAAAGAGACAGAAAGCTAAAGAGGTGAGGGAAAAAATAAAAAGGTAGAACCTGGGAGGGAGAAACAGTAAGGAAAAGGACCAGAGAAAGAGCAAGTCTAGTGGTGAAGGCTTAGAACCAGTGAACTAAAGAGGTGTGGAGGATACAGTGTGGCTGGAAAGTGAGAGAAAGACTATTTAAATTGCTATTGCCAAACCCATCTTTGCTTAGGTAAGGAAGAATATTAAAGGGTATATGCAGTGCCCTGTTCTTAACCATGAATGGATATTCTCCTTGCCCCCATGTGTACTTCCCCATCTAGGCTCACTATTTTGGAGTGGGGCAGTAAGATGTACATATTGTCTCTAAAAATAGCCCACTTATCTCCAGTGCTAATGTTTTGACAGATACACAGTTTTGAGAATACCATGTTTTCTTTCCATCACACCTAGCTTTCCAAATGTGGAATTAAATTCTTGCGCAGCTATAACTTTATCCTTGCGAACTTTAAGAAGTCTTTGTTTCTCAGAGTTCTATCTGCATAAACTGAAGAAATGACCTGTTCCACAACCTTTATTTATAGAATTATTTCTATCCTTTCTTTCAATAGAAAATGTCTGACAAGGAAAGTAGCACAATATTAAACACATCAGAAATACTAGTAAACACTAGTATGTACCATTAAGTTAAAAATACAACGAAATCATGCTGATAAAAACAACAAAAACATTTAGTACACAATTTGGTTTACTTACAAATTCTATGTACATTTAAACAATAACAAAAGTCCTGTAACTGCCAACATGGCTACCTAGGGCTTTTTCTGTTGTTGTATGCCTTTTTTCTGTCTAGATATTTATTTTATGTATATCCCGCCTTTTTTAAGAGATCAATACAACTTGCATGATTCTCCTGCTCTCAATTTCATTCTCACAACAACCCTGTGAGGAAGGTTGGGCTGTTTGTCTGTGGCCCAAAGTCACCCAGCTGGCTCCATGGCTGAGCAAGGACTAGAACCCAGATCGCCTGAGTCCCAAACCTAACCATTCTTAACTACTACGCTAGTATTCTCACTGAAGAAATTATAATCATTTTGCACTTTTGTAGACGCAGTTCAGCCCCTTTAGAGTTTCTTACGCTGCAATCCGAAATGCACTTGCTAGGGGCTAAGCCCACTGAATACAGGAGGATTTATTTCTGAGGCAACATGAGTAGGATTGGGCCATCCGTTTCTCCGCTTGGGAAAAAACTCCTTGCCACCCTTACCCGGCTGAGGGCTTCCGCGTCTTTCCATAGCTACAAGGCTGCTTCAGCTGCAACGCAACAGGGAAGCCGTTCCTCAGTATGGTGATATAAGTAACGCTGGTAAATTCCTGACTGCCGTGCCGTTGTTAAACGGCACAAGAGCCCTGCTGGGCGAAAACCCTTAAAAAAGCCCAATTTTCACACAGGCAGAGCAGAGGCGAGGCGACACCTCAGCCCCACCTACTTCCTCCCGTTCCTCCCGAGCGGCTTTCTTCCTCCGCCTCAAAACCAACGGGAAGGCAGCACTGCCGGGACGCCTTTTTTCCTCACACGTCGCTAGGAAAGCGCCCCCTCCCCTCCCGCGCGGAACAAGATGGCCGCCGCGCGCCGTGCCCAGAATGCTCCGCGGGCCGCCGAGTAGCCGGGCTCCGCTTCCGGGTTTGAGCTCCGAGCTGGGGAGAGCGGGAGTGGCGGCCTCGACTTGGTCGGGCTTGCTAGGCGGGCCAGAGCCGGACGGGCCCTTATGTGAGAGGAAGGGGGAAAGGAGAGCCCTGGTCGGTCGCCTGCCCTCGGAGGACCATGAGGCTTCGGATCCGCTCGAGCTCCCGAGTGCTTCCCGCCCTTCTCCTGTTGGTGTTTGGGGCTCCCGAGCCGGCGGCGCTGAGTCCCCCGCCTCAGTCTCCCCTTCATCCCGCCCTACAGCACCGGGGTAGGCATCGGCCGCCGCAGTATGGTGAGTCCTGTGAGAGAAAACGGAAGGCAGGCTGGTCTAGACACGTCCGGGTTGCGGAAGGGAAGGGTGCCTCAGCAAGAGGTTGCCGTTCTTTTTTCTCCACTGATGGAGTTAATCATAGTAGTAGTAATAGTGATAACGATGATGTAGCTACCAAAGGCATATGTTCAGGATGTGGGCTAGGAAGGGGATAGCTGGGATGCCCTTCGGGTCTGCTCATGGAACTGGAGTATAAAAGACAGACCAGTGAGAGAGGGGAGCGTTTTGTCTGCCCATGTGTTTGCGTCGGGGGGTTGGAAGCCAGATTAATAGGTATTTGTTGACTGTACAACTCTGTGCGTGCCTTTTCAGGAGTAAGCCCCGGTGAATTAAGGGAAGTTTACTCCCCGATACGTGTGTGCCAGATTGAAGCCTGAGTCTTAACTCCAAAACGTCTTGTGGTACTTTAAAGAATAACGTATACATTCCAGTATAAGCTTTGTGGCCCGTTTATGCTAGACTAAACTGTTGATCTTTTAAAGTTCCACACGACTTGGTTGTTTTTGTTGCATAAACTAACAGGGCTGCTGGAATGTCTTAAGTCTTTCAGTCATCCGTAGTGACTGATGAGTAGGTTGAAAACTCTGTAAATGGTACATTCTGGGGGTAGGCAATCCAGTGACTTCCAGGCGTTTTGGACTACAGTTATTGTGATCCCTGCCAATTGGTCATGCTGGCTGGGTTATGGGATTTGTAATCCAAAGTAGCTGAGGGATGGGAAAGAGGAGTACTTTACTTTGCACCTTATTTCAGATCTTAACCTGTGCTGGTACATATTGCTGGTGGGAATAGAAGGAAAAGAAGAAAGCACAGTACTAATTTTCTAGGAAGTCTTGATTAATGCTAGCAATAGGGTATAGTGAAGTCCAGTTTGTCTTGAGGCTCTGTGGGAGGATACATTTATTTCTGATCTTTGAGTGGAATCTTGTTTTATATGTTAAGGAGCTACTGAAGGGTTGCTTTCTGCATTTAATTTTCTTTTGACTTTACTGTTTATCATACTCCTCCCTGCCAAACACACCGCCATATGTACTGTCTAAAAATCTGAAATGTTCCATAACACTCCATGCATCTGAAGAAGTGGATAATAGTCTACAACAGCTTGTACTGAAATACATTTGTTAGTTTTTAAGGTGGCACATGACAAAAAAAAAATCCCAGAGAAAGGATATGCAAAAGCATCTGTCCCCAACATGCTAAGTAATATTAATATTACTACACTGCAAATTCTGGCTTTCCTCCTCTAGCAAGGAATCCAAGGCAGTTTACAAGGCTCATATCTTCTCTGTTCTGTCCTCACAACAACAACACTTTTGAGACAGATTAGGCTGAGAGGAAGTGATTGGCCCAAAGTCACTCAATGGGTTTCACGGCTGACTGGGGACTTAGATTTCCTGAGTCCCAGTCCAACACTTAACCACTATGCCACACTGGCTCTCGTAATGTTTTTTGCACAGGCAGATAGCATCTAAACATTATATTTCTCCACTTGCAGTCAGAAGTGGTCCAGTCAATCTGTGTCCCTTGAGTATTTGCAGTGAGTATTTGCAGTGCAGTTCAGCTCTAATAAATTTGAGCCCTTTCAATTTGGGAATTCTATTACATTCACTTCCTTTTTAGAATAACCTTATTTTTGTCATAAGAATAGAATAATCTCCCCTGTTAATGCCTACTAATTAGGAACTTAAGTGTCTAAATAATATTTAAAAGTCATCAATTTTATTCTCATTGGAGCCCAAGAAGCATGAATAGATAAAGTATATTGTTATGCTGGAAAGTCATGGCAGAACCAGGAACTGAAACCAGACACTCCACACCCCATTCCAAAGATATTTCTTTAAGTAATCAGTTATCAAAATCTACATCTATAAGTACTAGTTCCTTCCTTGCCTCAAAACAGGTATACAGTCCAGACCACTAGATAGATTTTTTTTTAATTTACTGAACATATGTAGATGACTTATTCAACTTATCCTCATATCCCAGCTTTGCCTAACATTCTGATTGGCAACAGCTTTTCAGAGCCTCAGGGGAGGTCTTTCTCAGCCCTGCTACCCAAGATATAATCAGAGCCACCAGGAACTGAGGACTATGCAACACTTCTCCACTGAGCAACATGTAGCTGTGAAAAAACCTGCCCTTTGTTACTCAACCAGGGATTAACACCATATTTCACTTCCCTGAATATCTCATAGGTTATGGATGCATGGTGACAGTTGACCCATCATGTCTGCTGACTTCTGCAGTCTGTTTCCTACATGTCCTGTGGTTTCAATGCAAGCAATTACTATATGCCATGAGTGTCATCTGCAACTATAGCGCTTGAAGTTTTTGCTAAGCTTCACAGTGGGTTCTCTCTTGAACTTTGAATAGTTTTAAAAGAAATACTATGCAATTAAAATATTAAACAATGCAAAGGAGTACAAGCAAAGCAGTTATGCTTGCAACAATAATCTAATTTAAAATATTGCTGGTAATAAAGTTGTATTAAATTTAGAGCATTTTCTTTTCTCTTCCCTCCCCTCATTTTGTCCAGCTGTTACATTCTGAGAATATTAGTTTCTGTTAAAAGTGATTTAAACTTTATGGTTGCAATAAGAAGCCTATAAATGTCCTGTCAAGAAATGATGAGCACAGAAAAGCAAAAATGAAAAAAATAAAAATCTAAAACTATTTTAACATGGTACTATTTCATTTAATTATGCAATATGTTATGATACATATTAGTAATTTTAAAAGCAAATAAAACATTTTTGTGAATGCCACCCTCTTAGCCAGCATGGATCTTTTCATGTTGACTGGGGCCCTGAAGATGGAAGACTGCTGTAACATGAACTAGCTTCCCAGGCTCCAGAAGGCAGGGAAAGAGTTAATCCAAGAATTAACAAAATGCTGGAAATAATGGGTGCCAGCCTGGTGGGAATCAGGTGCCCAAGGCCTTTTGGAGACTTCATCCTTCCTCTTCTGTTAGGGAACTGAGAACTCTCCAAACTGGCCTCAAGGATGCAAAGACTGCACCTTGAGCTAATGGCTGGATCCTGGCGATTATGAGTTGGGCCGTCCCCCCAAGGGTGGCAGACAGGGCAGAATAAAGCCCAAAGAGCTGAGCAGCCTTTTGTTTCTCTCTTGGGGGAGAGGTTTTGTTCTGCTGCAGTTCCTCTGCATTGAAGACTGTTATGGCATCCTGCATGTGCTGTGCTGTTAGAAGGCAGAGTTACTGTGTCTAGGCTAGGGTAGTTGTTTATTTTCTTGTCTACATGGGCCAGCAAGGCCTGGGAATGGGGTTTCCTGGTTGACTAACTTTCTTTGCTGTTGCTGCCCAAATCCCCTTTCTCCTTCCTTGTTTTTATCCTTTTAAATTGTATGTTTTGGAACTTCCACCACTATTTTTAACCTTTTAATAAAGCTCTTTCCCCAAGCTTGAGTTTGTCGTGTGCTGAATCCAGTGTCTGCTCTAGGGTTCTTGGACTGGGGAATTACTGGGCAGAATTTGGCCCAGTTTGCCAAGGGAGTGGGTAATCCTGGCTGGCTTTCTGTTATAGTTTGCCTCCAGGACAGGTGTTCGGGGGAGAGGTTCTAAGGGGTGGTGAGGTACCCCCACCTTTTGCCCAGGCAAGGCAGTGCCTTAGCCTTTCCTCTTTGTGAGGAGGGGGAAAACATTTAGATGGGCAAAACTGGTAATCTGGATGTTTTTGAGCATGAGGGGAGTGGAGAGGAAATTCTTGCCTCCATGTTGCTCCTATGCTCAGTTGGACACTTATGGAATGCGCTCCCCAGAGAGGTCCGCCTGGCGCCGTTGTTATTTGTTTTTCGGCGCCAGGTGAAGACCTTTTTATTTAAGCAGTATTTTAAATGTTAATATTATTGAATTTTATCTGGCCAGGGCGGCTTGTTTTATATTGTATGTTTTATATCGTATATTTGTATTTTAATGTATATATTTTAAAATGTTATTTTAATTTATTGTTGTAAGCCGCCCCGAGGCTTCGGCGAATGGGGTGGCATAAAAATGTTTTAATAAATAAATAAATAAATAAATAAATAAATAAAATCTGTGTTCAGAAGGGTATGAACAGCCACAGGCACAGTGTTTGCGCCTGTCCAGCTAGGAACATTAAGCACATGGAAGGTGGATGGAAAACCATAGGCTTAAATTGATCTTATGCATGCTGTTTGTTTATTTTAAGTTGTATTATCCTGCTTCTTAAAGAGGATCTGGAAAAGACTTACATGCAATCTGTTAAACAAAGCAATTTCAGTCACAAGCTTATAATCTAAAAAGATACAACGCACTCATTCAAATGCATGTGCACACGGGCATGTAATTGCGTGTGCACACACAGGAATGCAAAATAAGGGAAAAATAATGGTTTTATGGAATGGTCCTGCTTCCCCTCTTATCTTCATCTGTGCACTTTACTGGAAAGACAGTTGTCCTTCCCTGCTATGAACTGAGGCCAAGGCTGGTGCAGTATCTGCTACAGAATGAGTCAGAAGGTCACACTGCTTCTCTCTATTTTCTCCCTGCACCAGGTTATGATTGTGTTAGAGGCAGCAGCCACCTGCCTCCATGACAACAATGATGGCAGTCATCAGCTTCCCTCCTCCATCACCTCCCCCACCCCCCACCCAGCTGCAGCCTTCTTGGAGAACCCCCTGAGCACTAGGATAATGGCAGTGGTGCCTGTCCACTTCTCCATTCCTGATTTTGCTGTTAATGACAGTGGTAGCTTCTGCTACTCATCCTCCTCTTCCCTTGCCTGTGATAATGATGGCCATGGTGCCCATCTGTTGTCCTCCCCACACCATTGCTGGGCCTGTCCCCTCCCCTCCCCCCCCCCCCCGGCTATGATCACTTGCTCTCCTCCTCCTGTCTTTCTGTCATGCTAGACAGTGGTGGCTGCCCTTATGGAGAGCATGGTAGGTTTCTCTACTTCCTTGATGCCTCTCTTGAGAGGTCTTTCTGTACAGCTAAACAATAGTGGGGAGGTGGCCTTACCTCCTTGCCAGTGCTTCATTCTAAGGACCCTTCACAATGAGGCATTTGGTCTGGGACCCCTGGAAACCTGTGCTGGCCACTCTCCTGATTGGCAGGCAGAGCCTGTCCACTTGATGCCACTTGAGAGGGCTCCTCAAAGGCGTTGGGAGAGTGCCCGCCAAGAAGGATGTGCCAACCAGCTGTTTCTGCTCTAACAGGAAACTAACCACCATGGTGTTTTCAAATGTTGGGCAAGGCATTCAATTCTCCTAGTTGCAAAATCTACCACCTTTTGGGATGTGTCCCCTGAGTCAGGCGTTCATGCTGTGTCATGAGAGAGATGGCCCTGGTTGAGGCTGTGGATTCTTCAAAAGGTTAATGTTTTGATGATCACATGTTAAGGAGGAAAAGCTGACCAGATTTGGTATCTTCTGCCAGTGTGTGTTGTTTTAGCAATTTTGAAAGGGTTTCTGGGTGTGTATGCATTTGGATTGGATTGACTGTTTCAAATAACAATAATTTAGCTAAGCCTTGTAGCCAGCCTCTCATCTTTTGGAGAATTCTAGTTTCTTGCCAGAACTATGGGCTACATAGATATGTGTGGATGTGAGGACTGATAAACTTTCTGTTCTTATTAACTGGAGTAATACTCAATTCATTTGAACAGGATAGCTGATTTTTGTACTGAGAATGTTAATCAGATACTAGTCTAAGTATTAGCACATTACTTAATTAGCAATCGATCAACCAGGCATATTAACATGTTGGGAAGAGAATTCTTAGAAAGATGAATGGAAGATGCTGAATCCTTGCACATGTAATTTGAAGAATTACATTTTAGGGGTGGGGTTACCAAACATTCTTGGTCTTATTCACAGTTGCTTGCCTATACTACATCAAAATAATGCATACCCATACACCAGTGAAAGACTGGAAACATTTAGTTTTATTTTTCCCTTGCTTGTGATGATTTACTAATAGAATTGTGAGAAAAACAGATATATTACATCTTACGTAATAATAAATACTATAAATTAGAATATTTTCCCTTGGTAACGTATCCTTTTTCTTTGGCTCACTTGGCTCTTGAAAATAGCATTTCCTTAGCATAATATGTGAGCCCTACATACACCTGTTTTTCATGGATAAGTATGAAAAAGAACATTAAATCTTCCTCCTCCTGCTACTTTTATACTTGGAGAAGTGCTAATTTGAATGCAAACATTAATTGTGGGAATGAATGTAGTAGAAAGTTATATTTAAAGCATTTGGTCCTTTTCTATAGCACATTCTGTTAGTTTACTGCTTTTTTGTAGCACTTATGTGACTGGGATTATGAAACGCAACTAAATTATTGCCCTGCTTACAGATAATGGAAACTCATGGACTTGTATCCAGTACTATCCACCAGAGGAATGAAAACCCCTGGTGGAGCAGATTGGCCCTCTTCCTGCACACCCTGAAAATTGTACTGGAGGATCTCCTATCCCAGCCTCTCAGAGCATATTGGGGTGGAGGATGTGAGGCAGGGGAGTGGGAGGAAAGGAAGGCAAGCAGCCCACTCTGGCTGGTTCATGTAGTGGGGAAACTGTGGTCTCCTGTTATGACTAACTGACCTGCGTTCTCTTCTTCCAGCTGTTCTGTTTGTTTCATTTTCAAATATATGTGTATATTCTTTTTTCCAGAGAGGCTGGAATCTGTTCTTTCAGATTATGATATTCTTTCCATGTCCAACATCCAACAGCACTCAATAAGAAAAAGAGATCTACAACCAGAATCTCATGTAGAAAGACTTCTAAGTTTTTCAGCACTGCATAGGTAATGCTGTGATACTGTTTATCCTTAAATACATGATTTCTAAAATGTTTTATTACTGGTTTTAATCATTATGACACTCTCTTTGTGTTAATGTGATTTTCTCAGCCCCATTTAATTTCAATATTGTGTTTCTTTTTGCAGTGTTGTCTTGCCTGTTGGCTAAACAAATGTATTCTGAATTTCCTTAGAGATAAATATATACAGTGACCCAAAGAGATATACTTGAACTTGCATTGTTTCATGCTTACCAGTCCTTATGCCCCCTCCCCTTTTTATTTTGGAGAAGATAGGAATGAAGTTGTAGAACAGGGGTCCTCAAACATTTTAAACGGGGGGCCAGTTCACTCTCCTTCAGACTGTTGCAGGACTGGACTATAGTTTAAAAAAAAATTAAAATTCCTATGCACACTGCACATTAAAATTAATTAAAATTAAAATAAATTTTAAAGTAGTTAAAATTTAATTATATTAAATTAATTAAAATTTTAAAAATTAATTAAAAATGTTTGCTCTGCTCACTTGGGCTGCAGCAGAAGCCCAAGATGAGGTGGGGAAGAGCATGTTCATATTCAAGGGACATAGCTACAATGTCCACAATTGTGCTGGGGGGGGATGGGCGCAATTGTGCTGTGGGGAGGAGAAGGACGTGATCGCACTCGTGCAGGGAAGATGGGTGTGATTGCAGGTGCGCTTCTGCAGGGAAGGCAGGCACGATCGGGGTCATGCTGGGGCGGGGGGTGGCCACAATCCCTGCACAAGTGTACCCACAATCGCAGCCATCTCCCCACTGAGTACGCCTGCGCCGGCTCAGAGCTTTTGAACTCGCTCGGAGATCATTTTCTCTGAGCGAGTCCAAAACCTTTGAGTCGGGCCGGGCCGGATAAATAGGCATGGCGGGCCAGATTTGGCCCACGGGCCGTAGTTTGTCCACCATGCTGTAGAGTGTAGGTGGATCATTTAGAAGAAGGGTGCAGAACCTCTTTCAGGCAGAGGACAGAGAAGCTTTCAGCTTTGGGTAAGACCAAAAGGGAAAAAAGGCTCCAAAAATACAGGCATGTGTTAGTTTAACCCTCTGGAATTTGGAGGTGGTGGGGTTGTATAAAAGTTGGGACACAATCCAACAGTAGGGGGCAGCACTTTCTGGAGAAACTTAGAGGGTAGACTTGGCCCCTGGGCCTAAGGTAGTTCGAAACAGGTACTTTGAAACATTGTTTATGTTCAGCCATAATCCCTGATGCATAAGCCAAAAGCTGTTTACGTTCCATGGGCCTGACATAGAAGGAACTTAGAAGTCATTTTGTCTTGCCAGTATTCACTGCAGAAAAGCCTGACAAAATGTTGTTTTCAAAACATATAGACATTTCCGAGTTGTGGAACTTGATTTGTCAGTTGAACTGCATTAACCATGCAATGCATTGAATTCAATTTAGGCAAGTACAGTAGAAGTGTTAGAAGTTGAATCCCCTCCCCCACAGTGGTTCATCCTAGGCCCTTGAAAATAATATACAGGTATTTCCCAGGTTAAGTACAGGCTCCATCCTGAGAATATTCTTAAGCTGAATTTGTATGTAAGTTGGATCACATGAATAAACCAAATACATGTCTTAATATATGCATATATTTTACCTTTCTGTGTGTATAGAACAAGAAACACTTCCATAGTCACTAAAACATCTTAAACACTAACAGCATTGTAACAACAACCTTGGCTCAAATATACCAGGGGGACAGCTCAACATTAAAAGAATCTCAGTCTCTTCATTAGAACATTTCTTTGCTAAATCTTAGATATTAAATTTCAGTTTTTCATAAGAAAACTCAAAACTAAAATCTTGTGTTAATAAAAACGAATGTATTAAGACTCACAGCAGTTCAAGCATATATCTGTCTGTCTGTCTGTCTGTCTATCTATCTATCTATCTATCTATCTATCTATCCTTGGCAGCACACTGACTGGCCATGCAAAAGCTCGGATGAGTCGTGGCTAATGAGTTGCGGTTCATGACATCATCGCCTGGTGCCACTACGCCTTTCCGAGCATGTTCATGGCCCCTTTGTGTGCTGTTATCCGATGCTCAGTTGCAGGGGCGATGCTGGGGTGACTTGCCTCATGTGGCTACAGAGCGGGCTCTGTGTGCCCACTGTGGCACACGTGCCATAAGTTCACCACCACTGGCTGTGACTATCTCTAGAGAAAATCCATGAATATTTCTAGCGAATCTCTTTCTCTAGTGAAAATTTGTGAATATTTCTAGGGAACTATGCAGCCACTGATGAACATCACCAAATGCAACATGCAGTTCCCTAGAGTTATTCATAGTTTTTTGAAGCGCTATTCATATAGAGTTTATGGCGGTCCACATGTTTGTAAGTATGGGTTGTTCGTTACCCAGATGTTCATAACCTGGGGACTACTAGTACAGGGTGTTGGGGAATCCTGCTGAGTAGGCTAGGCTATATTGCAACATCACTGAAGGGGAAATAAACTTCCCTACAAGTTAGGCAGAAGCACCTTGCTACCCCATTTCTCTGAGTTGGGTCATTCAACATTTTACTGAGAGTTAGTTTACACAGGCAAAGTCATATCATGCCAGGTGCCCCTAGGTGCCTTGCTTGTCCTGTCATGTGAACTCAAGTGACGGGGTTTGCCTAAGGTTTAGATGATCCTTGAAGGACCCTAAAACAAAGGACTCCATGGATCATTGGAGGTTTCTCTTAATTCTCAATAACCTGTGCCATCCAGGTTCATAAAGCAGAACAGCCCATGGCACCATGCAAAAATGTCACCTGTTGGTGGCTGATGCAATACGACAGCCCCCACAGAGAAAGTAGACCACAATGGGTAGTTGTGTCATGCAAACAGGTTTCTGTGCAGCATTTTTGGGAGTCTTGAAAAGCTGTTTAGGGAGTCGGGGCTGTGTTTTGTTTCATCTCCATTATATGTACTTAAATATGGATTCAACTCAAAATATGTAACTGTAATTTTGGAGCATTAAATGAGATATAATTTGTTTCTATTTAAAATTCAGGGTATAATTTGCCAAAGGATAACATCCATATATTCTGACATATATACATTGTATGGATAAGCCTTAATATGGAATGATATATCTCATAGGAGAGTATTTTAATGCATTTGTAACATAAGATAAGAAACCTGTCTTGGGCTTTTGTTACCTGCAGACATGTCTGTTCATTATCTGATCTTCCAATATTTATGCAGAACTTCAGGATCTCTTAATTATTTACTGTTACATTTTCTTACACATCTCTCTGAAGAGGTTTGTGAGTTAAAAATACCATTTTTGAATGCACTTGAGAGAGGGCTGTTTTAGGAACTCATGTAAATGAGTTCTGTTAATAAACATTATTTCTGCTCCTTGTCTTAAATTTAACAGAGAATCAGTAGCGGACAAATTATATTCTGTAAAGAACTGGTATGTTCGAATTACACTTTTTGGAATAGGTTTAAAGGGCATCTTCATGCTAAATGGAAGCAAATTCTTTTACAGGCATTTTAAACTATACTTAACTGCAACAGCAGAACACTTTTCAAAAAATTTTCAAGCACTAATAGTGGATGGCCATGGCAAAGAAAGAGAATACAATGTAAACTGGCAAGAATTTTTCACGGGACATGTTGTAGGTAAGTGGACAGTATAGGAAGAGATATAATTCTGGCATTCTTGCTTGCATGGGACAAAACTTTATTTGATTTTTCTATGATTATAAACCACATAAAGTTGTTGAATTGACTCTCCAGTCAGCATTCGAAGTCTCATGACAACTTCCCAAGTCAATAGTAATTCTAAAGGGGTGAATGATATCACTGACAATGGTCTAATAGAAATAAATGAGAATTCACTAGAATATCCTTTGGACTATATTGACTGACCATTTTACTTGTTTTACTCAAGACGCCACCCAGTCCACAAACTCAAATTATCTGCATGTTATTTGCAAATTGGAGATGATATCCAGAGGGGGGGGGTGCTAACATGAAAAGTTAATTTGGCTCCTGAAATATTATGGCCTAGCACAAAGTAGCTTCTGATTAGAAGGTAGTGCCCTATGCTGCAATTGATGAATACTTAGAAGCATCAGCTGCTAAGTTTTCTTTTTCCTGCTTCCCCAGGTCAGAGTAATTCTAAGGTTATAGCGCACATAGGTGAAGAAGACTTCACAGTGAGGATCAATGCTGACAAAGAAGAATACAATATTGAGGTATAGTTCATCAGTAGAATTCAGGTGTAGTCAATATTCATCTTGGTAAAAGAAAAAAATACTTTGTCAAGTGGCTTTGTTTCCATTAGTTTAATATTTCTGAGATTTTCAGATGGTAGAAATGCAATTATTGTTTATTTTTACTCTGTGTAAGAATTGTTTCCAGTATGTCAGAATGATAGAAACAGCAATGGTTAGTGGGATGCTCATGTGAAATATATAGGTAGACAATATATTTGCATTTGGTTTTTAGACAGTAGAGCAAAATATAGAAAGTTCAAATGACTGTGCTAGGCAATATCAATATCTGAGTGTGGTACCCATGCAGAATGTATGTTGTCAGAGCTCACTCCTGAATTACTATCTTGGATTCAGGTAACTATGAATCTTTGAAGTAGTTAAAATTAATCTCAAATAACATAGGAAGAAGTTACTGATCTGCTGCTCATAACATGGCAGTGCATCATGTCATGATCAGCCATATTGGTAGTCACGTCTTGTGGGGTGATTCATTTTTTCATGAACAAGTCACCCTGAGAACCCATGGCTTGTTTTAGGTTGTAGATACCCATGGTGCCTTGTTGTGTCATCTAAGCAGAGCAAAATGCCTTAATCATGGGCTGACAGGAGCAGCTAGAGAACTACCCATCAGAGTAGCAAAACCCCCTCCACTCTTCTCATTCTTGCTCATGTCACTGCTATATTTCCTCATTCCTTCTCAGAACCCTCTGCCCCATGCCCCTAAAATATTATGAATATCAAGATGTGACAGCTAGCAGCAGAGGGAGTCAACCTGCTACTTTTTAGAGTAAAGTAAAGCAGCCTTTAAAAAGGCAAGCTCAGAAATGGGGGATGAAATTGACTAGGATATTGAAAGGGCATATTGCTCAACTATGTTCTTCCCTGGAAAATATGATAGGAAACACTCCTGCATTCATAAGTGCTGGTTCTGAAAATTAATTCCACTGAGGTACCTCCAGGAGGGGAGAAGTGTACAAGCCTAAGGTTCATTCACATAATGTTAAACCATAGCACTGTATCAAATTGTATCATTGCACTTTTGGTTAAAAAAGCAAACCCAAAACAAGCAAGCAAAATGCTTCAGTGGCTTTGGTAATACATAGGAATAATAGCTTAATGACACAGACTTCAGTATTTAAAGAGATCTGTTGAAGTCCAGTAATTTGCATTTGGCTAACTGTTGGTTCAACAAGAAAATGAAATTTAAGACATCCAAGCATGCATGTGAAAGGGGTGTGACAGGTTTGAACATATTTTAGAGAACATATTTTAGGGAAACAACCATGTTGGGGCAGGGGGATTGGTTTAGGTTCGGGTTTAAGTGTTCTCCAGATGTTTTGGCCTTCAGTTTCCATAGCCTCCAAGGCAGTATGGCCAACAGTAAAGGATGCTGGGAGTTGTAGTCTAAAACATCTGGAAATCACTAGCTTGAGGAACAGTGCTTTAGGGTCATATTCAGGGATAAGTATTGTAAAACCAATTATTTAACTTTTTATTTTAAAAATTATATCCTGCAGTTTGATCACTGGTTCATTTTGATTGCACACAGGTATACATTTACCTGGGAGTAAGCAGGGCCTATTTTTGTATATATATGTAGAGGACTCTGCTGTTAGGAATGCTGAGCCATCTCTTTTTTATCTGTAGCCCCTGTGGAGGTTTCTCAATAATACACAAGATGAAAGACTTTTGGTCTACAGATCAGAAGACATCAAGGATTTTTCACGTTTACAGTCCCCAAAAGTATGTGGCTATGTTAAACTAGAAGAGGAGGAGGGTTTTTTGTTTGGAGGGCTGAAGGATGAGAAGTTAAAAGAAGGTGAGTTCATGCACTTCTTTCAAAATTGTACAAAAAGTTTTGTTATCATGCACAATTCTACCTAATAAGGTGAACTTTATGCACATTACAGAAACATGCTGCCTTCTTCCAGCACTGTAAAGGTTACTTGTATATACTTTATTTAGGACTGAAGTAGAAACATCAGAGTCTAACGGCATAGAAAATTATTTAAAAACTTTCTTAATTTAGAAGACAACATTCAGCTTCCCTTGTTTGGGAAAGGAAACTAGCCCTTTCCTTGTCATTTATATGAAACATCCATTTCTTTTAATGAATTTTATGCATTAATAGGGACTTTTATTTTTTAAAATCTTCTTGATCTGTACAAATAGACCAAAATTATATTCTCTTAAAATTTGTTATTTTCAACAAGTTAGAATACCTAAGCAAACTGTATCATTGCAGTGTGCAGTGTGATCTCTTGAAATCCCAGAGAAGCACTTTATGATGTTGTTCTATATCTGGCCTGCATATCTTTTCCTATGACACTTAAGCCAAAAGATTACTCAGGAGATGATACAGATGTTTTACTAGTGGTGCCTACTTAGTATCTTAAATTGTCATGACAGAGATGGTCCCTCGACAGAAAAGAGCTATCCCAGACCCCTTGAAGAACACATGTAAGATGTTGGTAGTGGCAGATCATCGCTTCTTTCAGCACATGGGCCGTAGTGAGGAAAGTACTACTATTAACTACCTAGTAAGTATACCTATATATTGTCAATTGCTTGATAAAATGAGACTGAACATCAAAGATATTTGTAATTAGGGTGCAGCTGTCACAAATATTATTACAAAAATTATATAAGAAGTCAGAATATAATTAAAAGTAGTATAAAATAACAGAATCAGTGGGTATACATACAGCCTTGATTAGCAAAACAAGCTGTGTCCAGGAGAATTCCCAAACTACACAGCACATCCTTTAGGAAGAGTGTTATCTCATCCAGAACAGGGGATGTAAGTTATACAAATGAGGATGCTTTCTAACCAAAAACACCTCTGTCATATCTGGATTAAATCTCGCTTCCTCTCAGATATATTGTATGAACAGATCTCTCTCAGATTTATTTGGTAAAAGTAGTTTTTGTGATATATTGCTTATCTTATTTGTGGAACCTTGATACATTTTCTGTTGATAACTTTTTACAGTACTTTACTGGGCAAATGCTTGTGATTGTAGCTGTACCTCAGAGTATAATAATGTATTAAGTGACTGAGAATAAATTTTAGTATGTGGGTTTTGTTTTTGTTTTCCCTGCTTTGGAACACTATAAAATGTCATTTGTGAAAAATGGAATAATATTTTTTTCTGTTGGTCTCCTCCAAAACCTATTTGATTGAATTTTAATAGGAACAAAGTTATTGGAATATGTGGCTTTAAATTTATTATTTCCCTTCCAGTCTTTCTACTCCCTTTCCTTTGGCCTATAGTTTACATAATTCCCCAAGTCACTGGAGCTACTTTTCAGAAGTATCTTGGAACCTTCCTGTGCTTTTATGTTAAAACATGTATTTATAATGAAATAGTGGTTTTTTAAAATATGCCTTAAAGTAGGCACTTATGTAGTCCATAGCACTCAGAGTCAGATGACAAGATCCTGGACTTAATAATTTCCTTTCGTTTCTGCATACAGATTGAACTAATAGACAGAGTGGATGATATCTATCGCAATACCTCGTGGGATAATGCAAATTTCAAAGGATACGGCATACAGATAGACCAGGTATTATTATAACTACTGAAATGGGTTGAAATCTTTAAGCAGCAGAGTTTTGGATATGGCATTATAAATATACTTAGTTTTTCCATTTAATTATTTAACTGAACCAACATCTCATTCATAAATGATGCAGGCAAAAATAATATGGTGTGAAGTTTGCAAATATTGTTATTTTTTTCCTACTCAGTTGTTTTCTTTGTCCCCTTCCTAGTGGTGTGTTCATATATCCTTTTTCTTCATGTGTGATTTATTTTTATTGGTAAATGTAACTCTTGTGACACTTAAAGTGTCAATGATTTCTTTTTATTCCAACACCAGATGTTAGTCAAGGTACTGCAACCTACAGTTCTCTTTGAAGAGTTCATACAGTCATTTCTTAAATAACGGCATTTAGGAAATGTCCAGCTCAGGTGCACAACGGTAGCCCCTGTTCCCCCCTACTTTTGTGATTCTGCCAGGGAAATGGATCAAACAAAGCCCATCATGCCTCGGATGCTGGTGGCTTAATCTTTACCTGGCCTTTGTACTATGTTCCTTGAGTGGACAAGTTGTCCTCTGATTAGTGGGGATTGGCTGCGGGCAGTGTTGGAGAAAGCAGCCATAATGACAGAACTGAGCAAAGTGCTATGCTCTATGCTGCTACTTACTCAGATGCCCAAAAGCTTACAGGGACTGTGTCTGTGCGAATAGATTTTATGCTCTGGTAAACTCTCATGCCAGGGAGCCAGGTGCTGGAGGGAACTCTGTTGTTGCCAGAGGCTTGAACCACCTGGGCTTCTAGGGAGCAGGGAGACGTGCAGCCTGTGCAAAGTACCACGGGACTTATATTCTTCCTAGGGCATGCGCCTCTTTCAAGGAACCAAAGAAGTGATAGAAATCCCAAGAGCATTAGGAGCCTTTTGGAAGAGGGTGTGTTTGTTGGCAATTGTAGTTACACAGGATTACATGATATCCTTCTAAAAAGCAAGTTGGGAGCTATTATGATCTTCTAAAACTAGTTTTACAATAAAAAGAACTTACAGCGACACAAAAACATGTAACAAACATGCAATTAAAATAAATTTTAAAAATACTGCGCACCTTGTCACTGGGACCATAGGAAACATGTTTGGGGGTGGGGGGGAATCCCTCCTTCAAAAATTAGTTCAGAACATTTCCCCCTTTCAAAATTGCAAGAATCCAAAGAATGATTCTTTTGATGGTACAACTCCTTTCACTTTTTAAAAACACATATCCAATAAATGCATCTTGTTATATGTCCCAAATCTTGTTAAATATTTTTCTTTATATGCCTTTTTCTCATTGTATGATTACAGGTTAATTTATCACTAATAGTTCTATTCCAAACTTCTCTATATCAATCACACAATTGATAATCATATTTTAATTTTCAATTCTTATCTATGATTAATCTTACCGTAGTTATAAAATTTGTTACTAATTCTTTATTATTCCAACTACTATTATGATCTTCTTGACTTTATGATTACATGTGTCCACAGCCCAACCCCCAATCTTCATGCAGCCTTCAGGGCTCAGAATGTCGGGTACCCCCTGTCCCAGGTGTTCCAGGCATGTAGCCTTATCTTCTTGATATGTGATCCAAACTTACTGAAAGGTTAGCAGTAGTGTAAAAAAAAAAAAAAAATTAAAAAAAAACGAAGTAATCTAATTGGTGGCTTTTTCCTTAGATACTGTAATAGATGAGGGTCTGAGGCAGAGAGAGTTCTGTCTGAAATGAAATGCTCAAGGGAATTTGAGTCGTAAGATTAGCCACAAGGAAAAAGCATGCTTTCTTTATGCTCCCTTATTGTCAATTCTCCCCATCCCCAAAACTTTCCTAAGAGAGGGAATATAGCTTCAAGCAGTCTTGAAATACATTTTCTAAACTTGTTGGAGAGTTCTTATCTTGATATAATCCTCACGTTTTAGCGGTTGGTACATTTGGCTGTGTGTTCTGTTTAATACCTCTGGCTTGAAAAGATAACCCATAGTGGTATCTCCTTTCTGTTATTCTGAAAGGTTTAATATTCTCTGCTTATTTTCACTCCATCATACAACATTAACTTTTCAAATTGTTCCTTTTTTGATGTATATAAAGATTATAGTTCACAGTGAGCCAGAAAATGTACTTCCTGGGAAAAAACACTACAATATGGCAAAAAGTCAGCCAAATGAGGAGAAGGATGCTTGGGAAGTGAAACAGCTCTTGGAGGTAGGGAGTGTGTGTTTTGTATGATATATTAAACGTAAGCATCTGGTTGGTCAGTTGTGCAAAGTTTAGGAAGCTTCAGTATCATACAAGGAAATAGATAACTAGAGGTACGATCCTGTGCATGGTTAGATATGCACAGGATTGCTCTCTTAATCTCTGTCCAGGAATTATCCAGAAAGACATTTCTGAGGTATAAGATGCAAACAGTAAAGCTAAAAAAAGATGCTTTCAATAGGTGAACTTACAAAGAAACAGTCAAACTAGTGTTTGCTTAACTGGTCTGGCCTACAGCTGAAATTCAGGTGATGCTTCATATCCTCTCAAGCACATCATAACTATTCCTACAATACTCATTTCAGAAATACTCTCTAAAGTACCCTTAGTCAGGGACGGTGGGGTAGGTGAGGTGGAGTTTAGTTTGTTAAACATTCTCTACTTTATGAAATATGAATTTTTTAATGAAATACTTGATGAAATACTTCATTCAATTTCTCTAATCAAAATGTATTTGGTATATTTGCCCCACACAGCAATTCAGCTTTGATATAGCTGAGAAGGCCGCTAAAGTATGTCTTGCTCACCTTTTTACATACCAAGACTTTGATATGGGGACTCTTGGACTGGCATACGTTGGATCACAAAGGCCAAATAGCCATGGTGGCATCTGTCCAAAGGGTAACTCTTTCCTTACTTTGGATCTGTTTTTTCTCTTCCAGTATGCAAGTCAAAATTCCTAAATATGAACATAAGCATGCATTCAGCATAAGCACTCTTAAGATGGGCTCGTACACTATAGATTTAGGATAACTTTACTCTTCAGCCAAAAGCTGCTTGTATGAAGAAGAGCATCCCTATTACTTTTGTGGAGCTAACTCAGATACTATAGCATAATCTTCTCCAACCTGATGGCCTGCAGCTGTTTTGGAATTCGGTTGCCATCATGTCCATCTGGCATGGCCAATGAAAAGGAATGTTGGGAGTTGAGACCCAGAATAGGTGGAGACACCAGGTTGGAGAAGGTTTCTGTAGAGACGATATCTAAGCTGGGAACATAATCTACAGTAATCATTCCTGTATTTAACAGGTGCTATGAATCATATAATATATATATGCTACAGTTGACAAGGATACAGACTAGTTTTTCTGTTCAAGGCCTTGAAGATCACAAGACATCCTCCCTTCTTCAGAATGCCTTGTTTCTTGCTTCAGACATGGAGCAGATGTTAGAGTTGTCTGAGCAGCTAGCGCTTGCAAGGGTGACCAGTGAAGTTGCAGCTGGACCCTGTGTCCTCATGTGGGAACAGCAATGGCAAGTGCATAAGTGGTGAAATCGGGAAGGGCATGAAGGAGAAGGAAAAGAGTGGTATTTGAGATGAGGGGACAAGGGAAGGAGTGGACAGGAAAGAAGCCGTTAAAAGAAAAGTGGAAAGAGTTAAGAAGGAAAGAAGAGGAACTGAAGAGAAATAAGGGAGCAAAAGCAGAGGAGAGCATGCAGGGAGAATGATTAGGGAAAACAGCAGAATGCTGAGGGGGAAATGTGAAAGGGACAGAAAGAACAGCCTTCAGCTGGTGGGCATGGCAAAATTCAGCAGCAAGGGCCGGGAACAGCAGTCTGTGGAACAACCATCACTGTCCTAATGATGGTTTAGGTTTCTTTGTATTTGGTCTGTATTGTTAATTTGCATTTAGTTTAGAATTTCAGTGAATACAGCATTCAAGTTGTAAATAGTTTTGTATATATTTATTTGATTCCTGAGTGATTATCGTGGGACTGCAGGTGCGGTGTGCCCTTCCTCATTCTGATCATGCAACTTAGAGATGTTATACATGACTCTGTATGCAGTTCCTTCTCTTCCGCTTCAGCTTAGCAGACTTATATGTTGAGTCTGCTGAGATAGGTAGGAGTGCAAGAGAGGTGGTCAAGAATGTGGACCCAGCTGTGCCCTTAGAACCTTTTGCTTCTGTCCAAGTATGTCACAATTTTTAGCTGTCAATAACGCCCGCATGCCGTAGGTGAGCTACAATTGTTAGAGAATACATTAATCAGAGGTTAATCTAGCAAGCCAATGAGGGATGGCATTCTCAGTTTTAGACAATGAATGAGGGAAATTTGTTTACTCCTTTCACTTGAGAAGCATAGATTCTCACATGAAGATTATATAATCAATCAGTCAGTGCTGGAACTTCATTTTCTATCTTCTATTTTTATAGCTTATTTTAATTCAGCAGCTGGAAAAGATATCTACCTCAACAGTGGTTTAACTAGCACAAAGAACTATGGCAAAACTATCCTCACCAAGGTAAGATAACTTGCAGAAAGTTACCTCTGTTAACTCTGTTACCTCTGTTGGGAATCTTCAGTTTGGATTTTAGAATTTGGAAGATGGATATATTGCATCTGGATAGTTGGAAGGTGGTATATTGCATCTCCTCTTACTTGGGAGGGACCAGTCTAGTTTCTTTTCTGGGCTAATTTCTTGACTGATTTTTTTACTGTAAAGACTTCTGAGTTTTCAGAGTTCAAGAGACTTCCCTTCAGTACTGATAGTACATTATCATTGCACTGTTCTTTGCTTCACATTTGAAGGCATGATTGTCAATTATTTTCAGTGATATTATACTGCACCAGTATGTGAATGATGAGTAGTTAGAGTGCTTTGTAGAACAATTTTTTATTGTCTCAAACACAATAAAAATACAACTGGTGTATACAGTCTTCGCTTGGTTTGGTTGTGCCTATTTCCCTTCTGTCTAATTCTCAAAACATTCAAAAAGTGGCACTAATGGCTAAGCTTGGTTTTGTATGAGGGTATAAAATTAATCTCATAATCTAATTTGTTGAATAATATTTAAACAAACATTAAATATCTAATAAACTTAAAACAGTTTCTCAAAGGCAGGCCTATGTTAGTAGACTAATTCATTGACACCCCCCTCCAAATCCTTTCCATGTTAAGTAGATATACCTCTGACATGTTTTTCTCTTATTATATCAAGGAAGCAGACTTGGTAACTACCCATGAGCTGGGACATAACTTTGGAGCAGAGCACGATCCTGATGGCATGCCAGCCTGTGCCCCTACAGAAGATCAGGGAGGAAAGTACGTTATGTACCCAATTGCTGTGAGTGGAGATCATGAAAACAACAAGGTATGTGTGTCTGTGGGCACTTAATCCTGCTGCCTAGATAACTAAATAGACTTCTTGCATGTGGCAGTGCTAAGTGCAAAAACAGAGAAAAGCATAAACTGTTTATTTTGCATTCTTCAGTTTAAGATCTGTTTTCTCAAACTGTTTCTGTTTTTTGCAAGGACTTTTGGTTTAAAAAAAGAACAGATGTAGGACTAAAGGTTAGCGGGTGAGGAGAGGCAGAGGCAGAAGAAGTAGTAGACATGAAAGGGTTCATGTTAGAAGCCCATCTTGGTGTCAGCTCTGGCTTGTGTTTGTGAGCTACACATGTTGCTGTCACTTATCTAGGCTAGGAAGCTGCTGCTGAGAAAGCGGGAAAAAAGGAGCCCAAATTCTGTGCCACATTTAGTACTTCTGTGCCTTAGAAGGATGCATACAATTCTGAATTACTGCTCTCCACACCTGCTGTTCCCTGTACTCCCCTCCCTTCCTGTAATACTTTCAGATGTTTTCAGACTGCAGTAAAGTATCCATCCTACGGACTATTGAGACCAAGGCCCCAGAATGCTTCAAAGAGCGCAACAACAAAGTATGTGGCAACTCCCGAGTGGATGAAGGCGAGCAATGTGATCCTGGCCTCTTGCATCTCTATGATGATCCTTGCTGTACATCTGAGTGCAAGCTAAAGCAGAATGCAAAATGCAGGTAAGGCTGCAGCAAGCTTTTCATACAAAAGAAAGCAGTGTAGAGCTTGCCAAATGGCGCTTGCTTTTTTTTCTTTTTTGCAAGTAGGAAAAGTGTTCTGTTGCTGTTTTGATGTTATCTAGCCTGAACCATGCAACATTCAGTCCTAAGTTTGAAAAACAGATGCAGCCATTAAAGAAACTGATGTTTTGTATATCTTCTCCATTGATACATGGTTGTCACCTGATTATCTTGTAGTAAGGCAGTCTGTAAATTAATAAAGTTTTAAATACTGTGCTTCCATTATAATATGGGTGGGAAAGGCAAGACCCTGCCCAAATCAACAATGTTTGTTTATTTAAAGCTTTTATATGCCGTCCCTTATGCATGGCATCTCAGGACATCTGACAATATTGCCTTCTTTAAAATCTTTGTATGCATATGACATTTTTCTGACATTTTTCCTTCAAATACTTCTGCAGATTTGTAAATGGGAAAATTCAGACTTTAACTTAGTTCTTTTTTTCCTTCTTGCCCATGTCACCTCCTCTTGCTCTTCCAGTGATCGGAACAGTCCGTGCTGTAAAGGATGCCAGTTTGAAAGTGCACAGAAGAAATGCCAAGAAGCCATCAATGCTACTTGTAAAGGAGAATCCTATTGTACAGGTACATCATTGCATTGTCTTATTTACATACGATTTTGTCCCACGCCTCTCTTGCACGGTTGTCTTTGCAGCTTGCCTTATTTCTGTTTCCTTTAGTACAGCCTAACCTATCAGACTATGCATAATGCTTTATTCAAAGAATGGTACATTCAGAGATGTGTGCTTCTGAAATGGGAACACTTTGAGAAGTATGTGAGGCATTTAAATGGGAGTGGGAGACATTTCCTGTCAAGGGCTACATTTCCTTGGGGATCACCCGACAAGCCCACATGCTGGCAGTGGTGAGATCAGAGCAAAAGGTGGGAGGAGGAGTGAGTGCTCTTCTTGTATGCTACCCATTTCTCCCTGTAGATCTTTGGCTCTCCATTCATTCACCTATCCATGCCTTTACCTGTCTGTTTTGACTCGTCTCTGTTCTTTTCCCTCTTTGCCATGAATCTGAACTGCTTCCTTGCCATGGGCAAGCAGCTCTCTCCTTCCATTTGCTTTTACTCCTCCCCTCCATTTTCCTCTCCTACACTCTTTCTTTCAAGCTGTAGGCTCCCCATTATTGCCTGAAAATTTTAATAAAAGCAGTTAGACAAGAGGCACGAATTGTTGGTTGTGTTAAAACAAAATGCTTTTTCTGCAGAATTTCTCAAGGATTTTTAAAGGATGTTGACCTATCCAAATAAGTCAACTGTTACAAGTAGTTAGCTGAAGTTGCAATCTCAGCCACTTCGTTTGTAGCATTGTGGGGATATTCTTTGAAATGCTGTAATTATCAATATTCTGTTGTAAAGCTGAAGTCCATGCACAACCAGTTAGCAATTTTGTTTCTTAGCATTGTTAAACATTAATTGTGGCTGATTGACACTCCCCCTCTGTGACAGTATGTTGGGTGCTAGAACTCTAGAGCAGAAGGGAGGAAAAAAAGAAGAGTAGGTCACTGGGTGGGTGGGAGTGGTGGTCATGCATGTAAGCAATTAGTGGGATGTGTGGAAAATTGCCAGAATTAGTTGTATCATTGTTGCTAGAAGAATTTGCACAATCCTTCTTGCTGCGACACTTTCTATTATCATTACCCTGCGCTTTGATTCCACCTTTTTTCCTCTTTTAAGGAACCCCAGGTGGCTTACATAGTTCTCCACTCTACTCTTATTCCTATGAATTCGGTTAGACTGAAAGTCCATTGCTTTCAGAGTTACCCAGTGAGCTTCAAGGCTGAGTGGGGAACCCGGTTCTCCCAGGTCCCTAGTCCAGCTCTCTAACCACTCACTCTCTAGGCCATTCCTTCACTTAGCCATTCCCTTGCTCGGTTCCTTCTCTTGGTATCTATGGCAGGAAGCTTTCTGAAGCGACCTCCAGACTTACCACATGGGTGAATTTCAAGGATCTCTCCCTGCTCCAAGCAAGTTGTAGACATCAGTTCCCCACATACGTGCATACTAACCTTGCTTGTTCCTAGGTAATAGCAGTGAGTGCCCTCCCCCTGGGAATGCTCCAGATGATACCATCTGCGTAGATCTGGGCAAGTGCAAAGATGGAGGATGTGTCCCCTTCTGTGAGAGGGAGAAGGACCTGCGCTCCTGTGCCTGCAATGGTAAGGAGAACATTCCCTTCTAGATTTTCTCCTTCGACTCTGAGCTGGGGCTGCTCAGACCAGGGCCACTTATTTGTCTCTGAAAACAATCAGAGCAGGGTGAAAGAGAGACACGCCCCGTTTTTCTTTATTTCCTCTTCATCTGTTGGAAGTGGGCCATGGCTTTTGCTCCGGTGCCTGATGTGAGTGCTGCCAGTGCAAAGTCGGGTAAATTTCAAGACTGAATGGATTGGTGCCTCACTCGAGCAAGGTCTCGCACCTTTTCTTTCTCCCCACAACTAGGGTAGATAAGGATAGAAGGTGGGTGCACTGTTCTTCCTTCAGTGAAGACTTTCATGAGCCTTTGCGCTAGAACAAATAGCAGAACTTTTATTTGTTGATGATAGTGGTGAAAGCCCATTTACAGTGTTTCAGCATTCTTCCAGCTTAGCACTGGCCATCCCTGAGAGCCAGAGGGGAGTTTACTTCTGAGTGTTAGAGCTTTGGTAGTGTGGGAATGGGCCGAAAGCTTTGGAACTATTTTTCTGCTAGTGCAAGACATTTTCTGCTTGCTTGTATATTTTTGTAGCTTGTCTCCAATGAGTCAGAGCAGGTACATTCTGTTGCAACTTTCTAGTTCAATAAAATGCAGTATTTTATTCAGAATGGCTCTTCTTGAATTGGATTGATCTGTAGAAAGCTTCAGAGAAAAGCAGTGAGGTATAGCGGTTGGAATAAGACTCAGGAGACTTGCGTTTTTATCCTCACTTAGCCACAAAGCTCTCTGGGTGACTTTGGGCCAGCACTGACTCTTTTACCTCAAAGGGTAGTTGTGAGATAAAACCAGAAAAGAAGATTATATAAATTGGTTTGGGTTCCTTGCAGGGAAAATACAGGATGTTAATCTCATAAATAATATGTATCTATTGTGACTGTGTCTTGCATTCCTTGGATAGCTTCACTTTAAGGTTTCATGAAGTTCTTCTGCCTTTCTTATCCTAGTTAATGGAATACCTTTGCATGTTATGCTTGAGTAACATAAAATGCTTGATAGTATAATAGTGCCTTCTTAGAAACAGATTAAATTAATTGGGCATAGACATACTGATGTCCTTCAGATGTTTTGGGCTACAGCTCCCCACACCCTTAGTCAGCATGAATAGCAGTCAAGGATTCTGGGAATTACAGTCCAAAACATCTGCACTAGTTACCCACCCCTGTTATAACTGGGAAGACATACGACTGAAAATGTCTCTCTGCATGAAAGAAAGCAACAGGTTAATAGCCATGACATGATTGTACTGCTTTGCTTCAGAAACAGATAACTCATGCAAGGTCTGCTGTCGGGATGAGTCTGGGAGATGCAGTCCATATGTTGATGCTAACCAGAACTTCTTATACTTGAGGAAGGGAAAGCCGTGCACCGTGGGATTCTGTGACATGAACGTGAGTACCTGCGAGTGGGCTTCCCCGTGCTGCATGGCTTGCGCAGTGCATCGTCCCTGGGATTGGAAGAGGGACTGTGGGAATGGCATGCATACTGGAGCAGTGGAGAAGGGTCCCTGCTATCAGTTCTGCAGCCATGGAAGCTTCCTGAATTGGGGCACAGAGCCCATACATGTGATGCACAGCGTCCATGGGCAGAACGGAGCATTCTTTACAAAAGCAGGTACAAAGCAGAAGTGGTGAGCAGGCAGAAGGCAGCTCACTCAGGCTTGGCCCTGGCTAACTTGGTTGGTTAACCCATAGGTGGTAGCTACGTGCAGCCTAGGCCAATGTATTCCAGCCATACAATACTCAGTACAGAAGGACATGGTCAGACAACAGACCTGGAAGGCCACCACTCTTCCCTAGGGGAAGGAATGTGTTGTTTTAAGAATGCTCTGCATTTCTGCCTCTAATTCTAACTAATTCTCCCTCATAATCTGCTTTGCAACAACAGCATCATCAATACAAGTCCACTAGAAGGCATGGACATGTCGTATTTCATGAACACGTACTTGCACGGCATTTTTGCTAAAACCGTAGCATCATTTAACTCTCAGTTAAAGAGGCTTCTCTTATCTCTCTGTCCTGCAAATGTGTTTAATTTCCTTCCAGTGGGTATGATTAAAACTTACATTTAGCAATCTTGCTCTCTTAAGCCCACCTTGTGTCTTACAGGGTAAATGTGAGAAGCGTGTGCAAGATGTGATTGAACGACTTTGGGTTTTCATTGATCAACTGAGCATCAATACATTTGGTAAGCTACCCTTATTCAACAACTTGAAATCATCAAGGCCTTTTCTTGGTTTTGCAGTTCTCCATTTGGCAATTCTCCATTCAGAGTTGAAAATAAATGTCATTTTAGGAGTACTGAGACTTAATGTTGACTTGTAAGGTGGCGATGCTGGTTTTGAAGTGAAGTGCAAAGCTATATGAATCTTTATATAAGTAGCTGCCTTAATATTGTAGTCCCTAGAGGAAAAAAAGCCCTTCTGGAGTTTATAGTTCTTCCATATTGAAGAGATGCATGTGTCCTTACAGTATTAGAGAACCAGTGTGGTGTAGTGGTTCAGAATTTTGGACTGGGACTCAGGAGACTGTGTTCTAGTCTCCACTTGGCCATGAAGCTCACTGGGTATCTTTGGGCCAGCAGTGGACTCCCAGCCTAACCTAATTCATAGGAATAAAAATAGAGTGGAGAACTCTGTAAGCCACCTGGGGTTCCTTAGAAGAGGGAAAAAGGTGGAATATAAACATGAGTAATGGTAATAGAAAGGGCTGCAGCAAGAATGATTGTGCAAATCCTTCTAGCAACAAGGTCACAACTAATTCTGGCAGTTTTCCATACATCCCAATAATCGCTTACATGCATGACCACAGCCCCTACCCACCCAGTGACCTACTCTTCCTTTCCCCCCCTTCTGCTCAAGAGTTCTAGCACCTGACATACTCTCAGTCTAGCCTACCTTACAAGGTGGTTGTTCTGAGGATAAAATGGAGAAGAGGATGCTTGTGTAAGCCACCTTGGGTTCAAGAAGGGCAGGATATTAATATTATCATGCCATGAAAGGATTGAATATTAAATCTTCCTATATTAGCTTTGAACACCATTTACATTCTAGAAAGGCATGAAAGGTATAAACCAAATAAATGGTTTTCATGTTGTTGAGACAAATTCTGTAGTCTTGTTTCAAGGGTATTTCTTAAGGACACCTTTGCTGAGAATAGTAAGAAACTAAGAATCACATTGTTTGGATCAGGTCAAAATCTCTCCAGTGCAAACTTCTTTGGGACAAGGATATATTAAAATTTATTTATTTATTAAATTTGTATGCCGTCCAATTACTAATGTCTCTCGATGGCCAACAGCATAAATAAATTAACGACCCACTCTGGCTGCAATTAACAAAATACAATAATAAAATTCAATATTAAAACTTATTAAAATATTGATTAAATAAAAAGGTCTTAACCTGGCACCGAAAAACATATAATGACGGCACCAGGCTGACCTCTCTGGGGAGCACATTCTATAGTCAGGCGCCACCGCAGAGAAGGCCCCGCTCCGGGTACTCTGTCTCCTAACATCTTTCACAGAGGGTTCCCGGAGGAGGGCTTCTGTTGCCGATCTCGGGGTGGGAGGGCGAATATGAGAGACTGTCCTGGGTACTACCACAAAATGGCTACCATGGGAGGAATGAAAAGTGACAAGCAACCTGTCCCAATTGCTGAGTATAAGGCAGAGGTAGGGCCTGAGCCCTAATGACTAAGTGCCTTCTTTGAACATAGAGTTTTCAGCACTAACAGAAATTCATTTTGTAGCAGGATTTGTTAATTGTTAATAAATACATGTTTCATTCCTTGGTATACACATTGCCTTTTAGCACATGAGTTCCATTTTAGTTATCATGGCTAATACCCATTGATAGTCCCTCCTCTATGAATTTGTCCAGTCTTTCTCAAAACTGTTTGCTAAGTTAATGGCCATCGCTACCTTGTGTGACCATAAATTTAGTAAATGTTGTTACTGTTTATGGGTTAAATAATCCAGGCACTCAATGCTCATGTCATGGTAGCACAGTGTGGGATAATTAACCCCAATTAGTAGTCCCCCTTAAAGATAGCTATTATTGTAGTGTTTTAAGCATCTTGATTAATACTCCCATGCTTAAACATCTATTTTAACATATAGATCCATATTGAGCAAACTATGTAATTCTGTAACATCAGATAAACACTTGAAAATATTTGTAGAGTTGGGCTGTTAACTTTGTACCCAGGTATGTTTTGTTTGATTATAAGTATTGGCTTTCTCTTCTTCTTTTAAACAGGGAAATTTTTAGCAGACAACATAGTAGGATCTGTGCTTGTATTCTCCCTGCTATTTTGGATTCCTCTAAGTATTCTTGTCCACTGTGTGGTAAGCTTAAATTTAAAAATTTAGATTTAAATAGCTTAAAATCAAGTGTGCTTTGTATTAATTTAGACAGAATTGGAGAGAAGTTTTTTAACCAACAAACACAATGCATATCTTTATAAATTCTAAGATAATCAGTTCACGTGCAGATAAAATAACTTCAGATTTTATTCATGGATGTTATTCTGGGTATTTGAACATTTAATACTTTTCTCTCAAATAATGTACTGTTCCCCCGCTTTGAAAATCTATCTTTGTTTGGTTCCTAAATGTTTGCTGCCTTTAAAGCAAGAATGATATCCCTGTGAAAGAAACCCTGTGTGTCCTTGGAAAAGGACATGTACATTTTGCAGAACTCAGGAGGAACTGAGTACTGTGGCAGCTGGCTTAGAGGGTCTAACAACTGGTTGATTGGTGCGAGTTGCTTGCAAGACCTGGCTGTTTCTCATTACTGAAATAGGCATGCAATGTACTGTCATTCTAGATTTCACTGCTTACCAAACAGATCTGCCCACACAATCACTTGTTTCCACAGGGAGTAGTATCTACACTGGCTTTGATTCTGATTTGAGTACATCTGAGAAGGTAGTCAGATAACAGAGCAGGAGGTGTGGATGATTCGTAAGCAGTTACTTCCACTGCTGACTTTTTACTTTTCCCTTTTTCAAATAGGACAAGAAGCTGGACAGGCAGTACGAAGAGAACAACAAATCTCTATTTGGTCCCAGTGTAAGTTTCCTTTGTGTGAAGGGTTACAATTTTGTATTTGTTTACAAAACATAGCCCAGCAGAGATTTATACAGAGTTTCAGGTACTACCAGGTCTCATGTTTTGATGTCCTTCCCTAAAGAAAGAATTGTTCAACATCTAGATGTACTTGGAAGCTGAACTGAAAGCTTTGTTGAAAGACGGCCTATCCTAAATAAATCAGCAAATCATACCTTTAAGCCCCAATTTTCTTTCTGCTATTTCATTGTTTTTTGTTCAGCTGTATTCTCTTGTCCTCAGGATCCAGGGATAACATACCTAGATTCTGTGCCTGATGTGTTTGCTCTTGTCTAGTTGTATTATTTTGGTCCTGCTTTATTCATGCTGAGACGACCAGTGTCTCTGATCTATCCTGTATTGTCCATTGCCCTTCCCCTCACCCAAAAGCCCACCCTGGGGAAATTAGTTGCTTCGGAGTGCTTTATTAGACCTCATGTCCTATAGATAAATCACCTATCTTAAAGGTACACACTTTAAGATACGCTCCCCTTTTCAATGCTAGGGTTACTGGTGGTTAGAATTCTGAGACAGAAAGTAGTAACAGTCCATCTTCCATCATACCAAGTGTTCCATCATATTCAAGTGTTGGATCTTGGTCCTGATGCAGGCTCCCACTTAAAACATATTGGGCAGAGGTGGGAGATAATAAGAGGTCTGGGCATGAGGTTACGTGTTGCTCGCCTAGCAGTGCATCTGCTTGTCCCCTTGCAGAATGTTGAGATGTTGAGCAGCATGGATTCAGCCTCTGTCCGGATCATCAAGCCCTTTCCTGTTGCACCATCCACGAGTCGACAACAGCCCCTGCAGCCCATTGTACCAGCACCTGCAGCAGCGGTGGCTCCAAAACTGGATCACCAAAGAATGGACACTATTCAGGAAGATCCAAGTACTGACTCTCATATGGAGGACGACGATTGCTTTGATAAGGATCCTTTTCCGAACAACAGCACCACTGCCAAGTCGTTCGAGGATCTTACAGATCATCCCGTCACAAGGAGTGAGAAGGCCTCATCCTTCAAACTGCAGCGTCAGCACAGAGTGGACAGCAAGGAAACTGAGTGCTAGCCTCTTATGCCATCTTGAGCTGTTGACTGATGTGAAAATCATGTTGATCTAAAGCCATTTCATTCTAGAAATACCATTTGTATATATGTACTGAGAGATGGAAACGGGGAAGTGACCTACTGCAGATGCTGGCCATATGTGTGATAATCTTCCTTGGTTTCATGATGAGTGCCACTTAGAAATATAAATGCAACATAAAGTCTCAAGTATATCAAACCTTTTTAAATCTTTTCTATAGTCTTTATTTGAACATTTCCTTCATCCTCTGGGATAGAAGCATAATTTGTCTGGCAAGAGATCATGTATCTTAGTATTTTTTATAATGCATCTTCCTGTAATTCAGCAGCACTGCTAAGTCAGCTTTTTTTTTTTTAGAATATAAAAGCTCCAAACTTATCAATTTCTTGCGTTTCAGTTTTCAGAAGTCAAACTGTATTATTAAAACAGGGTTTTTTTTAATGAAAAATGGGTGAAGATCTTGGACTTAACTGAGACTTATGAAGGGTGCAGGGGATCAAACTACATCTGAAGAGCAATACAGCAATAAATTACTTACCTGCACATCTCAGGACCTGGGGTTTTCATGGTAATTTGAAATAAGGCTTTTAATGATGCAGCTTTTGGCCTAAATTCAGTAGCAACATAAGGAAGCAGAAGTTCAATTCATGTTTTCCTTCTGGTTTGTTTTTTAGGCAGAGCTGAAGTGTTCATGGCACTAAGCAGGATGGTGTCCTGTATTACAAAACAAAGTGGCTAAAATATGTATTGTAACTTCACTGTTAGCTGAGGAGGAGAGGATGTTGCTCCAACAAAGTTAAACAAATCTCTGTCTACCAACTTTTAAGAGATAGAAGTGAATGTTAATCAACACGTTTGTGTAAGATAAATCTAGGAGGAGGACTGTAAACGTTTTCTTTTGAAAGTATTGATACGCATTTCTGTGCTGAACACTGTGATCAATTTATAATTGCATTTGCATTTGCATGACCACAATTATTTCAGTGAAGAATTAACAGGAGTTGTATGTTTTGGATGGTATATGTTGGTCTCTGGCAGATTCAAACAAGTTGTTGCATATAGACACCCTCCTCCAGCAACCTGGCTTGTATGAACAGTTCTGATCTCTGAATGAACAGTTCTGATCTCTGACTGCTCTCCAGAGATAAACAGACAGCAGTAGCTGTGTACATGATTATCGCAATGTGTCAGGCATGATCGAGTGAGCAATTAGTGTTACTTTTGTTTGGAGAGCTATTTTGACATATGGGAGGGTTGGTTGGTCTAAAATGTAAGTGCTTAATTGCTGGATCAAATTCCAGCTAAAAATATACAAACAAACTGTAATGTATGAATGGTTTGCATTATTTCATATCTGATGGAGATTAACCAAACTTGTGACATGTGCCTCTTTCATGGTTACTTGTTACACTAATACTTGAACTTGTGCCTTTTTGGTATTTGTACCTATAGTTTAATTATTTTTAGGTTTCGTAAATGGTAGTGAATTTTGTGTCAGGAGTAGGAACTCCCAGTACAATGTAATAAAATGTTTTTATATGAATGCTTCATTTACAGCCTTGTAACTTGTACCTAGTACGTTAAAGGAATATTGATTCAGAATTTGTTTACAGAAGGATCCCAGGTGCAAGAGCACTTCTTCCTGTTGTAAAGGTATGACTTCAACTTAAGGTATGTTGTATGCCTGTAATAACACAGGAACGTCTTGACTGTAACTACACTATCAGTGTCAATGCTGCCGAGAGTAGAGCCATTGAAATTAATTGAACTTAAATGAGACTTGCGTTGGTTGCTACCCAGTAGCTACAACTTTGATGGATTTAAGTCTAAGCGCTGCTTTCATCTGTTGCTGCATTCTGAAAATGGCTAGATAGAAGTGCTTGATTTTAGAATATTGGTTAACATCCTGGTTAAAGTTCCTTTCTACCCTATTAATACATCTCAGTTTCATGACAGTAACCATAGTATACGCCTGAGTTGCGAGCGATGAAGCAGACTGGGAGACAACTAGAGCGCAGGTGGAGGAAATCTCGGGACAAATCTGACCGAACACATTTACGTGCACATTATTGTGCCTATGTTGTGGCGGTGAGGGTGGCGAAGAGGCAGTTCTTCTCCACTTCCATTGCTTCCTCACAGTGCCGTCTGGTGGAGCTTTTCTGAGTGATGCAAGGCCTGATACATTCTGGCCAGGAGAAGGAAGCGGTCACACCTTCGGCAGCCTGCTGTGATGACTTTGCCCAGCACTTTAGGGAAAAAGTCGCTCAGATTCGCCACGATCTGGACTCCACAGTTGATTTGAATCCAGTACGGGAGGTGTCCAGAGCGCCGTCTGGTCCATCATTATTGGATGAGTTTCAGTTATTGCGGCCTGACAAGGTGGACAAGGTGCTTGCAATGGTACATCCCACCACCTGTCTCCTGGACCCTTGCCCCTCTTGGCTACTTAAAGAAGCCAGTAACGGGATTGGTCCTTGAGTCCGGGAGGTTGTCAACGCCTCACTGAGGGAGGGCTGGGTCCCTACCCGCTTGAAGGAGGTGGTGATCCGGCCTATCCTGAAGAAGGCATTCCTGGACCCAGAGGTGGCTGCCAATTTTAGACCGGTGGCCAACATCCTGTTCCTGGGCAAGGTGCTAGAGCAGGTGGTGGCAGGAAAACCTCAGGCACTCTTGGATGAAACTGATTATCTGGACCCATTTCAGTCCAGTTTCAGACCTGGTTATGGCACTGAATCTGCCTTGGTCGCCCTGTACAATGACCTGTGCAGGGAGAGGGACGGGGAGTGCATCCCTGTTGGTTCTTTTGGACCTCTCAGTGGCTTTCGATACCATCGACCATGGTATCCTTCTGGATAGGCTGGCCGGGTTAGGAGTAGGAGGCTCTGCTTGGCAGTGGTTCTGCTCCTACCTGGCTGGCCGGCTCCAGAAGGTAGTGCTGGGGGACTATAGCTCTGCGCCGTGGCAGTTGTGCCATGGGGTTCCGCAGGGCTCTATTTTGTCCCCCATGCTTTTCAGCATCTACATGAAACCGCTGGGAGAGGTCATTAGGAGGTTTGGGCTGTGGTGTCACCAGTATGCTGATGACACCCAGCTCTACCTCATTTACATCTATGCCAGGTGAGGCGGTGGCTGTGCTGAACCAGTGCCTGGCCGAGGTAATGGGCTCGATGAGGGCCAATAAACTGAGCCTCAATCCAGATAAGATGGAAGTCCTGTTGGTGAGCGGATCGTGGTTTCAGGTAAGTGACTCTGACCTTGTCCTGGACGGGGTAGCACTCCCTCTAAAGGACAGGGTCCACAGCTTGGGAGTGCTCCTTGACCCAGAGCTGTCACTGGAATCCCAGGTGGCAGCGGTGGCAAGGAGTGCTTTCTTACAGCTTCGGCTGATCCACCAGCTGCGCCCTTACCTGGACAAGCACTGCCTAGCAACAGTGATTCATGCTCTGGTAACCTCCCGGTTGGATTACTGCAACGCACTCTACGTGGAGCTGCCCTTGAAAACGGTCCAGAAACTTCAGCTGGTACAGAACAGAGCTGCCAGGCTGCGGACGGGGACCGGTCATTATTCTCACATAACGCCGGTTCTCTACCAGCTACACTGGCTTCCAGTTGAAGTCTGAGCCCAATTCAAGGTGCTGGTTTTAACCGGTAAAGCCCTGAATGGCTTGGGACCAGGATACCTGAAGAAGCGCCTCTTCCCTTACATGCCCTCACACCCCTTAAGATCTGCAGGAGAGGCTTTGCTCCAGGAGCCCTCTTTAAAGGAGATGATAAAAAGAGCAACTACCTGGAGCAGGGCCTTCTCTGCGGTGGTGTCCAGATTATGGAATGTCCTCCTTGGAGAGGTGCGCCTGGCGCCAAGTTTCTATTCTTTTCGGCACCAGGTTAAAACCTTTTTATTTCTATTTTAAAAATATTTTATCGATAACAGTCGCTTTTTTGTTTTTATATAATTTTATGGAATTAGTTATTGTTCTATTGTTTTAATTGTATGTTTGTGAACCGTCCCGAGATGCTGAGGCATGTGGTGACACCATATAAAAGTTTTAAATAAATAATTGCATGGCAACAGCTGTAGCTCAGGGGTAGTGTATGTAAGTGATCCCTGGCATCTTGAGGAAGAGCTGCGAAAACACATACCTGATACCCTGCAGAGCTGCTGCCAGTCAATGCTGACAGACCTGGGTTAGCTGGCTCAATGGTCAGACCCAGCATGAGGCAGCTTCCTAGGTTCTTAGGTTTCTAAATAAGCCGTTGAAGCCAATTTCTGGCAGTACAAGAATGCAACAAAAACTAAAACCAGAAGAGTAACACTGAAGAAATTAATGATACACTTGTTTTAAGGCTTGATATGAAATTACTCTGGTCTGAGATCGCCAAAGCTTTTATGAAGAGGGATTTGTGCTGGCGGGCGGACTGGCTTTTTGGTGGGTAGGTGCCTGAGGGCTGCTGCTTCTGATGGCCACTAAAGCTGCATGGAACCACAGGACTAACTTCTTTGCTTTGTGCTGCTACCACCCCATCTTAATTTCTAGCAAAGATGCTGCAACAGTACTTTTTGGGAATACAAAGGGAAAGAAGGCCTGGACAAGCCACTCTAGGCTTGGTGCCAAGGACGGATGATTCCTGTGTCCTAAATATACTGGAAAAGTGTGTAATGTTACCGTTATGTTCTATACAAATATCACAAATGAATTTTCTGTTAGCCAAAAGTGGCTCAAATATTTGGTTAGGAAAAACAGATGACACAGACATTGTAGCTCAAGTGCAGCAGGTCTGAGAGCCCTGGGCTAATAAACAGGAAATAAAAACTAAATAAGTGTCACATTTGAATTTAAAACTACTTGCAAATTAATTGTTACTGAGTATGTCTAAAAATCATACATATGCTTTTCTGCCATTTAAATTTTAAGGGAGAAAGTATGGCTGAAGAGCTGTGTTCTTAACTGAATTTTTAAAAGTATTTTTTAATGAAAAAATGGATATCCACTGCAGTATGTAACTGGCAGTAAAATACCTTTGCACTATACTCCTGCCCTATGTGTGTAGTATTGGAAACTAAATACATAGTCTAGTGTTTGTGCATAAGCAAATAACAGTGTTATAATCAGTTCAGAGATACAGTTACACGGATAGAACAGTTGGCAAAATGGCTTCAAATTCAATTTATTCCCTGAATGTGCTTTTTTGTTCATCTATGCCGAAGTCGTACACTTGACAAAGTATCACAATTTAATGGAAAACAAGTTTAATGCCAAAAAAGAGAAGATTTGTTACTTTTCATAATTATGAGGATTGCTCTAAAAGACTAACTTCAGGATGAAGATGATCTACATCACGCCAGTAGGGAAGCAGCACAGGGAGTGTTGATGTCCTTTGTTCCAGGAGTGGCCAAAGCTGGTTTGCTAGAAAATTATTCCCTTCCTCTGATAAATGGAGACCATCAGACAGATAGCAGCAAAAGCCCTAGAATGCAGATTTCAGACTATGTGGTCAATTGTTCTGAAGACTATTAGACAGAAATATCTATTGGCAATCTATCTATTGATATCTATTGGTCATCTATTGGCAATCTGTGGAAACCTTTTGGACCATTTCTTGCTCCAGCTAAAGAAATGGGTGTCTTAGATTCATTCTGCTACATACTTTTATGGGAAATACCCCTGTTTCTGCTGTTTCCAACAAAGCATTCAGAAAGCACAATGTTTACTCTCCCATAAATCTTACCTGGCTATTTTTTTGCATAAGTGTCCACAGATCAATGACATCTGTGCCACAATCTCTAGCGACTTGAACACATGCCTTGGCATACTCCCCAGTGATGGAATTAAGGCGGTTTAATTTTTCACCTATTTAAAATTAGGTGGGAGAAAAACAAAAAATGAATGATGTCAGAACAAAATAAAGGTTACAATAAAAGGACTAGGTTTGGAATTCATTGTTTTTCTGCCTGCAAGTAACATGGTTATAAATCAAGGTGCAGATCCAGAGACCTTTCAGTTCAACTCTGCACACCCAGGTTGCTTTCCTATGCCTACTTACCTGGAAGTAAATAATGCTGAGTTCAATAGGACTTGCTTCTGTGTAGACAAGATGGCATTGGTAAGGTGTCATCTGTTAAATAATGTGCCAGTACAATGACCTATTATAACCCTATTATGATTATGGGGGGTGGGGGGGAGTTCACATGCCCTAGTGTTAGTTGTTCCCACAATCTGGGTTTGCTGGCACAAATGTAGGGCTCATGGGATCAAGATGGCAGAGCCTGCATGAAAGGGCAATGCAGAATTACAGTCTTATTTCTTAAAATTATGCTTGCCAGAAACTCTCAGAAATACAAAGTATATTTGCTTGGGGTGCTAAACCATCAGTGAATCGACAATTTTCGCTTTGTTTCCAACAGCAGCAATCATTTTCTGTACAACACACCACAAATTTGAAAGCACGGAGCTTAGATGCTTGAATACACTTATTAATTTTTAGTTTTGCTGAATTCAAAATGAGGACAAACCTCTCTTACCTTTGGAAATACATTCTTTCTCCCAAGTGTCTTCATGAAGGGGGGATGGTGTCACCAAAATAACTTTATCTTCTGCAATATCCACAGACTTCAGGTACTGTATCATACTTTTCAAATTGTCAGCATATTCCTCCAGTGGAACATGTTGTTTAGGATTCAGATCTGCTCAGGGAAGAGTTTGCATTCAGGTAAAATAGTTAATTCAAATTGATTATACAGTCACAGGCCCATTCAGGTAAAGTCAGTCATGATATCTGCCTGTACTGCATTGCTCTAATGAGGTGTAAAATCAAAAATTCTTTTGAATAAACCATCCTGAGCTATGGGTTCCTAAGAAGCTACAAGCATTAAGCCTTGTAGGCAAATATGATCTTTTTGTTTTGTTACAAATACTGAACCATTGGCAGCTGCAAGTGGGGAATACGAGCTGTCAGGATGCAACTGGGAAGAATGATTGACAAGCAGCTGGGAAAAAATGGGAAGGCTGGGAACCCTCCCATACCACTAGTCAGAGCTCCCTCTTGCCAAGTCACTTGCACAACCTCTCACTTTTTTATCCTCTTTATATAAACTGGAATTCAGAACATCCGAAGGAAAGATGTGCAGAGCCACACTTGATAACTTCCCCTTTACTCCTCCTTGTCCATACTACAGGCAGTGGCAACTCTGCAACCCATCCAGGCCATGCAGCTCCCACATGGCAAGAATTGCCCCTCTGAACCACAACTCAGTGGGGGCTACTTCGTTCCCCTTCCCAAGTCACTGCCCCAGCCCTGAGTGGCACCTGGAGGAAGCTCGCTATCACTCCGCTCCCGTATTTGGTCAAAGAAACGAGGAAAAGCAAAGCGAATGATGAGTGGGAGCAAGCGCTTCAGCTTGCTTTCTCCAAGCACAAACCTGTCCATGCGCTGAGCCTGTTGGTAGAGATCCCCTGCCCCCACACCTGAGTTGAGGGGGATGATGAGGGCAAAAATCACCTCCTTGGTGGTGGCACCCCCCTTGTGAAACACTTGTCTTGGGAGGCTTGTCTGGTGTTTACCCTCAAGTCATTTCGACATCAGACACAGATCTTTATTCCCAGGTCCTTCAACTTGCAATTCAGCCTGCAGTATATCATGCTCCATTTTTTTTTTCTTTGTAAAAGTATCATTACTCTCTTACTCCAGTGGGGATGACATACTCCCGGATGACACAGAGAGTGGGGGCCCTCCCTAAGCCGCTTCCCTCAAGTCTTCCACAGCACCCACACACTGTTGTTTCTATGCAGAGCAAGGCATGGAGCAGAGAAAGCCATGGAAGGGGTTCAGACAGGGCTTGTAGGATCCAATGGAGTGCAGTTGTGCCATGTCAGAAAGGACTTGGCTAAAGCTTGTGAGTCCTGGCAAAGTGGTGCAAGGAATCCCTAGTTTATCTCTTCTGTCTGATCAGAGATAACAAAGATTCTTCCAGCTCAGGAGCTGGGCCTCCTGGAAGCTACAGGATGTTGCTTTATTCTGCATTTTAGTGTTTTATTTGTAAGCTGCCTTGAAAACACTCTTATTGAAAGATGGCACACAAACCCTAGAAATGTTTTTAAATGAAATGAAAAGGAGGACACAGTGTTCAGACTTTCAGACATCTGAAATGACATGACAGAATTCTCAACTCCAACACTGTGGAGTACAGGATTTGTGGTGGGAGAAGAATAAGAATATAGCATACCTTTCAATGCAGCATCATTAGCACCAAAGAAGATTGTGACTGCAACAGTGTTCTTAGAATTATACTCTTTGTTGATCAATCTTGGTAGAACCATTTTTGCCCACCTTGAGTTATAGCCAGAGAGTCCACGATTCAAAACATCACATTTTCTAAAACAAGTACAAACATTTATATTAAAAATGCCATGGTATAATACTGACACATTCTGAAATGCTGAAGATTGGCCAGACACCTGTTTAATAGTGTGCAACCAATATATTACTACTCAGCAATATGTTGAAATGATCTGGCTGGGACTTACAACCAGATAATTGGGCCAGGATGTTAGTCCCATCCCATCTTTTCTCTTGGGAGAATGCAATTCTAGAGCCCTGGACAAGCCTCCTAAGGATCATAGGATTGTTTGGATCCCTTGCAAGGTCAAAGAGAGGACCGTTCCCACAGCTAGAGCAGAGTGAACCATGCTGACTGCCCTCCAAGGTTGGAAAACTGAGGAAGAGGAATGGATGATCTGGTAGATGGGAAGGGAAGGTGGGAAACACATTCTCCTGCAACTCCTTCCTTCCCCCTCTGAAGCAACCTCACTACATGGGCTGAAAAGCCTATCTAGCAAAGATCACCTCTACTGCTCCTCACACCCAGCATGAGATGAGGACATGCTCACTGTTCACAGCTGATAGCACTGCACCCTCCGTGATTACTTTTCACAGCCCTTGAACAAAGCAGGAACAACACTGCAGCTTTCACAGCATGCGTGTATCTACAGACACACGTCTCATACATGTTCTCTTAGGCAATAGTCTCCTAAAAACCAAGGCGTGTTATTTTCAATCTGTTGTCACAATACATTTCAGAATTCAGAAGTGGAAGAAGTATAACAAATGGAAGCTATTGATGCTATGACTTAAGGATATGGTGTCTCTTTAAAAAAAAACACCAGATTTTCAGATGTCTTATTAATGCTTGAGATATTGATGTGAAAACACAGGAGAAGGATGCAGTTCAGCAAGTCTTACCTAACTAGTCTGTGAGTCAGAAGTGTTCCCCATCCTTTTTCTTGGAAGGAAAACTAGAAGAGAGAGAGGTAATGAACAGAACTAAAATCAGTTCAGAGACACCAGTCCAATCTGCTCCATCCACCCACTTGCAGCATTATGTTTGTGGGTTATCACCAACCCAAAATTAGCCTTCAGTTAACAATCATGGAAACAAATAATCCATCCAAAGTTTAGGATACTTTGGCCTTTGTCAAGCTACTGAATGCATGGAATTGCTCTCTTGGGAAGGGGACTGGTGGCTACAAGAAGAGGAAGGAATGTGCTCATTGTGCCTTAGAGGGGTAGGGAAATAAAAGCTGGATGAAGCCAGATGACCTCCTCTCTCCCAGTTATTTGCCCCTGAAAACTGTCAGAAGGTGATGCCGCCTGACCACATTTGGTCACCAATTGATGCAATAGCTAGCGTTGTTCTGGAGAAGTGTGAAAAAGTAAAAAACTTGGCTAAATAATACCTGCCACTTGACAAGCTCAGCACAGCTTTTTCATCCGAGAACATTCTGGTCTGGGTATTAAATACACTCCACTGTATTAAATCAGCATTAGGAGACAGAGGTGCCTCCAATCCATTCGGAATGCTTCCTACATGCACCGGTTGTCTGAATACTTGGAAATCCGATTCCTGGTTCCTACGCTTTGCTTGCTGCGCTCATGTTATGGGTACTAATATTAGACAACCACAAATCAGAAGACGCTTTTCCCCGCCTTTGTGTCTACTTTAGGGGAAAGCTTCATCTAGGAATTTTCTGCTTGTCAGCTGTTCTTAAATAGGGGCGGGGAATGGTTGCCATAATTATGGGGACGGGGCAGATGAGGCAGTAACGTCACTACTGGGGGAAAGCGTGGAGAGGCCGACTGAATAGGCAGGTGCAGCATTTTGATATGAAAAAGGGCGGCAGCCAAGAGAAAGGAAGGAGGAAGAAAGGGCTCGGCGCCTTTTGCTGACCAGGACCTGACTGCTTGGCCTTCGCGTCTCCCGTGCCCAGCCAGCCCTGGGGTACCTCCGTAATTGAGTCTCCGAAGAGAATGATCCGGGGCTGTAGGAGAAGCCGGCTGCAAGCCCTCGCCTCGGGCAGAGCCATGGGTCCCGTCGCCGCAGCAGCAGCAGCAGCAGCAGCAGGAGGCGGAGGCGCTCCTATGAGGGGCGGGCGAGAGGCGGCCTTTGCACTAGTATATCCGGGTGCGCTGCGGGCAGGGGGGCGGGCGAGGGCAGCCCGTGCTGCTTCTGCATGCTTTGCGGCGGGTGCGCCGGTGCCTTCCCCTTTTGCTGCTCGCAGGCGACCAGGCGGCTGACACCCAACGCAGCAGCGCGCCTCTCCTGGCCAGGCCGAAGCCTGCGCACGCCAGCGGACTGGCCGGGCCGATACCTACCTCTGGGAAGCTCACAGGCAAGAAGCGGGTGCAGCAGGATCCGCCCTCTCCTGTTCCCAACAGAGACTCGGTTAGGTGTGGAACCCCAAATGTGTGGGAGCCCCTCGGCCCCACCACGTGCTGAAATAAAGGTCCAGGGGCCCTGATGACCCCTGTTGTGTCTGATCTCCCTGCATTAGCTGGCTTTTGCCCAAACGTGCTTGACCTGCTGCTACTCACCCCAGAGTTGAATTCTTCTGCTGAGTTTTTTTCCTGAAAGCAAATGCTCTCCCTTACTATATATCCTTTAACAAATTAAAATATATTCTTTAGTATCTTTTCAAAACACAGAACATACAGGTGTAGTGTGTAAATTTAGGTGTTTGCATGCCCTCAAGTCATCTCTGACTTAGGGCAACCTGTGTATGAAACCATGCTCAGTTCATGTAACTTCAGTGCAGTGGCTTCCTTGGTGCAGTCAAGCCATCTCATATTCTGTCCTCCTGTTTCCTTCTGCCTTCAACTTTCCCTAGCATGATTGTCTTCCCTAGGGAGTTTTGCCTTCTCATGATGTGCCCAAAGTATGGATAGCCTGTTCTGACATTTTGCTTCTAGGAAAAGATCTAGCTTGATTTGACTGAGGATGTCAGTCTTCTGGACAAAGATCTTCTCCAGCACCATGTTTCAAATACACCAATTTTCTTCCTGCCTGCTTTCAAACTCATACATAGATATTGAGAAAAACGAAGTGTGGATGTTCTTGGCCTTGGTCACCAATGATACAGCCTGGTGATGTTTTCTCCTATCATTGCTGTCCTTTCAAGTCTCAAGCTTTTTTGAGTTTCTTGGCTATAGTCTTGGCTATATTTGAATTGATGATTGAACCAAGATATGTAAAAATCTTTCACAATGTCATTTTTTATTATTAACAGTAATGTTCTGTATTTCTTCTGGAGTCATGGTTTTTGTTTTTGCAACATTCAACTGCAGTCTTGCTTTTGTATTTTCTTCTTACATCAGGAGTGCTTTCAGTTCATTCAGTGTGTTGATTTATGTGTGTTTGTGTGTTGTTCTTTAGGTCTCAGTTCTACATCTTTCAGGTGGCACCTCTCCTGTTCCCAAGTTGCCCTTCTGGTAAAGGACATAATATATAGCCATCCTGATGAGTAACCACTGATAATCTTTCCTCCCATGAAGTCTAATCAACACCTAAACCTACATGCCATAAGCAAATCTCATAGCAATGAGTTCAGGCTGTTGTATGCACAAGCGCTTATTCTGAATCAGCAGGAACATTGTTAGTCCTACTTATAGCAGACCCATCAAAATGAGTGGATCCTGGGGATGCATGAGAGATGGCTTTTAGCAGTCCCTGCGCTGAACAGTGGTGTCAGGTGGTGCAGAGGCCTACAGGACAAGTTGAGCTTGCAAGGCCCACTGAAGCTCTCCATGAGGCACTCTGGATTCTACCCATCAAAATATGTATATGCAGTTCATAACAAACAAAAACATGTTTGAATAAATCTTAAGGAAACAAAGATTTATTTTTGTAACAGATGAGTGCTCCAAAATATGGTTTTAGTTGATGTAATATATACAATACTGTATTTCTGGACACTGGGCCTCATTTAAAAAGATCACTTTTTTATAACACAATACTACAATATTACATATACAGAAAGGAGCTATTCCAGTATGCCTTTTGGGGCAATATTTATTTTTAAAAAACCAGTGAATACAAATGAATTAGATTCTCCTCCCTCCCCGCCCCCGCTTGGTCCCCAATATATACAATGCTCAATTTGTTTATTGTACAGGGGTGATGGCATCATAGAGTCGCTGTGCGGCCAATTCCACCATTTCTCGAAGCATTTCATCATCATCTTCACAGCCTGGTTCATGGTCAACAGTCTAGAAGATAGAACAGAACAGAAAAAAATCTCAGCTTTCTTTGAAACCCATTAGCTTTTTAAACAACTTTTTAAAAAGTTGTTATCACACAGGCATGCATATAATTATTGTCATGAACCCAGCAACACTTTAGCTTGTATTATTTTAAATCAGCTGCCTCCCTGGTGACATAGCAAATTGCTTTTGAAATTGAAGGAAGTTTTAAAAATAGTTTGCAATATAATGTGGGCCAGCAGTTAAAAAAGAAGGAAAAGATCTCAATCAGTTACCACAAAGTGCTTTGTATGATCCTTAATTGCTTTCTTGATCCCAGCCAGGGTTATATAATTGTACAGCCACTTATTCCCACTAAAGTTACTTGCCTTAAGAAAGTCCAGCTGGGCCCACTACTGTTGCCATAATGCCTGGAATTAAGACTGTGATCAATACATTCTTCATATGAATTCAGCTTAAGAACATATATAAAATTTGCTGACTGAAATATAAATCAGGGGCATCTTTAGTGATCACAAATGAACCATGACTATTGCTTTGGACAGCAAATGACTTTATTTTGGGTTGGATTCAGAGCCATCTTTCAGTGAAGGGCTCTTTTGGTCTGCAGAAAGCTTCTGAGCAAGTGGAGCATTTCTGCTGCGGAGCATGGGGGAGCAGGCAATCTCTGTTATAGACCCAGTGCCTGCCCTTCTCTAGAGAAAGGTGGAGGAAGTGGTACAGGAAGCCGCAAAATCTGCATCTTTTTTTATTATGGAGCTGTTATGGAGGAACATGCTCCAGATAGACAAAAGGGCACACGCTGAGGCTCCCTTTGGGATGCATGCCAAAATTCCCGTGTCTAACTTATACAGTCCTGGAATATGATGCCAACAGACATACATCCCCTTTTATTATTATAGGTTATATTGCTATTTAACTGATACACAATATGTCTCCCACACTTCTTACAAATTATCATTTGCAGTACCAATAAAGCCTTCAGAATATTCAATCTGTCAGTACTTTTAACCAAGTGTAATATGGTTTAAGAACTTTGGTTGGAGAGTGGGTTTCAAGCCTTTAGAACAATTTTACAACATTCTCTCTTACTCTGTTTCATACTAAATTCCAGCCGACTGAAATATCCAAAACAGAAGCATTGGAACGAGACAACAAGGGCAGCATCCAAGGGCTTCTGTGCCTCCATGGGGTCTGTTGTGCCTGCACTGCGTGTCCTCAGCAGCCCGGGCAACAAGCAGAGAGTCTCTTTTCCAGAATATGGCTGGTCAGGGCAGCTTCCTTCTGCGAGCTCTACTAACCTGCCCCATTCCAGAAACAAGGATTTTTGTTCATTTCCAGGTGCTTCAGGACCTCCTAGTGTGAGGGCAGCAAAGGATAATGCCCCAAATAGTGAACTGGAAGACTTCTCAAAATTAATTTTATGTTAATAATAAGCTAGTTAACTCAATAACCCATCACTATTTTATTAATATTTAATAACACAATAGTGATATTGTGCATGATATTAATAAGAATATGTGATACCAATACAAATAATAATACTATAACAAAGAATTGTGTTAATTATTGTTAATTTAAGTGTGAGATGGGTATACTTTGTGTGTGTGTGTCTCATCAGCTGTAGAGAACAAAGCACAACACATCAGTATCAAATTTAGCTGTACATACCCGTGTATCCAATGAAAGATTTGCGATTTTTCCATCCACTGTGATGCTCAGTATATTATCCTTCTTTGCGCTTACACAGTCTTCTCCAAATATGTCCCTATAAAGGAAAAGTTTAACTGTTACAAGTGTAGAATATGAACAAGCTGGTTAATATACCTAAAACGTATTCTGTTCAGTTGGCCTAGTAAGGCTATAGATGTATACTCAAAAGTAAGTCCTGTTGAGTTCAATAAGGCTTACTCCCAGGTAAGTGTACATAGATGTACAGTTCCAGTATGCCAACTTTCTGTTTCAGTCGTATTTCTAGAGAATAACTATATCCAAACATTTTTAGAATGAGCTTCATACCATTAAGAGTGCAAGCATGTCTGGCTGGGAGGATGCTGTGAATTGGCAGCTTTTTCAGTCTGAACATGGACATACTTGTGCTCTAAGTTAATTTCAAAATGTTTGAAGAGGCTGGGACCTCCCCCCCCCCCACCCGAGTCCAATGTTTAGTCTGAATAAAAAGATTCAGCTGCCTCTCCCATGATTTCAGAAAATAATAAATCTTATCATGCATCTGAGAAGCAAAGATTGGATGGTATAAAAGAACAAAAGTGAAAAGAAATGAATCAACTGGGTACAATTCACCAAGCACCTTAGATCCTACTGCTTAAGATAAAGAACTTAACCACATTATTAGTTTTTCACTGAGAGAATGCTTAACTTTGGATGGAATGTACACATAGTATGTTCTCCAGTGATTCATTAATTTTTTACCCATTGGTCATTTGTTACACAAATGAAACTGATACCATATAAACTAGGATTTACATATTAAAGTGTTCAAGAGTTTCAATACTAGTTTACTGTCAGTTCTGGTATTCTGTCAGTTTCATTTGTGTAATACATGCAGAATAATCATCATTTTAGTTCAGGGATGGGCAACTTTGATAAGGTCCCTGTAGGAGATCTGAAATACCCTATAGTGCAGGCGTCCTCAAACTTTTTGAACAGGGGGCCAGTTGACAGGTGCCAGCAGTGGCCACAGGCCACCAAGGCGGTACTGGTGGGGAGGTATGGGCTGGTGTGGGGGGGGGGGCACGCACACACACATCCATGCAAGGTGAGGTGGAGATGCGGGGGGGGGGCACGCAGGGCAAGGCACCAGCTTGCTTGCAAGAAGACCTTTTCTGAGCGAGTCCAAAACGACCTCTTTGTGAGCAAGCCGCCGCTGGGCACGTACACAGTGAGGTGCCGGCTTGCTCGCGAGGAGATAATTTTCTTTAAGCATTTCCAAAACCTCCTCGTGAGCAAGCCATGCCCATGCCTAGCAAGTGCAAAACCTGTGGGGTGGGCTGGTTAAAAGGGCATGGCGGGCCAGATCCAGCCCGCGGGCCTTAGTGTCTCAGATGCTATCCCAGGGAACACATGGCTGCTTCCTTAGTATATCTTAAAGAACAACTGTATGTATGTATATATGGATGGAGTGATTGCATTTGTATGCCACCTCATAGCCAGAAGGATCTCTAGGTGGCTCCCAGGACAATCATAACAATGAGACAGATAAAAATAGAATACAGTAATACCTAAAACTATAAACATAATACAATAAAATGCTATATAAATACAACAGGAGGACGAACACAGTTATAATCAACAAGACAATAAAACTGTACTAAAACTCTCTACTTTTTCCAGTGCCATGTAAAGAACTTTCTATTTACCCATCATTTTAATAATTAAATTAATAATTTTTAATAAGAAATTAATATTTGCATTTTCTTCCTTCTTTTCCTTTTTCTCTTCTTTAATTTGGATTGTTATGATTGAATGTTTTAATGTTTATTATTGAATATTTTAATTGTATTTTATATAATTATTTATTTGTTTTAAGTTGTCCTGAGGCTATGCAAAGGACAGGTTATACATGTTTTAAATAAATAAATATGTTATATAACATTTTAGTTAGTGCAATGTCAGAACTTACTGAAGCATAATCTCCATCTTCTTGTGATATGCATCAATCTCTTCTTTTTTAGGAATTTTATGTATCACAGCTGAAAAACAGAATTAATGTTCCAATGCAAAAGGTACTTGCAGCGTGTAACTGATATCTGATTTGAAACACTATAAATAATGTTGGCATAACTGTATTTCTACCACAAATTTCCCAGAACGCTGAGTTGTATTCCTTATATAATTATGTATATTAAATTGGGTATAACTCAGATAATGCTGAAGAAAGAACACCTGGACTGGATCTTAATGTCATGCCATAGCACCTTAATTCATAAATACCTTTCAGGTTTTATTTTATTGTTTATTTTTATTTGGACAACTTGTATGCCGCCCCATTCGCATAAGCCTCGGGGCGGCTTCCAATGCATAAATATTTCTATACAAAATACATAAAATGCTAGACACATCCTGGCAACAGACTTAAAATCAGTAAGTAAAATCAACAGTTAAAATAACGTTTAAATAAAAAGGTCTTGGACAAGTCGGGTCATCTTGTACAATTTTGCCACTTAATTTTCTGCAATCGAATGCATTTCTACAAGTTTCTGTTTTGAAAAATTCTGATCCATAGCATTCTGATTAATAACATATTGTTTAAAAGAATTGATCTGAATTAGGAAAACCTTCCCATGTATTAGTATCTTTGTATAACAGCACACTACCTGTACTAATAAAAAAAATAAATACCTTTATGAATTTTGGGATTTGACTGAACTTCCAGGATCACTGTTGTTACTGTGTCTGCATACATATCATTAGCAGGATTTGCAACCCACTGGAAAAAAAGAGAAAAATGTGCTAAATTTAGGACTATGGGAAAACAACAACTTAAAACCACAATTCTTAGGATTCCATCTGTGTCCATTATTTCTTCAACATTTATGGGATCTTGCAGCTAGTTCCAAATTTTGTTACGATATTCGTTTTCATAGGCCTTGCCTCGGGACACAAAATAGAGGCATTTTATTAGTGATACCAAGATTATACAGTTTGTTCACTTAGGAAGTACTGAGGGTTCCCTCTTTCAGACTTTGGGGGAACATTTGACAGGCTCATTTTGCAAGGACTTTGGCTTGTTTTGTTCCAATTATTTAATGCCACTGGGGCTTGTCTAGGTTGCTCTACTTTTTTTTAGCTCTGTTACTAATGAAACATTATAGTGTTTTTATTATATATTATTGTAAGTGTTGTAAGTGATCGTGTGGGCTTTGCTATCAAAAGATATACTTTAAGGGAAAAAGTATTTATTACAAAAAGTATTAATTTTATTTACTGTTGAGTCCAGGAAGGAAGAAATTAAGAAGAAAACAATCAGATTGTTTAGCTTTATCTTCAGCAAAATGAGAATTCTGTACCAAAATCACTGAGTTCACACAACAATCTACTACAGATTGTTGTCAGTGATTGTTTGTAGTGCTGTCTGAACTCAGTTGTGACTTATTTTGGTTGAGAACTGGGATAAGAAACAATTATTTTTTCAGGAGTTTCTCCCCATCGTAATTGTTTGTATCAGACAACACATCCCATCATGGGGAAAGCCCCAGACAAGAGCCATTTGGCCAAAGGAGCCATTTTTGTTCTTGCCAAGTGACTACACAGAGGGCAGCTGCCAGGGGTGCCCCTCCCATTCCAGAATTCTACTCTGGGGAGCCAGAAGCAGCCCCCCATCAGCTGGGCAGCGCTGCTCTATTCTGAGAGCAGCCGTGCTGAGTGGATTGCCAGCTCCCAGTTCTTGCCTGGAAATAAGCTGCTCAGGGAGTTGCTCAGAGCTGGTTTCGTGGGAATGCTCCAATGGGCATGCCAACTGAAACCATGCCCCCATCACCATTCTTAGCCCACTCGGAAGCATAGCCCATGAGTTCGGCAGGGATGTCCCCTTCTGGTTGCATCCTTGCCTAGCCCAGGCTCATCCTTCCAGCTTACTCCTAAACAGAAGGTGGGGGGGGGGGGTTTGCTGGGCTTTGTGGTGATAAGCCAAGAGCACCACATCCACACCCAGTCCCCTTTCTCTGTTCCTGTTTGAGGAGCTCTATCCGCAGCAGGAACAGGGAAGGGGACATGGACTAGATGCCAAGAAGGGAGCATCCCCATCTAACCCAGGCCTCCCCCATTCCAAGTACTTGCTGCAAGGGCCTCAATAAAGCTGGTCAAGCAAGAGTGGGGAATGGAGGACCTGGGCAAGGTAGGATTCTTCTGTTCTTTTCACAGCCCCACCAAGCCAGTCCCTCGTCTCCCTCCTCCTTTGAAAGAAAGCCACTGAGGCAGGAGCAGTGGAATCAAATCAATTGCTCCGCCTTCAAGTGGGGCAGCGCCCCTCAGCTGATTGCTGCCTTCCCACTCAAACCTCAGAGGCTTCCTTGCAGGCAGGACGGGGAAATCAGAAGGGTGGCACTGCCTGGCTGGCTGCCCCCTTGTGCCTGAGAGTGGACCAGGCACACCCAGCTCTCGCTGCAGAGGTCTTGTTTAAAGCTGGAAGTGTGGGTGACTGATCAGTTCCCCTGTCCTCTTTGGTAGTTCACTGATCATCTGTCGGGCTCGATGTGGCTGCTTGGCACTCAGCAGTAGCCCAGTGTGCTGATTTACCACTTTGGGTTGACATTACATGCAAATCCAAGCATTAAAGCTACTAAATAGAAACTTATTCCATTTGTACCTCTAGCACTACCATGCCTGGTTCTTGGACAACAGTAATGTTTTTAAAAACCTTCAGAGCTGGCTTATCCTGGACTTCTATTTCTTTTATGTCACCTTAAGAAAAGATAAAACACAATGACAAAAATAGAACAAATGCTGTGTATAACAGAGATATACTCTTCACTGGCTTAACTATTTCATGCAACCATGCAAGTTAAGGCTGAATCTCACAGTCCCGCTTCTTTCCAACAGATCCAACCTTTCTGGGATGTACCTGCATGACAGAGTGTATGAACCAGACAATAGTAGGTGCACTAGCAAGAATCTTGGTTTATAAGGACAAACTGGATGCTCCACGTACTGGCTCTTACTGTACATTAACCAAATATATTGCTTTCTTCTTCATGTAAATTTAAGCTGCTGCATTTACTGGCAATCTACCTTGAAGAATCAGTTGATGAAAAAGCCTTCCTGGCTCCCATCGACCTTGGTCATTACAAGCATGTTTTGCATCTCCCAGGTTTAGTAAGGTTTTAAGTGGCTGGTGGCTTAATCTGTGCCTAGAGCTGGATTTTGGATGCAAACAGCCTTGGTGATTTTGGTTAATGACCTACCCCAGGATCTTGAGAGATGGAGTGCATCCCTGTTAATTCTGTTACACCCCTAAGCAGCATTTAATACCATCAAGTATTAGCAGTATCTCAGGAATCCTCTTCTATTAAGTACCTGTTAGTTTTTGCAGGTGGTAATAAAGAAGACTGAAGGAGCCAGTGTATGGAACAGCTTGTGTCTGTGTCACAGTGCTCATGGCAAGATCAGTGTAGTCTGTGCAAAATGAAAAAAGACAACATTTGGTAAAGATGCTCTGAACTGTACCTTGCTCCCCCATTTTCATAAGGATAGTGGAGCAATAAATTTCAGTCTCTGCGTACGACAACTGCCCCCACCCCCCAGTGCCATTCACAAGGGTTTCCTGGCTTGCGGGACCAGATGGGAGGGACACACAGGGCTGCAGTGGCAAGGGGGAGACAGCAAAGCCCCATCGTGTGGCTGTGACCTGTTCAGGGAAGGAAGGGGAGGATCTAAGCCAACGAAACAAGGGTAAGGAATTTACACAGCACAGTTTCTGCCAGAGCCTTGTAGTCTTTCCAAGGAAGTATGTCAGTCTTAATTTACCTAATTAATTTAATTTTTCTCCATTTAAGGAAATGTGCATCTACATGTGTTCTTTAACCAAAGTTATTGCAATCGAAGAGGTGAGAAAGGCCTCTGGCTCCAGCCTCATGTCACGTCTTCCAGCCTCAGAGCATTTACACTGTGCTCTGACTAGGAAGAGACAGTGGCTTGGCTTAGAGAACAGAACACTGAGATGAATAGCTGGAGACAAGATTCTTTGGTCACTTCTACTCACTGGAGAGATCACAGGGAGAAAGTATGTGATAGTTAAAATTTCTTTTAACTAATATTCCTGAAACTCGCTGTCCTTGTTCTGGTTTCTTATCTGCCAGAGAGCCCATCACCTGAGAAAAGGAGAAAAAGCAAGACCCGTGAGAGAAGACATACAAGCTGTGGGGAGAAAAAGAGACTCTAGTTAAACAACAGAAGAGGGCATCTCTGTCAAAGTTTGTGCACTAACCAGTTAATTAAGAGGCGAATGTACATATTGCCAGATACAAAAATGTATTCATGAATTGTTTGGTGTCATTTCAGGGCTCATCCACTATTTTCTCAGAGGAAAACTACTGTCATTACAGTGGAAATCCCATGGACAGCCCCAAGGGATCAGCCCTATCTTATGATCAAGCTATTCTCTGCCTCTTCCAAATCACTACTGGCTCCATTCTGCCTAAACATTGCATCTTGGAATGTTCAGAATGTGGACCTCTATGTATAGAAGAAATTTACATGGGGGAGAGCTTAAAAATAGGGTTACTATCAAATATTCAACAGATATCCTGGATCCCTAGTCATTGTCTTTTTGAAAAAGTAGTTTTTAAGCAGAAAACACGAAAGCATCTGCAATTGTCCTGTGCTTGCGACAGGAGTTCATTGCCTGCATATGGCAGAAATGTACTTGTTTAGATACTATGCGATAACGAAAGTTCCATGGGTGCTTTTTCCATAGAAAAGGATTCAATTAATTTTGGGAAAAAACTACTGAGAGTGACAATGAGGCAACACATGCAGCGTATGGCTATTTTAATGAAGCAAATGTTAGCTTTACCTTAGCAAGCTTTTCTCCTCTGAAGTTTAGTGTCACAGCTTCAGTATTCCTAGGATTATGGACCTCTATGTGAACCTCATCATTATCCTCATATTCACGGATCAGTGCGGCTTTCAGCCTGGCCATTTCGTTCTGTTCCCCATGCACCAGGATCTACATGAAAAAATCATGCCATGTATGGAGAAGACTCAGAATTGCCCTCCCTTCTGTTCCCAACAGGTTTCCATATACTCCTCCCTGTATTACACTACATCTTCCTTGCCATTTGTGGCCAGTTGTCTATCTTCAGCCACGTATTTCCTTTTCCAGCCTTCAAAAGTTGTTGGTACTATTTCTCAGTGGGACACAGAGATTTCTGTGTGCAAATGGAAAGCACTTATGTGCAGAAAGACCTCCCTGTGTTCCCCCAACTTCAAGAAGCACCTTTTTCAGTGAGTGTGCTGGGCTGCAGGGAAGGTTTATCCACACAGCCCTTTGGACCTCAGCCCGTACTTTTAAATCATTCCTTTACTTCCCTGAATCTCCCCCTCTTCCTTTTCATCTACTCCATTTTCTCCACTCTTCTCATTTCTTCATTGGATAGGACCATGTATGGAATTAATTTTCCAATCATTTTCATGATACAAGTGATACAAGCTTTCTAGAAAACAGCTTTCCAACTGGGGTGGACAACTTGTTAGCCTGAGTTGTTTTGACCCATAAATCCCATCAGACCTCCCCACTGATAATTCTGGCTGTGGGTGATTGGCATTGCAAGTCAAATTATGCAGAAGTTTTCACAGTGTCCACCCCTGCTGAAAACCCTGTTTGGGAAACAAAAGAGCAATAGTGAATATAACCCACTCTGAGATCATTCTGTACTTCATAGAGTATGGCAACTTGAAGCATTAATTCCATTCTTACTGGCTGAGAGAGAACTAACTCCTTGAACTGATGTTGGAATTTGACATTTACTTTATTTCTTGAGAATAACAAGCATAGACACTGACCACATGGGGAGGCTTCAGCGCCCGAATAAATTCACTGGTTTGTTGGTAGTCTGTGTGTGCAGAGAAAGAAATGTAATCCACAGACATCTTCAGTGGGAGCTTCTGTCCTGACATAGTTGTGATTTCTTCAGGTTCAGACATGATATGCTGCAACAACGGCACAGAATGCATTCATTCCCACATGGCACTGCACTATTTCATTCAGAATAAAAAAGTTACATTCTTTCCTTCAGAACATCCCTTGAATGAGCATCCTGGCATAAGAAACCTTTGCCCTGATTTTACTCTACAACTTTGTTATTTATTAATTATATTTGTAATCCACCAAATAACCTAACAGAAGGCTAAAAAGCCATACAACAATTCAAATATGAAAAATATACTTATTTAAAAAAATACAATATGTAACAACAAGCAACACAGAAACAGATAAAACAGCCATAAAAAATCTAATAAGTTTATCATTAACGAGAGCCCACCCAAATGACCAAAGTCTAACCATTTTGAAAAGGAAAAGGAAAAGGAAAAGGAAAAGGAAAAGAATGCTTTCTCTGGTCATTCTAACTCGCTGTAATGTAATACAAGTGCAAAAGCCTGGACATGGATGTCTTCAGAACTACTTGATAGAAAGACAGGTTGGGTATTTTAATATTTAAGTTCCTGGCTTTTAATTTAATTCACCTGTCTGACCTTCTTCCAACTGTCTCTGAACAATATGCTAATTGAATGAAATTTGCTACATGTGTTCCAAGACATAATTCCATGTTTCAAGGAGAGTTACCAGCTTGACCAAGATGCAAATCACACTATTACACATAATCTATCTTCAAGCTTGAGATATTAAAGTAAAAGTAACTGTTCCCATTTATGACACAATGCCATGTGTCAAAAATTCAAACACCAGCTCAGCTCACATCCATTTTTAGCAGTTATTTATTGTAGAGCAAGGTCCCTTGAACAGTCTACCAGTATGCATTAATCACAATCAGGCTACCTTGTATTTAGATAATACTCTCGGGTTGCAATCTTAGGGACTCCTATGTGAATAAGCTACAATGAATACAATGGCACTTAACTTCTGAGTAAAGTTTTGTTGGACTGCACTGTTAGAGTGTCTGATACATTATCATGCAACCCAATAATGCATGACAGAATTATCATCTACTGGTTAAAATGCTGACCTGGGACTTGGGAGGCCTGGGTTCTAGGCCTGGGTTCATGGGCCTCCCCTGGGCCATGAAGTTCATGGGGTGACTTTAGGCCAATCACCGACTCTCAGCCTAAACTAGCTAATAGGGTTGTTGTGAAGATCAAACAGAAAGGAGTAAGATTATGGGAGTTACCTTGCATTCCTCGAAAAACGGGGGGAAAGAGCAAGATATAAATGAAATGGTAGATAGTAATCATCCTCACAGGTGGAAATGGCAAGGAATCAGATTTTGGCTGCAAATGAGGAGAAATTTCCTAATGATTGTTTGACAGCACAACGAAGTTCCTCAGGATATGGAAGGAATCTCCTTCATTGGAGATGCTTCACCAGAGGATGGACAGATATTTATCAGGGATACTGTGGTTACAAGATTCCTGCCTTGAGCAGAAATTGAACTAAACAGTCAATCAGCAAGGTCCCTTCCAACTCCAACTTAAATTGTAAGATTTAAGCAGATGGAGGGCCAAGGTTGGCAGAGGAGGCCTTGGCTAAAAGTTAATGGCCGAGGTAAGAGTTGAATTGGGACTTCCTGATTCATAGCACTGTCTTTTTGACATTCTCCCAGCAATGCATTGTCATCAGTTTAAGAATTTTTTAAACGGTGCTACGGACTCAGTAGTCTGCAATCACATAAACACAACATCAAGTTACATTAAGTCCAATTAAAACTGCAGGATATTGATTCAATAGCAAAAGAACTGAGCACTTTAAGCAGTCCTGTATTTTAAAGTATCATGCTAGCAAAAGGATACTTCACCTTTGCAAGTGTTCCTTCCACGCAGTAGCCTGCTATGATGACGCCATTCCTTTTATCAGTACACCAGCTCTCAAACAACTCTCTGGATAAGCCACTCTGCATCATGCCGGGAGAAGCCATTACAACGCTGGGGCCTATGTCATCAAAATGATCCATACTCTAGGCAGAGACAAAAACACCTGTAACTATCATTTCAGTTTAGGGAAGCCAAAGACAAATTAGTCCATCTGAACGGTCATGCCTGCTCTTACGGACCATAGGACTTTGGTTTATAGAGGACTCTGTGGCATCAGTGAGCTCCAAATATTTCTTCAGGGCTCCAGCAACAAGACTGGATGGCACAGATATGGATCCCAGAATAATGCTCATCATTAGGAAGTTCATAGCTAGGCCCAGGGAATCAGAGGATGGCTGGCTGACAGACCACAAAGAACTTCTGATAACAGTGTGGAGCCTCTGTGCACAGGCCTCTGTGCATCTATATTCAGGAAACAGAGTTCACGGTCACTGATGATTAAACAGATCAGTCACGGCACCTTCCCTAGGTGTCAAGACAGATTAATACTTATGTTTCTGAGGTGTTACAACCTCCGCTGAAGGACATGGACTTCAAATGCTTCCATCTCAGTTTGAAATGAGAAGGGATTCCTCTGAAATGGTCTGGAGAACTGTATAAACTGAACGTATCAGAGCAGGGACAATGTGCATGCATCTGTCACCTTCTATGCACACCGGAGGCTGAGCTGGGAGGAAATGCTACATAGCCTGCATGGGTAGGAGAAGCCCAAGTCCTGGAATTCTGCCAAAGGAGCAGCAATTGTCCTACCTGACTCTAAGCCCTCTGTGGGGAAGAGTACAAGCACCACTCTCCTTTCAGCAACAAGCATGGGGTGCTTATTAATGCATGTATTAGGACAACTGTCTGCGGTAAGGTTTTTTTGTTCATATTTTCTACTCCTTTACTGAATCAACAACAGGTATTCATGGAATGGCTACAATTTTTTCTTAGAGCAATACAATCACCACTAGAAGTGGCAACTGAATCCTGAAAGGTTGTGGTGCCCAATTTTAAACAGAACTATTTATTTGTAAGCATTGTATACATCCCTGTATTAATAACATGGCCTTTATTCACACCAACCTTTAGATTACTAATATGTTTAAACACAAATGGATTGTTGATGTTGATTTGCTTGCGGATTTTATCATTCATGGCATTGACATAGGTCTGATACACTGCCATACATTTCTTTGCCAGAGAAGAAGCATAATATATAGGTATCTCGTGTAGCTCAGGATGATTTTGCCAGTATTCATCTAGATAAATATTAAAAAACAAAGAGAACATGTATAAGCAAGTTCTGGAAAGCACTCAGTGGGAAACAACATCATTTTAGAATATTGGCTATATCCTATAATCCTAAACTCAATCCCTCAGAACTGGATAAATAGGACTTACTTCTACTGAAAATTCCAACATTTCAAAAATGTTTATGCAAAATATTTTTAGATTATTAAAAGCATAAAGAAATCTTTGCTTACAAAAGTTAAAAAAGAAATGTTAAAAACTATGTTAGACACATCATTGGAGAAAGATGTCCTACTGGACTTCAACTCCCAGCATTTCCCAGCTGGTCAAGCTGGCTGGAGAATGCTGGGAGTTGGAAGATGCGCATTCTGAGACAGAAAAACAGAGCTGCATTCTGAATTAATGAATTTCAGCAATGGAGCTGGGTTGGAGGACTGCCTTATACCTCTTCTGTAGACACATGAATATTGTGGCTTTACAACAATAAATGAATAAAATTACAATAAAAGCAGGACTGCTGCTTATGACAGCAAAATGCCTAGCCTGTCCAAAAAGTCTGAAAAAGGGGCATGTCAGCTAAGCCCTGCCCTAAAATCTCCCACACTGGACGGATATTAAATAAAATATATACTTTTATATAAAATGGCAGACGACCACTTTTCCTTTACAGTTTGAGGGGCCCCTTAGCCTTCAAAACAGAAACTCAGGCAGCACATTCAACATTTGCTACTGCTTTTGACAAGTTAGAAAGAAGAAATGTACATACCTAAAATCAAAAGTAATTCTTGAGCTCTTCCCAAAGCAAACACAGGGATAAGTCCTCTACCTCCTCTGTTCACAATGTCATGTACAGTGTTACAGAATCTGGCCTCTCGCTCTTCCCGTTTCTCATGGATGTGCGTCCCATAGGTGGATTCCTGAAAAAGGAATGTGCACAGTCAGAACAGTGAAATACACACACCTTTGCAAGTAATCAGCATGGCGGTGCTATTTTTCCGAAGTGGAGGTTGACCACTTATGTCACCTACTGAAGCTGTGCTACATCAGTGTTAAGTGGATCATGCATTTCCTACAAAACAACGACTGCCAATTACACCACACACAGCGGTGCTGACCTGCCCTTCTGGCAAGTGCATCATGAGCCAAAAGCACGAGATTGTTCAGTCCCCGCTTCTAGTTTACTGAATCAGTATACTGAGTAGCAAAGCACTGGGCTGCAAGAGGAGCCCTAGGCCTGCCTATGCCACCGCCAGGTCATGGCACCTCCAGAAGCACCAGCGAACAGATTTTAAAAATGCATTCAGATCTAATGGGAGAATTTAAGTCATAAACCAGAGCTGAATGTTGGTATACTGTGCAAACATTGTAACACAATGAAGTACAACTATGAGTCATGAAAAGAAATGCTGCCCAATGTGTTTCCTTGAAAAGGGATTTTAAGGGTGTGATCTTATATATGCTTAACAAGTCTTACAGCCCCCGGGACTCCCAGTCAGGGCTGGAAAAGTTCCTGTCCCAAAACCTGGATGGGACAGTGTCAAAAATACTGGGCCTCACCCACTTTAAGGCAGTTTTTTATGTTGCTGTATAAATCCAAATAACACCAACACCACAACAATATATTCCAGAGTGTATAAAATAAGAAAGGCTGAACTTACAAAAAGCACAAATGCTTCTTCTACTATATTCAGTATATGAACTATATTATATAATCTATATTCAGTAAATTATTATAGAAAAGAAACTTACAATTATAAGAATATCAGGTTTAATATTGGGAATCTCAGCTGCCATCAAATGTCTGTCTTCTTGTCTTGAGAAATCACCTGTGTATAAAAGCTTTGTAAAAGAAACAATACACACTGCAATTAGACAGAAAAAGAATGTACAATACAGCAACTGATTAGCAGTATTCTATCTATTCTATTAGCAGTATTGATCCATCCATAGATCTTCATGGTGAAGCAAATAAGGTGAGGCCAGTATCACAAAAAAAGACAGCACATCAAAATTTTAAATTCACTACTCAAGTACTACAGTTAGATAGACCTAACCTTTCACTGGCAATGACAACAGCTTATGCCACAGACCTTTCGATCTCAGTGCAGCTGGAGACATGACTGAGAAGAAATCCCCCTGAGCCCTCCCCCCAACATACACACACACACATAAGGGGACTGGTGACACGACACAACAGCCCAATTTGGGTTATGCAATCCACGGTGAGGCTGTGGTATATACAACTGCCATTCTGAATATACACCCCCCACTCAGGTATTCTCATTTCATGTGAACCTGGAAACAACCCTCACATAACCCATGGCCTTTTTTGAACCTTGCATAACCCATGCTCCAGGATTTTCCTGCCATGACAACCCTTGAGCAGGAGCTGCATATTCATCCTAAAACCTGTGGAAGCCCTAGCTCAGTGAAAGCTAGAAAGCTCATGAGAACCTACAGCATATTACCCAAACCTGGTCAATTTCTCTGAAACTGAAGTGGTACACTAATTCAAACAAATGTACAGTTATAACAAGACTATGTAATTCTTGACTGTGGTAAGAAAATACCTTCACTCCTGCTATTTCAATCATAAACATGGCTGCTCCCAGAACATGGCCTGCATGGTAACACCAGAACTTGATTCCTGCCACCTCTTTTACTTCATGGAAATTGATCGTTTCAATTTTGTCCATGCTTTCTTCCAGGTCTGTCTCTGTGTACAGCATGTCATCTGCTGAAATATTGCTGTATAAAAAAGTAAAGCAAATTTCATCTTGTTTGTCATCTTAAATCATTTGAAAGATTGTGCAGGACAAAGACACTTAAAATAAAGTGTGCTTGGGATGACACTGCGACAATATGAAAGATTATGCTCACATTGCCTATGTTACAGTACTTGGCCCCCACAATTTAAGATCAACTCACCTAACTTTAACATAATCTGATAGAAGCCATCTATAAATTGCTTTTGTCGCATGGGTCATAAATGTTCTTCCTTTAAAACTTGTCTTTTGCAAAAACCATGGTAATGCTCCACAATGATCCAAATGAAAACTGAAACAAAGAGTAAAGATCATATGTTAGACTCAAACAATGAATATCACGACATCTACCTAGACCGGTGATGGCAGACTTTTTAGAGACCATGTGCTCAAACTGCAACCCAAAACCCAATTATTTATCACAAAGGGCCAACACTACAATAAAACCTGAAAACTGAGGTTTTAGTTTAGAAAAAACAGCTCACTGCCAGTCCTAGCAAATATATCTATCTATCTATCTATCCATCCATCCATCCATCCTTGGCAGCACACTGACCAGCCATGCAAAAGCTCGGACGAGCCGCGCCTACTGTGTTGCATGTGACATCATCACCTGGCGCCGCTACTCCTTTCTGAGCATGTGCATGGCCCCATGTACGCTGTTATCTGATGCTCGGCTGCTGGGGCAACTTGGCTTGCATGCTGACAGAGAGGGCCACCACTGGCCTAACCCTTCCCTAGTGCACTCCCCTAACCCTAATATAGGACTAAAGTTCCATTAAAAAGATGGCTTTTGAAAAAGCCATCCTAGAGTAGCTTTTTCTGCACAGCTCAACATTTCTGCCCATTGTAAACACATTCCAACCATCAAAATCATGCCAGGACACCTCATTTTTTTAACCCTAACCCTACCGTGGTCCACACCCCTAACCCTAATACAGGGCTAAAGTTCCGTTAAAAAAAGGGCAATTTTGAAAAAGCCTTGAGTAGCTTTTTCTGCAAAGCACATATTTTCTGCCCATTCTAAACACATTCCAACCATCAAATTCATGCCATTAGTCCTCGTTTTTCTAACCCTAACCCAGTGATGCTGAACCTGTTAGAGGCCGAGTGCCCAAACTGCAACCCAAAACTCACTTATTTATTGCAAAGGGCCAACACTGCAATAAAACCTGAAAACAGCCAGTCCAAGCAAATATACATATATCCTTGGCAGCACACTGACCAGCCATGCGAAAGGTCGGACGAGTCAGGGCTAATGTGTCATGGCTTGTGATGTCATGGCCTGGTGCCAGTACTCCTTTCCTAGCAAGCGGATGGCGCCTATGTGCGCTGTTATCCAGTGCGTGGCTGCTGGGGTGATGCCCGCTGTGGCACGCGTGCCATAGGTTCGCCACCACTGACCTAGACTGTAGCCTTGATCAAAGATCAAGTACAAAAAAGAATGCTAATACTGATCATCTCAGCATCATCAGTACTATCAAATCTTACACTTCCTTCGTATTTCCTTAGTATTTCCTTATACTTCCTGAGCACCTGAGTAAGGTGCTCAGATCAAACTGGGCAAGCACTCAATATAAGTCTCGCAAATAAGCACCCCAAATTACTAGCCTGCAAAAATATTTACTACAGCATCAGCTGTACAGTAACTTAAAACCGGTGAAATAACAGCAACGGCCTGCTTGGAGAGGGTACGACTGGCAGTGCAAGGATGGAGACCTCTGGTCCACTTGCAGCAACCTGTGGCATTTCCACGCTTCAAGTGAAGTGGGGGATTCACTCCCTACTTGGTTTCTCTGCTAGATGCTGGGGAGGGGTGGACCACTCCTTCCCTGTTCCTTCTCCCATCGACATTAACTTGACACATATCCAGTTGCTTGCCACCTATGGATGCCAGGTGAGTGCTTAAATATAAGGTTGCTCTATGCTGATCCACAGGTCACTTCACTTACTGGCTAATCAAAAGGAGATCAATCTCAGCAGGGTCTATCAGATCAATGTAAGGAAGTGCATCCATGCCTTCCAGGCCAGGATGGATTCCACAATCAAGCTGAAAAATGCATTAAAATCAGTCAGTCAAAGTTTAGAATTTATTATTTTGGATATAAGCAGCTACCTTAGAACATGTGTGAATGACTATACATACATACTACATTAATGGAATATTATAAATTGAAGTTTGCTCTTAATGTCAAACTAAGATTCCTATTCATACTTAATATTTCAAATATTTCAAAATTTATTACATTCTTGCAGACAACTCAAATGTTGTAGTTCTCAAGTGCAAGTGGAGGAAAGAATCTTGACATTATTGGAAGTACGTCACATGGGGACTCTAAGTTTAGAAAACTACTCATTATGTTCCTAGATATAATTACACAAAAACTTTCTGTGCTAGCTTCAGCCAAACATGTATAGCATGGAAATCTTGCTCCAGAACGTGGGTATGTGAAAATGGGAGGTGAAAATATGTAACATCTAGATCATTCTCTAACCTGGCTAGTCAAATCTGCAAATAAGTTTTAAGCTGGAGTTCCATAAAATAACTATGAAATTATTAATGCTTACATCCTGCCTTTCCATCAATAATTTTAAAATACATCTTTTGAAAAAAATTGGTATAAAATATCCTGTACAGAAAAATTAAAATACTCAAAAGAAAATGTATAGTCATTACAATTACAGACTTACATGTTTCTCATCCCAAATGAAAAGCCAGTGTTTTCCACAATAAGCTATGGATTTTATAGATGTCTCCCTAACTTATAGAAGCTGTGAGGAACTGTCAGTAAGGAAAGGCAGGAGGAGAAGAAAAGTTCCACCTTTCCCAGTCAATTTCTGCAGAAGAGCATGTAAATCTCCATATCTAAGCATGAGGCAATGAGTTCACAGCAGCCTCCTTGAGGTCCCTTGCTACCCTACAGGTTTCTCATAGCAATTAACTTGACACCTATCTGTTGCTTTCAGAACTATACTAAAGGCCTCTGCTGGACACTGTGAATAGTTCATATTAATTACCAGCCAGTGTCTTTGAGTTATTGATCCCAATCCAATACACAATGCAAACTTCCCTTAAGGATGAATCAACAGATTTTACTACAATCCCACAATCCCATCCAACAGACTATGTAGAAAACTTTGTTCTGATAGGCTAAGCTATTTTAGGATTAAATGATTTTTAATACCACACACAGGTAAAAAGCTGTGAATCAACACACAACCAAGATTATAATAAATAACTTAGCACAATGATTACCATAATCTTCCTTCCTTTAAATTCCAAGATAATACATGATCTTCCTACTTCTTGGCCAGCACCTCTGTAAAGAAAGAGTTCGGACAAGTTATGGATATAATCAGAAATCCCCTGAATATAGAAGTGGTTAGGTGTAACTGGCCAAGCAAAGTAAGGTCTTTGGTTTAACTCTGTAGCCTTATTCAGGGGCAACACTATGATTTTCCAATATGTGTTTGAGCCCTGGGGCAGCACACTTTCTCCTTTTCTGGTGTTGCCGGAAGGAGATTTATTTCCAGTTAACTGCAGTGTAGTGTTATGCGCAAACCCTAAACTCTCTTTATCTTAGTTATGGTTTATAGCATTCTAATCCATAATGTGCAGTTTATTTGTTTCTGTAAGACTAGCCAGTTTGTCCAGATTTGGACATAACATTAAACAACAATAAGTGAAAAATGGAAACAAAAGCTTCTGATTTCCGCTTCCTGATTATGGAGAAGGGAGGTCCCAAATTCACCCCAATGAGGTGAATTCAATGAGGTGAATTTGGGGTGAATTCAAATTATTGGGGTGAATTCAAATTATGAATTCACAGGGAACCCGCAGGGGCACAAGTTTCAAGCACAGACACAGTAGGAAGACAGGATCTTGTCTAGTGTCCCTTTTGCTCTCTCTCCAAATTTCTAACCAGAGGCTTCAAAAAAATTAACAGCCTGGACCCAGGGTCTTTCCTTGATGAAAGGGGCTCCATTCTGCTGCTTTAGAATGTAACTACCTGTTAACTTTGTTTCATGATCTCACAAAAAATAAAGTACTGACAAATCAACACCTCTGTGTTCAGTAGATCTCACTCCCAAGTAAAAATACAGGACTGTACCCTTTCAGCCCATTCCTATGTGTTTTATTCAGGCAGCCCACTGAGTCTATGGGATCCAGTCTCTAGTGCAACAACAGTTTAATGACTCTATAGACTTGCCACAACTGTATTTTTTATTGTAGCAGATTATTAAATTCCTAACTTTGGAATCTGCTACTCTGGTAAGTGTGCACAGGATTGCAAGCTGCCTGATGTTTTAGGCTGGCATACTCTAAAACGAGTCCTAATATTTTCAGTGAAAATTACTCCCACGTAAGCATGCTGAGGATTAAACAATTACTTGGAAACAAAGCCCTAGCTCTAGTGAAGCCAACAAGATCTAGTTATGTGTCCTTCCCATCTCCCACTGCTGGGCTGTGTGCCTTTGACTGAAAGCAGCCACTGGAAACTCATAATGCCTTTATAATGAGAGCTTTACTTGCAAATGTTCAAGTGGCTATAACAGGAGTGGCCAAACTGAGACTCAGGAGCTGCATGCAGCTCAGTGTATTTTGCAGCCTGTGAATGCCCTTTTGCTGATCACCGGCCACAGCCACTGTCCCCCGGACGATAAGCAGAGCTAAACAGAAGGCAATTGCTACAGCTGATTTGCTTCTCCATATGAGGTGGCTCTCTACCTTACATTTCCTTCAGCCATCATGCTTTCCTCTCAAAATTTCCTCTTGCCAGATCTGACCTATCCTTCAAGTCGCAATGAGTACTCATTCCAAACCAGATTCCCACTAATGAGATGCCATCTCCTCCACATTATCTCTCAGTGGTAAGACCACCCTGGACAATATATTGAGCAGGCACTATATGACAATATATTGAGTAATACACTAAGAATAAAATACTCAGGATTTTCACTAACTCATCCCTACGTGTGCAAATCTCTGTGCGTATACATTTGTAACAGTCGATCTGGTGCCCTCCAGATCTGTTGAAGCGACAGCTCCCATCATTCCCAGACCCCTTGTCCAATGATCAGGGATGCTTGGAATTACAGTCTCAACACGTGATGGCTAGAATGACAGGCACCTCAAACGCATGGTGACTGGGAATGATAGGCGTTGCAGTTCAAGACATCTGGAAGGCTGACTGGGAAAGGCTGGTACAGAAGACATCGAACGAGCACTTGAGAGAACGGGGGGGGGGCGCACAGGAAGGGCCGCTGGGCGGCGAAGGGAAGCGGCGCGCGGGCAAGTCAGCTGGGGGCGTCGCAGCCACTCACAGGGGCCGAATCAGCAGCTGGTCGCTCTCCTCCGCCGGGACAAACGCCTCGGTCCTTCTCCTCGCCGACATCCCTGCGGAGAAGGGCGCGCCAGGGTGCGCGCAGCTCCGAAGCTCTCCCGCACCAGCACTCGCAGCGCGGCGCTTAGACGCTCTCCAGAACCCGCCTCTGACCCGGAAATAGCGTGGTGTAACGTCACTTCCGCCGCGGCGCCGGCTCGCGGGCTGCGACTTAATGCCCTCTGGAACGGAACACGCAGCGGAAGTCCCCTGTGGGGCGGGCGGTACCCGGAAGGAGACGAGGGAGGGGGCTTGTCTGTGCTCCGTGTTGGTGCGGCTCGTCTGTGCGGGGCTCGGGTAGTGATGAAAGATGGGCGCGTTCTTGGCCGCGGCGAGGGGATAGCTCTGCCTGGCTCCGGGCCCAAGGGTGCTTCTTTGGTTCCGTGGCAGAGCTCCTGGTGACTTCGATAGGGGCGCCTGCTACTCTCCACCGTGCAGATGTAGTGAGAGGGAGGCGCTTCGCTTGCTGCACGTTTGCTGGGGATGCGACTTGTAAAGGAAGCAAGCCTCTCTCTCCTGAAAGGGCTGTGTGGACACCAGATCGCCTTTGAAACCAGCTTGAAGGTTTGCGTGTTCTCTCTTCCAGACTGCAGGAGGTAAGGTCAAGAGCAGTGCCAATAGTCTCAAGCACCTTTGAAAGCCACCTTTCGCAGTTGATCAGATCTGGAGCAGAGATCTTCGTTAGAAGCCACATCTGTTTTGCTGCGTTGTAAGCTTGTATATTGAAGTTTGTGATGGAGTGCTGGCCATCTCAGTATCAGTTGCTGGGGAATACAAGCTGGAGGGTGCTATTGCACTCATGGCCTGTTGCAGTGGGAATGAGGAACATGTGCCTCTGCTGAAATTATTGTGTTGCAACTCTAAGCATCCCCCACTATGGTTTATGTTAACTAGAGCTAATGGGAGCTGCAGTTCAGCAACCTCAAGAGAATGCAGATTCCCCATTCCTCTGCTATGAACAGTGGTGGCTGGAGCTCACAGGTATATGAGGCCTGCCCCTTTGCCTTCAGACCCACCCATCCCTGGTATGTAGCCCCCAAGAGCACAGCCCTCTCACTGAAAGGCATTCTGCACCTTTGACAGGTTGTTGGTTCATCTACAAACACTCATGCTATTAAAATAGGAGTCATGGCAAATGCTAAGTTTACAATAAGGAATCGTGGTTGTCATTTGGAAACATTTAAGTTGAATATTGCTATTGAGACATCAAAATGCCTTAAATACTCTATTGGGTTTTTTCAGTTTTATACCTGAAACTCTGTGGAAGCTGCACTTTTAGATGTATTTACATCTCTACATTTTAATTTCAAGACTTGAACCTGCATCGTAAATAAAATTATTTACTAATTTGCATTTATGTATAGGATTGCAGCCTTAACAGTGCAACAAAGAAAGACATTCTTTTCTTTTACAGCATTGTGCCTGATCTGATGTTGATAAAAAATGTTCAGAAAAGGAAAAAAGAGACATAGTAGCAGCAGTTCACAGAGCAGTGAAATCAGTACTAAAAGCAAGGTGAGATAAACTTATTTTGCTTTTAATGTGTTTAGCTGTTTAAAATATTTTTATACCAGACATGTCTCATATCAACTTGGTAGTGTTTTTAGAAGTACTTCTAGCATTTACTTGGTGATAGAGCACAACATACTTTCCAGATGGTTAGATACTGGTAAGAAATCTTATAACTGAAGAGCCAGATACTTGGCATTTCTTAAGTCAGGTTTCAAGTCCAAAATGAAATTAATATTGTTTCTGTTAAATTAAACTGGCTTAATCTTTAAGTTATATTTACTTTTTACTGTCATAACAAAGGAAGATAAGCTATTTCTTTTGTATGTTCCCAGCAAAGGTAGATCTAGTGAAAGTACTGAATGAAATACTGCTTAACTGGCAAGATAGGGGAGGGGAGGGAGGAATTCTTTTGAGGTGTATTTATATATTTATTTATTCAGTTCCACATTAATTAGTCCAAAGAACTCTCTCTTTACTACTAAACGATCCCAAGTGAATCTCAGCCTCATGTACTCTTTTCTTCCCCCATCTCTGTGGTGTGTCTTTTGCTTCCAATTAAGCACAGTTTAGTATTAGCTCTGAACCAGACAAACTGTGTTTAGTCTTACCTGTTGTTTGCGAAAACAAACCAACTTCAGACTTCAATAACTTCATAAGATTTTCATTTTTTTAAAATAAGTTTTATTTGAATTATAATCCTAAGAAAAACAACAGATTACAATTTTTTTTTCTTACCTAGTCAGTGGACTCCAGTCTTGGAGGGCTTTCAAGATCTAGCACTGTTGCTAGTCTGGATACAGACTCCACAAAAAGTTCAGGTATGATAGTGATGATGATTCATAGGTATTATATGTGAGTTGTACGATAATATAGATGAGTTGCTTAAAACATATAATGAAATTGTATTCAGGGATTAGGCTCAGAAAGTTATCTTACCTTTTCATATGTCATTGCATGATAAGCTTCCATTCATTATATTGTAGAGCGGCCATTAAATTTTAAACTTTCATTTATAAACAAAATTAACCTGTGACTTGGATTCATATATAAGCTTGAAAGTGTTGTGACAATTCTAGATAAATGCAAAGAAGCTGCTAAGTAAGAGTTCAATCAGCATCATCATGATTGTGGACTTCACTATCCTGTATAGTGCTTCACTTGTCCCCCAGGACTATCAGACGCAGTGTAAGCAATGCAAAACAGTGAAACTCTCAGAATGATGCAAATAATGATACATACGCATTCCCCTCACTGGGATGGACTGCACATTTCTGCTTTCTCAAGCACTAGGGGTTCAGGAAAGGGTGGAAAAATGGATACCACCAAGAACAGAGAACATACAAATAAAGCAAGTCAGGAGGGGCCTCCCATGCCATCTAGTCTGACCCCTGGCTCCAGCCGGCTCCACTCATGTAATCCTCAACATGTGATTGTCCAGTCTTTCCTTGAAACACTCTCACTGATGGGGCCTCAAGTATCAGGTCCACTCCTAAAACCTACAGGATCTCACTGTGAAAGGGGCAATCTCACCATTCATTTTCACAGGTAAAACTTTTCTCACGGCTTTTGTTTCACATCTGTCAAGCGCAAGCTGAATAATGTATTTGAAGTTTGACTTTGGCCTTGCAGGTGCAAGCAGGCAATCACAAGGAAAAGACGAGACTCTTCAGAGTTCAGATAATCTTATTTCCAAGAAATAAGAAATAATAAAAAACTAAAAATATCTGCACACATTTCTGGAATGTAGAAAAAAACAGGTGGCTAACAATTATGGATCTTCCAGTGTGCCAGCTGGGCACTTTGGAGGGGCTGTCACTTCCGTAACCACAAAAAAAGTGATTTCCAGAAGAAAAAAGGTGGGGGGAGCCATGGCCACCGCAAAAGGGATTGCGATTGCAGCAGAGAGAGGAGACCAGAGGGCCCGCTGGGATACCAGTGGGAGGATCAAACGGGAACTTAGGAGTAGCCCACACTGCCATCCACGAACAACCCAAGGGACTAGTCTATTTGCATGGTGGCTTGTTGTGTTGTGTGACTTCAAATGTGACATAATGGGTGCGTTGTGAGTTCATATAGAAAAGATGACACAAACATGGAATATCTGGCACACGTTTCTGTCTTGTCAACCTTTATTATACATCACCATCTAGACTACACTGTATCTACTCAGTGAGATGCTAAGTTTATTGCTGCAACTGAACGTGTTCATGTTGTAACAAATAAATTTAATACATGTAAATTTACCAGCTTCCTAACCCACCTAAAGCTCCCTGGCCCCAAATCCAGCATCAGCTTAGCTGGGCTGTTAAAGGCATTTGTTCTGTTCCTTAGCCTTTATAGTAACATTCCTTTTCCTCCCCTCCGAGCCCAGTGGCAGCAGCTTTTTCTGCATTGGATATGAGGAGATGGTGCCTTAATCCTTGAAGTCCCCGCTTCAAGATCATAGAACCTACCTACTCCAGTTGCACCCTAAATGTCATAGCAGTTTGCCATTCTGTACAATAATGGAACTGCAGATTATTGGAACTACAGTAATTATTTCATTGTATGTTTCTTAATAGGGCAGAGCAATAGCACTTCAGATACTTGTGCAGAATTTAGAGTGAAATATGTTGGTGCCATTGAAAAACTGAAGCTAGATGAAAGCAAGAGTTTGGAAGGGCCACTGGACTTGATCAACTACATAGATGTGGCACAGGTAACACTCTTCCTTGGTTTTATTCCTAAATGAAATGGCCAAACTGCTCCGTTTGGCAGAAGATAACCTTTTGGCTTTGCAATAAGGACAAAGATTCTGAGAAAAATCAATAACTTGTTAGCTAAAATCTGCGCTGGATTTACTAATGCACATGTGAAAGGTTGTACCAGAAAAGGTGATTGCTTTAAAAGTCAAGCTTAGCCTCATATTTTATTCTCATATTGAGAAAGTGTTATGGAATTTTATCATTAAGTTTAATGATAGCTTTATATGATCAGTAATTTTCTTTGTGCAGTTAATAAATTTTCTGTCTTTGCCTTTGCAACATAGGGTTCCATTATGATGACCTTTTATCTCAGTTTAGTTATAAACTATAAAACTGAACTGAAATTAAATGAGAACATTTCACCTTTCATATTTTTATGAGCAGAATGTGTCTTTTGGACTGACCCTTGGCCAAGCCACCTGTACACTTAAGAGGGGCCTCCAGCTCTGCCAGCTGCTCTTCACCAGTACTGGAAACTGGATTGGGAAGCTGCACAGCTGGTTGTGCAGAGGATGTCCTTTCCAACTATATTGTGACAAGCACAGTATCTGCTAGGAGATCAAAATAGGTCTAGTTCTTAGATGGTGTAGCCAGTGGTATGTAGTGGTTAAGAGCATGGGACTGGGACTCTCGGTGATCTCGGTTCTAGTCCCCAGTCAGCCATGGAGCTAACTGGTGACTTGCAGCCAGTCACAGACTCTCAGCCCAGCCTGCCTCACAGGGTTGTTGTTATTGTGAGGATAAGATTGAGAACTGGAGGAGGAAAATGATGTAAGCCACTTTGAACAGACAGGATATAGATAGATCGATAGTAAATAGGCCGTCAGCTCTGCCTTTGATAGATAGCAGCTGTGCAGGTTTCCTGCTTCTTTTTTAAAAGAGTAGCTGTATATACTATATGTATATATAGAGACAGGATAAACTAGCATAGCAACTGATCTGAGTACATCTCAAATCCTAAGGTGTAGTTTGGTGTGAAATACTCTAGGAATCATTGGACTTGTTTTGAAACTGCTGAAATGATTTCTTTCTGATACACATCAGAAGCTATTGCATAAAGAGTACCATAGATTCTGCAGTGAAAGCAAAAATAGCAAAAATCTAATACAATTTTAAATGCACTGTTTTACTCAAAGCTTAGCTTACCCATGTTTCTGTCAGATGCTGCTTTTGGGTTGCAGAATAGTAAAGTTATACATCTTGTGCACCATTGTAACATTCCTTGACACTTGTTATATGAAATTGCAAAAATAGTAATGTTTACAGGATGTGTATATTATACACACATGCAGGAAGGAGGAAGTAATTTTTTTCTTTAATATCCACATGACCTTTTTTTTAATAACCACAAGACTTTAGTTTCTCAGAAATGTAGTTAAGACATTGTTAACATAAGGCACATTAAGGAACAGTGAGATTTAGATATTTGATATAAATTTACAGTAATGTTAAATATGTGCATTGCTATATGCATTTATCTAAATAGTATTTATAGTATTCTTTTAAAAACAAGTAGAAACACTAGACATGTTACTAACTGTATATATTGGACTATTTACCGAACTGGTCAAATCTTACTAGAATATTTATATATTCTACAATCTCACATATTGGTAGAATATGTATTTGTATATATATATAATAAAAAAGGCAAGGAACTATCAGGAAGATATCAGTCACATGCACATTATGTGTTTTTTATCATTTCAAAGCAAGATGGAAAGTTACCCTTTGTTCCAGGGGAGGAAGAATTTATTATGGGAGTTTCCAAATACGGTATCAAAGTCACAACTTTGGACCAATATGTAAGTGATCAATGGTTTAAAAGCTGTTGCTTGTGTGATTAATATGAATTATGAAAGTTCTCTATGATCCCTTCCTCCATGTATTTGATATACAGAAAAGGCAGATAACTTGCAGAAGCTGATGGGATGAAATGCATGTATAATTGTATGCTTGTTTAAAGATAGAGAAGATACCATCAGAGATCAGTCCAGGCTTTGTTTCATATCTGAGCGTATGATACAGAGCATGCAAGTGTTACAGTGTGGCGTGTTTCTGTTGACTGTGCCAGCCAGCCTTGTGCTTTTGCCAGAGGCGCCATTTCTCAGCACTCCTGGCACCTGGTCCAGTCTGCCTACTTCTGCCTTCTGCATCTCCTCCCATCAGGTGGGGTGTTGCACTGTAGCCACTGTACCACCCATCCTCTCTTCCAAGGCACAAGCTGAGCACGTCTTTATTATATGTGACGTGAGCAAGAGTCTGCCAGGTGGCCTTTAGTCTCTAAGCAGATCATGCATCACGGTAATTAAGAAGGAAATTTAGTGATTGCTCCTTCTCCCAAAGGAAAAACAAATGTCGTTCCCTTCCTGGACTGTTTCTTGACAATACTGTCTCAATTCTTGCAGGTGCTTTCTCTTTATGGCATTTCTGCTGCAAGATTAAAGTATGGGGATGGGCATGTCATTAACATTGGTATTTTAAGTGAACCTGGTTCTAATTATCTGCCATACTGTTTCTGTGTTTTGGTTTTTAATACTTTATTCCTTATTGAATACCACTTCAAGTAGCAAGATGTAAGTTATTGGGTACTATATTATGCTTTGCTCTAATAAAGAAATGCAGCATTTAAATTATTTTAATGCATATATAACTAATGGAGCAGAAACATATTATACCCCCACTCTTCTTTTTACTTGCTTTAGTTTTTTTCCCCCTTCATCCTACAGATGCTTAGAAACTTCATCTTTTCAGCACTGGGGAATCTTCTTTTGGTGAAGTTTCCCAGTCTGACCCATGTATTGTCCCCTTCTCTAAGCCATGACCCTTTACCTTTGATCTCCCCCTTGGCTTAGTTGTAACAAAATTATAAGTGGGGGACTCTTATCAACTGTGTAGCTTCAAGAAACACCTACAGGACTGCTGCTTGACTGACAGCACGTCACTTCCCCTCTTTGCCTTTCTATCTGAGCACAGGTGTAGGCAGGTCTCTTCCTGCCCTGTGTCTTCCCCAACGGATGAAGGGGTGGGATTCCCAGACTCCTGTGAATGAGACAGTGCCCAGGTGCATGGCTCAGTCAGACGCTGCCTGCTTGGCGTCTTTCTTGCTCAGGGAAGGTATAAAGCTGGCAAAGTATGGAGCGCCCCACTTGCCAGCAGTCACACTTGCTCCCACCGTCCACCGCTAAGCATCTTGTCTGCAAGGGTCTCCCTCTGGTGCAGTCCCTGCAGCCAAGTTATTTCTCCATGCCTTGCCCTAAACAAACAAGAAGGCCTTGTCCTTAGTTCAAGAAACTGTTTCCCGCACGAAGATGCCTGTATTCTGTACTGGGAGACCCTGTAGTGCCCTGGGATTCTCTTTCACACCACTGTTCCAAAATCCCGTGTCGGGATGGTTCAGTTCAAGAGGGAAAGCCAGCTCATGGGTCACCTATTAGTATTTTTAAGTGGCAAGTGCCCCAGGAAATGGTAGCTAATTCTCAGTTCTTTCCTACCACTTTACTGTGAAGGTGAGCAGGTGCAGCATGCTTTTTCTGTCAACATCTTTGACTGCAACATTTTAAGCACTTAAGATACCTTCATATAAAGCTTCATGAGTAGCTGACCTGCTTGTTTTAATTTATGAACGGCTCTTCCGTTATGTGCCAACTCTTTGGGCAAATAAGGCCTGGTGCAAAATTCCCTTTAAAAAACTTGCAACAAGGAGCTGGAAGATTTTGTCAGAGTAGGATGCATCAGAACAAATCTGTTTCTGTAAATAATATTTGGAACTTTCAGGATGTCCTGCATAGACATGCACTTTACCTAATTGTTCGGATGGTCTGCTATGATGATGGGCTAGGGGCAGGAAAGAGTTTACTGGCTTTGAAGACAACAGATGGAAACTATGAAGAATACAGCCTTTGGATATACCAGTGCAATAGTCTGGTAAGAATCATGTTTAATCTTAAAAACAAACCAATATCCTAGGTTGACTCAAGCTGTTTAAAATATACTGTGCTATTATATTTAGGCATTATGGTCTGATACATGCTCTGTACCAAAACACAACAAAGATAGATTTATCTTATTTAAGGACATGCAATTACATGGTTGTGACGTACCTGGAAGAAGCACAAACGTTCACAGTGCTAGTAACAAACAGCAGGAGCATTTAACTTGAAAGTAAGAGTATGCTTTTTAGCACAGTTTTTATCTCCTCTTCACTCCGAGTTCACACGGCTTATACATTTAGCGTAGGAATATGCGAGGAATCTGCTTTGGGGTGAAATCCATCAGAGTCACTTCACTTGGCCACCCAGACTCCAGTCCACTTTACAGCAGCCCTGAATCCCAAGATCCAGGCAAGCACACACAGCTTTTGCAGGGTGCTTACTAGGAAATGAGCCCCATGCTCTGAACAGGGAGCATCCCAGCAGCAGCTGGCAAGGAAAAAGGTTGGTCACCAAGAATGGCACCCGGCGTGCCAACTCACCACACCCCTTTTCTGTGTCCTGCAGCCATTCTTTGGGTAGCTCCACTTGATGGAAAGGTTCCTTGTTTTACAACTGGGCATCTGGGAATGTTTGCAGACTTCCTCTAGACTTGGCTAACATTGCAAGACTGTGCCAAGCACAAGAGGGAGTCAGCAGATACTAGATGGATGGCTTCTGAAAGGGTTGCCCTAACTTTGGGCATCAAGTCCTATAGCTAGAGCTACAGTTCCATTGAATAAAGCAGGTTGGTAGAACAAAAGTCACCAGTTGCATGCAGGATTGACTATCTGTAGCCATCCAGCTTCAAGTGGGTTTCTGACCTGTAAGAGTAAGGGAGTCAAGTGTTGCTTAACAGCAAATGCTGACCTTAATTACAGATTTGCAGATGCAGTGCATTCACATTTTTAAAGTAACAGCCTAGCTTTCCACTGAGATGAGAGAGTATGTTTTGCATATGCTAGCCACTGATGCACCTGTACTATTTGGAGGAGGAGGATTAGTTTTCAGCATTTTGAAGATGCCTTTGCTAGCAACAGTGATTGGTAAACAGGGAAAACAATCCATTCAGATTCTGTTCCTTTACAAATTGCTGTTTCAAAATGTACACAGGCAACACAACTCTAAAAGTTGTCTGTCCACACTTTTAACTCTTATTAAATCATATTCTTAATTTAAACTTGCTGTTCCACCTTGGATGCTTCAGATAGAAAGTGCTTTCTGTGTAAAATTTGAGCAAAGTAGAACATACAGAGGATAAGCAAAATACTGAAATCCTTGACTAGGGTCCTAGACAGTTGAATGAGCTTATAGACTAGAAGAGCAAGTATGAGAAGCTCTTGTGTTCTAAAATGCAGGAACAAGCACAAGCTATTTGTAAGGTGTTATCTACAGCCTTTGACTCGGTTTTAACATCCGAGAAGTCCTGAATGTCTACAGCTGCACTCCATCACTGCAAGGAAGTATTATTGCTGTGACCTCTGCAACTGGAGATGGAGCAAGTATTTTGGCACAGATGCGAACATTAGATATCTGCTTGAAGATACTGGAACAAATAATTTTGGTAAATAAGAATTTGCTTCAAACTACCAAGAGCCCGACTTGCATTTTATATTAAGTGTTAATATTCAAGTCATTCCTATGACCTTATAGTCATGTATAAATTTGAGTCTGCACTTGGCTTTTTACATCTTTTTTCTAAATAAAATATTTTTAGATGAGTCTTTGTTAATTACTGGCTGAACAATTTAACTAACTTGTATTTCAGGGGTCCTGTCTGTGGCATCTGCAAGACCAAACTGATGTGCCTGTCAAATTACTCTTCCCATGTAAATGGAGTGATTCTTCCATTCATTTTTACAAACACTAGATTCTCCTTGCCCAGAAATTGTGTGTGAAGTGCACCTCTCATAAAGAGCCATTGCAGCACCAGCTGAGTGATAGAAAGGAAGGTTTGCCCCACTTCTAGCCAGTTTTGAGAAGGGCGGCTTTCTTGTTCCAGATTTACGGAGGAATTCCTCATAGGCATGTATAGGAAACAAATAGTGTCCCCTCAGCCATCTGAAAGGGGTGTAAAGTCCACTCCTTACCAGCGACCTTTTGGGTAGCAAGGTCCTTTGTGTTTTATACCCTCCAGACAACTTTTGACAGGGGCTTTATGCTTGCTTCATGCAAAATAATGAAGAAATTGCTTCATGAAGCTGTAAGGGGATGTGGAATGAGAAAGAAAGAGAGATCAGAGAGAAAGAGGGAAAGACAAGAAAAAAGGGCAAAAGAGAATATGGCAGGAGGGAAAGAAAGAGGAATCCATTGGAAAAAGAAGCAAAAACAAAACGAAGGGGAAACAAGAAAAAAAATAAAAGAGGTGTACATTGATGGGCATGAAGATAAAAATAAAGGGACACATCTTAACAGTTTTTGTTAGTGTACCCCCCACCCCCTACAGCCATCAGGTGTAGTATCCAGGGTGCTTGTATGAAATGTCCAAACTCTGTTCTAATTAATATATACAAGTACCTGATTTGTATGGTAGAATGTACATAATATGTCTTTAAACTGGTTGAAATCTTAAAAGGAAGCAAGTCACATTTAAGATTAGCATAAAAAAAAACTTGCTTCTTTATTAGATTTAAAATTTGTAGTCATGTACTTATACAGGCTGTCCTTCATTTTGTTCTGAAGCTACTCTTTATAGCTTACTGTGGTTTAAGGATTTTTCACACTTAATTAAAAAAAAGTCATGCTGAGGCTTAAAAGTAGTTTATTTTTCCAGTCAAGCAACTGGCTTAACAAAAGTAAAATTAATCATGCTCCAATTATAAATCACTGCATCCAGACACTAAAAAATAAGAACTGATTTAGGTTATATAATGTATACAGTTGCTCTGCAACTAAACAGTTAAAACCATCACATGAAAATTGTACATCTCAAGTAGCATTCTGAGCTGTATTTTAAGTGTCTTATGTTCCTTTTTAAAACAGTTAACACAGTAATCTTATGTGCTCAAAAACAGAGCTGAAATACCATTGCCTTTTCTTGTCAGCTCTGAAAGATGACACGACCTGGAAATTGCAGCATCTGCTCGAAACAAAAATACCATAACACAGGACTTTTCATTATGAGTTAGTGCAAGGGCGCACAGCTTATGGTTCTTCGGTTGTTTTGGGCTACAGCTTCCCTCATCTTTTCCCACCAGCTATAGTGGCTAAGGTTGATGAAAGATGTAGGCCAAAACATTTGAAGGTTACCAGCCCACCCTAAATTAGATGGTCAAATAATGCCATAGAAAGAAATAGGAACTTTTAAAATAAGCACCTTTGATTTAAGCCTAGTGCCATCATATTGTAGTATGAGAAAGCACTGTTACTCAAAAATTTCCAGTGACCATGATTTGGGCTTTTACAGAACCATTGGAAGCCTTCTAAGCCCTCAGCATCCACATCAAGTGCACCCAAGACCGTCAGTGTATGCAGGAAAATCTGGAACTTCCCACCCTTTCAACTGACAGACCTGCATACCTTTTTGAGGCCCTCTGTTTGGAATGAGGGCTTTTGTCAGGTCCAAGCATCTCCTGGGTATGCATTGAAAAGTGGCCAATCTGAAATTTAAGTGCCAAATAAACTTCTAAAGGCTGCTTTTCACATAAAAGTATTTGAAAGATTCTGTGTTTAAAATACTGTACAGACGTGAACTATGCAAAATGTGCCCATTCATTTTCTCGAGTTTAACAGGCATAGAAACATAACAAAACGTCCAAAGCCAAACTGAGTCCATCAGCATCTGAAGAAGAAACGTGTAGTGGCAAACTATTCTTCTAATATACATATATATTTAGTGGGAACTTTGAATATGCAGACTTAAGCTTTGAAACTTGCAACAAAATTATCTTGAAACATTCCAGTTTGCCCCCCCATACACTGCAACAGCCTGTATCAAGGTGAGTTTAATATGCCAATTGATTGCACCCACATGTATGACATTGCCTCAAATGTACCACTGTAGTGAGCCAGTAGGAAAGGGTGAGATCCAGCATTTTCCCCCAATATAAATATACCAATTGACCCTTTTCCCCCATCTACTTCAACCTATGCTAGCCAATATATACATAATTTCTGTGTCAGAAATTCAAAGTTCTCTTGATAAATCTAGAGATACAATAGTCACAAAACTTGTGATCAAAGCCAATGTGACCTGGACATTGATATTCTAATCCTATGCTACCAGTGCACACTTTTGGTAGCATATGCAAAATAAGAACTGTTACAATATCACAATATACAAACATTAAAAGGACATTGCTGTGTTCTGTAATAGTCTATCATCCTTTTGGAATTATGAAAGCTATTCACAATTATTAACAGTGTCAACTACCATATTTTAGAATATATTTAAGTACACAGTGTGAGTCTGCAACCAAATATTGTTTGGGTGCAGGACAGTGGTATATACTTTAAAACGGAGAATTCCGATCAAGACCCGACTACACTGTCCTATCACACAGTCTGAGTGTGACCATACCATGATGTGCTTAAAAAAAATGAGACACCATACTCTGTTTTCAAAGAAAAAAAAACAAATTTTTATGAACTATAATCCACATCTAAGTTCATTTACCAATAGTATGTAATGGCTTTTTTTTTTACCTCAGAGATGACTAAAGTATGAAATGAAATACATGTTAAATGCATATTCAGTATAGAAAAGTATGACCTTGTATCTGCAAAACATAGGCAGATGCAGGGTTCTAAGTAAGTACATCACATTATTAAAATATTTCTTTAATGGAAGTGGTTGTTTTTCTAGACAAACTCTTCCATAAATAAATAGTTGTCCATTTCTTGTGGAACTGCTGCAAGGATAGTGTATTTTGTCAGCATTAAAACAGCTTGAAAAATAATTTTCCTTGCTAAAGTTTATGCCCACATATAACAGGATGTAACATTATTTTGCCTGAAGCCAATTCAGCAGCTGGGGAAAAAAAAAGAACAAGCTCTTCTCTGGCAGGTTGTTTCACCTAGGTAGGTTGGTTGCTGTTGCAAGAACACATGACAAAATCTTGGTAAGAAAATTGCGAAATCCACCATGTCCAGGTGACACAAGAACTTTCATGCTGCAAGTCTGCTTCAGGGAAATATCTTCCCACAGGGATCACTGCACATTTGTATTCCCCTAAAGCCAGTAGGATCCACCCACTTATCCTCATAGACTGGCTGATAAGCTGGGTCACTGGGAAAAAAGCGCTTTCCTTGGATTCAAAGGTTTTCCTGTTGCTAATGGGGGCACAGAAGCAACAATCTCAGTGGCTACAGCTTGTGAATGGAAGGTGCATTTACCTCTACTGCCCACTAATCCCTAGATTTCAGCAGGTACCAAAGGGAAATGTGTTTGTATGTGGAACAAGGGTGCATGTGCCCTCTCAGCTGACAGCAAATGCAGCCCTTGAGACTGAAAAGGTTGTGAACCCATTTTACAGCTTACAGGGACTATTTTCCCTTTAACAATATACCCAAAAGCTGCAACATGCGTATTTGCATTGAACTGCTTCATCTTAAGGCATCTTCCTTAACTGTACAGCTGGAACAGGCAGGCAAGGACTCTTTCTGCTCACTTCCCATAAGGAAGGTAATATTTTCTATCTTTTCCTTTACATTACAAGGGAACAGGATATTAGACCCTATTAGCAGTTAAATTAGGTGCATGTTATCTTTATTGCCTGAAACAGCAGTGGAAGGAAAATACAGGTGGCTTACTCATTGGGAAATTGTTGCTGGAGGTTAAAGATCTTAATTGTTTGTGCATCAGGTTTTGGTCCTCAGAATCATTTTTGCAAGACTAGGCATTGTGATCAGTTAGATGTTTGTGTCAGGCTTCAGTAGGGAAAGGATTGTCTTGCAAAAGCCCAGTCTTTGTGGATAGTTGTGTCCTGCCTTTTTTCTGGGACTACCACGCTGCAGGTTGTGAGATTTTGTTTTTACACACACTGAGTTGTTATAATAATATAATCAATTGAGTATTGTGGATAAACAGTAATTAGACCTAAGAGAGTAGAAACATCCCTTACTTTTGTTTGTAATAAAAATGGCAGGTTTGTGTGTGCTATTTTCCTTAGGGACATTTACGGAACACTGTGATCATTAATAAAGTAATCGAGTGTTTCCCCCATAGTGGTCAGCAAAGCTCATCTTCTTAACTAACGGACATTGACATGAGTGATAAGGAATCTGTAGAATCCACGGGTTAGCTTGAACAGCCTTGTATTTTCTCCTGAATTTAGTTAAAGCAGTAGGAACTGCCACTCTTAAAATCAGATTTTCAATGTAGCTGTGTTATCCTGAGGCAGGCCTCAAGACACTAGGTGCAAACAAAGGTTAGATATGCATTATGGGTACTGAAATGTAAAAAAATAGGGAAGTCATGCCATTAATCTCTAAGTTCAGCTGATCTGTCCACTTTTAAAACTCAAGCTTTACAAGGTCAGAATTGTCCTTGTTTGCTGAAGTTAAAAATTCTGGTGCTTAGGATACTGAGAAAGCTTTCCAAAGAGATTGAATGTCAGTATACTTGAAACTAGGTCCACATTTTTTATGGTCTGAGATCTTGTGGGGCTTTCCAATTCACAAGGAAAGTGTTTGAGTGGATCTATTATTATAAAGCAAACCTCCCGTGGACAAACTGAAAAGGAATACAGTAATGAAGAGCCAGCTATAGTGTATCACTCATAAAGCATCCATTACAGGCAGAGAACCCCAGTGAATTCTAGAAACGGAACATCTCTCCATCTGCAAGGTACAGTTTAGTCAACAATAAAGTGCACAAACGATACTGGGAAAGCTCCTTTCCGGTTAGGATCACCATCAATATGCCCAATCTAGAAAAGAGAGAATATTTTAAAGTAGAAAATGTTGAAGTCTGTCTGCATTTAAGCAGTGCTCGCATTTGTTGCTTCTGAGCAATTGCACATGGCTAGAACTTGTTCCCCAGTGCAAAAGTTGCAATGATGTACAATTGCTCAGAAAACATAGTTCTCTAACTATAAGAACTAGTAACCCCAGTATAAAAAAGAGATTCTTAGTAGTTCATAATATTTCAACAAATATTTCCGTCAAAATAGTATCACAGATTCATTTCCCAAAACTTCTCTCTCTCTCACATCTGAAAATTGCCCTATCTACTTTGGAAATAAAATTAATTTGTTTTCAAATATTCACATATAAAATCCAAAGTCTGCTTCTTTCCAATCAAATGATCCATCTTAAATAGCATATGGAACAAGACAATATTAAGGGGTAGATCTGTATTTTGTGTTTTGTGGTTCTGTTCTTAGAGGAATTTTTTTAGCTGAATGTTACTCAATTATCTCTTATGACAAGTAGAAAAATTGTGCTTAAGCACCCTAAGTGTAGAGTGAAGCTAAAAACTAACATTTTACTTTGGCACACCTTCAGGTTTGATCATGAGGAGTTGATTTTTTTCCTTCTTTCAACTCACATGCCTTAGCACAAACTGCTTTGAAGTTCCCCTGGTTTCAAAAGGGATTTGGCATGTGATATTGTGAGGAAAGAACTACTGCCTGAGAAAAACCAGCCCAAGCTCCCTGTGACATGCAGAACTAATTGTGCATTTTTTTTGATCCTGGCCTAACACACACACACACACACTTGCTGACTGAGAGTTGCGTGCTCGCTCGCTCTCTCTCTCTCTCACACAGAGCTCCCTCTACTGTTGCCAGCTGCTTCCTGAGCAAAGGGAAAGGGACTGGGTTTGTGAAGAGGAGAGATGTAAGCCTCCACACAAGCTTTCCACTTTCATACTGTTCTGGCAACAGCTGGGCAGCAACAATCAAGGAACCTTTGCCAGCACCATCAGCTACACAGCACTGGATGGAGAGGCAGAAAGGCATGGCAGCCTTCAGTACTGGCTACCAAAACAAAACAAAACAAAACAAAACAAAACAAAACAAAGTGCTCCATCCTGCCAATTCAGTCACAGGAAGTCATCAAGAACCTCCACTTCAAGGTGATCAAGTGCCTTGAGAAGGCAGCTCCGAATGGAGACACTTTCTCTGGAAAGAAAAAGGCCTGGCTAGGGAGCTTAGGCAGGGAGAGGGACTAGCTAGGCATGCCTGGTGGGCCAGTGAACACCCACTGCTGATCTACAAAGACGTGCATTCTAGAGAGAGAGAGGAGCTGAAGAACGTCTCCAAGTTCAAAGTAGGCAGGAATAATGTCCTTCCTCATATTGCTTTTAGCATGTATTTCTAGAAGACTTGGGCTAGAAGTCAGTTTTGTCGCAGGTAACGTTCCTCACAATATTTTTCTATCAAACTGCACTCTACCTTACAGCCCTTGAGGTGTTTAAGCTGAAAAATACTTACCCACCATTCCTGATCTTCCTCACCATCAACAATGATGATATCACCCTCTGAGAATGTTAGCTCATCTGGATTATCTGCTACACAGTTGTAAATTGCTTTTACCCTCTTGGGTTTTGTTTTTGACTGTAATACAAAGAGGCACAGAAATGTGTTGGAAATCTTACCAGCTCCAATAGCAATGGAGTTCGCTTCAGTGAGGAGACCTAAGTGGGCTGCTTCCCCTTGCATGCAAGAGGCTCTGATAGCACGACATGGGGCACAGAACGTAAGGCAGCTGCCTCAGGCGGCATCAGACCACTGGTCCATCTAGTGGTCTGATGCAGTGTCTGCACTGACTGGCAATGGCTCCTCCAGGCTTTCAGATGAAAGACTTTCCCAGCTCTACCTGGTAACGCAAGGGCACGCACCTTCACAGCATGTGCTCTTCCACTGGCCCACAGCCTTTCCTTTATTACTTTTGACTACAGGTATGCATACATGTTTTGCCTCATCTTTCAAATGTTTGCATCTGGACTGAAACACATATCATGGTTTACTATTCACAAATGACAATATGCAACCTTTTCCATCACGGCACAAATGATTCATATTCAGGGAGGAAAATAACTTTTAAATTCGCCCTTAGCACTTTTGCCTTCTAGCACAGGTCTGCTCACTACCAAAGATCACTACATGTATAAACAGCATGCAAGAAGGGCATGCCATCAACATCTATTTCGCTGTGTAAACAGACAATCAGCCGCGGCTTCCTGAGCTATATACACAGCAGACCAGACCAGACGCGCAATCCCATCAAACACAGCATAGTAGGTTCTTGACTGATGCAACAATGGATCTTTTCAGAGCAGTCATGAATGTGAATGTCAAGATTCACTACATCTAGCTCTGAGAAGCAAGTACAAAGGTATTTAAGATGTTTGTCCAAGGAATCTATTGACTTGTTTTGATTACTTTGTCAGTCTCTAGAATAACGCAAGTCTAAAAATAAATAAAAAATTAATCAAATTTATGCAATTTTCACAGTATAATATTTGTTATTTTTACTATATTTCTATGCTACCCAATGACAAAGTTCTCCGGACAGCTGACAGCATCAAGGAAATATTAAAATAAACCAACTATAAAATAATAATACTACATAATTCAAGTGGCAGAGACTAAAATCAGTAAAATAAGACTTATAAGCAGCATGCAAAAATCTGAATAATTTTTTAAAGATTTAAGTTTCTAAAAGGTCTTAAAAGTGGCAGCTTTATGCAGATACACCTGTATTATGGTATCACGGAGAGATATGGCAAAAGTATTATCCTTCTTATTACAAGTACTCTTACAGGAATCGAGAGCATTGCTTGTAACTAAAGGATGCACATCGCTCCTTTAGAAACACATTAAAGGGTTTTCTTCTGATGAAGAACTGTTTAAGCTCAAAATTCACCACAATTCTCTGTTTCAAAAAGTAAGCAGTGAGCCAGTGTGGCGTAGTGGTTAAGAGCATGGGACTGGGACTCAGGCGATCTGGGTTCGAGTCCCTGCTCAGCCATGGAGCCAACTGGGTGACTTTGGGCCAGTCACAGACTCTCAGCCCAACCTACCTCACAGGGTTGTTGTTGTGGGGATAAGATGGGGGAGGAGAGTGATGTAAGCTGCCTTGAGCTCTTTGTAGAAAAAAGGCAGGATATAAATCGAAATAATAAATAAATAATAATAAATAAATAATTTCCTATTTTTTTACTACCTTTTCACACTATTATACATACTATAAGCCTGGCTGGATGAAACTGTGACATCCAGCAGAAAATTGTGGATTAATTAGCTGTCCATGGGTTAAACAGTCTCAACCCATGACTCATTCTTGGGTTAACTTGCAATTGTGTAACCCAAAAATCAGGGAGAGAGCCCTCAAATGTGGCATTTTGATGGTTGTTAATAGAAACAGGACTTGCATGCAGGATGCATCCCCAGATTTTGTGGGTTAACTACCCCATGATTTAACACTAGATCCACTAATGCATCTGAACAAGGCCTACGTAACTTTGGCACAAAATATTGGACATAGGTATTTTAATTGAAATACTGGTCCAGCATCCCTAGAAAACTGAAATATACACCCACATTTGTTGTGCTATCAACTGTACCTAGGAAAAACTAGAGTACCTGTGGCTCATTTCTGTAGTAAATTGGGAAAGAAGTGAGTTACTTCGCTGGCTTACTTCATTTAGCTATTGTACTTTCAGGCTAAAGCTTCTGCTAAAGTGATTTATTTATATCTTTTTCACACAGTCCATTAAGATTACTGTATATTTAAACCCTCCCCTGCACACACTATATGTTGACTTTTTGTTGTTCACTGTGAGATGCAATCAAGTGAACCTGGGTTACTCAGATGAGTGACTCATAATCAAAGATGGTTACATAGGCTAGCTCTTCATATCTTATTCAACAAACACTGGCTGTGGTTCACAGCTAAACTACACAAACAATTTTTCTGGGCGAAGTCCCAGACTTACATGTGACTTCAGTGAAGCTCTTTCAAAGTAAGCGATACACAAAAGACCAGATGCTCCTTTTTCTGTTTGATTCTCAGTTCAACCTCAACATATACTTGCATTCAGAGGATTGCAAGGATGAGCAAAAAGTAGAACAATGAAATGAGAATGAACTGCCCTTCCTTTAAAGTCACTGGAGTCCACCCAACACCTTTATTCCCATGTGAAGAGCAACCCAATGCAACATTTAAGAGACTGACCTAGATTCTTTACTTACTATTTGGGACTTTCTTGGCATTGGAGCTGGAGGCTGGATTGGTACTGACATGTTTGTAGAAGGGGCTATTTGTGATCCTGTACCATCAGATGAAGCATCTCCTGCTATGAAAAGAAAAAGATTTTCCATTATAACTGATTTTAAAGTAACAAACATTATTTTTCAATAATATGCCACATATTTAGCTCGTCAAAACCATCAGTTGTTTCCTACATCAAAAGCCCCTCAGTTGCCAGGTCAACTGGGTCAGAACCAAGGCTCTCAATGGCTATTGGTCAGGAGGGCTGCATATTATCTCCTGAATCAGAAGCAGGATGCCTCTACTTGCCAGCTGCTAAGAGATGTGCACTGGCACTCACGCAGTGCTTCTGAGGTTCCCAGAGGTGTCTCATCAGCCACTGGAGGAACAGAAGGTGGGACAAGCTACATCCTTTCACCTGATTTTATGTTCTAAGAACAGCACTTCTTATGGCTCAAGTCCAGCACATGCTAATGGAGTGGTACTGGAAAGAATGGTCTCATCCCTTGTAAGCAAATCCTGAAGAAAGAATTGATAGTCATCATTTTTGTTTTCATTCTTTGTGAATTCACAGAAAAATGCTTGAGAAACTAGCTACTGCTTTCAGGCATTTCCTCCAATGGAGAAAAATGTCACAGCTTTTGCCATGGGACATTGTTTTGTGCCAAGGGCACCAACAAAATTAAGGGTGCAATCCTAGGCATAGTTTACTGTAACACTCTCTATGTGAGGCGGCCCTTGAAAACTGTTCAGAAACTGCAGCTTGTGCAGAATGTGGCAGTCAGAGTCATAACTGGTGTCTGCAGGTCCAAACATAGAAGACCAGTTCCAGCCTGCTCGCACTGGCTGCTTCCAAGCTCAATTCAGGATGCTGAAATTAGGCTGTAATGCCTTACATGGCTTGGGAGTGCAATGCTTAATAGAGGGTCTCCCCCAACCATCTGCCTGCTCATTATGCTCAACATTTGCACCTTCCTCCGAGTGCCAAAGAGTTGGCACAGAGGCTTAGAGTGTGGTAGGAAGAGGGAGGGCTTCTTTGTGTGGTCCCCCATCTTTGTGTGATCTCCCCAGTACAGCCTGCTTGGCTCCAACCTTGTCAGCTTCTCAGCGCCAGGCCAAGATGACTCTTTATGCTGAGGCTTTTAAAGGCATACCTGGGAATCCAGGGGCCTAAGCTGATTACTCATTCTATGTACTTTTCTTTTATAGGGTCATTCTTTCCTGTATGTTTTTAGCCATTTTTACATATTTTGAGATGTAACTTTATGGTATTTTATTGTTTTGTTTTTATGTACTGTTGGAGACTGCCCAGAGAGCTTTGGCTATTGACCAGTATAGATGTGAAATAAATATTATTTAGACAGAAAAAAACCCATAACTCCCAGAATGGCTGGCTGGGGAATTCTGGGCACTGTAAGAATTTTTTCAAGCTAAACCAGCATAATACTGCATGCTAACTCACCATATACAAGTTTTATCAGAAACAAAATAAAGTTATCATTGCTGCTAAAAACAGCACAAAATTAATTCTGTGAAATAAATAACAATTATTACCACCGGATTGCTGGAGAGATCCAGATCCTTTAGTCTTGTTAGTTAAGCTGGACGATTTGTCAGTCCTGTTCAGAAGAAAACTGAAGATTACACTTGTTATCATTGCTATGCTGCATCCCACTTATCTTTTGAAATGATCATCCATATGCTGCTGGGGATAAGCTAAGAAAATGTCCTTGTCTTGTGATTTTGTCATGTTGAAGAACATTCAACTCAGCACTTCTATGTCCTTGTAAAATCTGAACCTTTCCATACCATCATTTTTTTTAATGGATGTGTTGAGCAATGGGTGATCATTGGCTTTTCCTACATGTTTAAACATTTCATTTAGACAGAAGGCAGTCTCTGGTCTACTATTGGACCACTACCCAATTTTTGGTACATGGCCTAGTTTGATCATGGGGATTCTTGCTGAACAATACATAAGCAGCCCCTCCTGTCACTCTAGCCGTGCGCTGCACAGAAAGGCTCTTGGACTGTGCACTACAACTGCTTTGCGTTTGCTCAGTGTCTGGCTGGCTGATAGAGCCCTCGGCACACAGCTTCCTTCTACCCCGCCCCAGCCTGACCCTTTTAAAACACCAATGCATTAAACAAACAAAATAGGGATGCTCATGGTGTAGGCTGTGTTTTATTTTATAAATTAACCTTTTATATCTGGAGTGTTTATCTTGTCAATTGGGCATTTTAATTCTACATTTTTGTGGGTTTTGATGTTTACATATTATCATCTTGTTTCCTGAAATTGTGTTTTACTTCTTGTTTTTGTGAGTCTTCCAGGGGACGTGGGTTAAGAGCCACTTAATCATAAACATGGCTATCACCATGTCCAGATTATAGGCTTCCCACAAGCTTCTTTCTGGCTGCTATGGGAGAGAATGTAATGTTTTTACATACTTGGGACAGGTTAGATATATATTGATTATGAAAAGCTCTGACTATGCACACTTGCTCTGTATGTGAGCCATGTTGATTCTAGTGTGAATCCTGCAACTCTCAAGTCAACTCAGCCCTGATTTAACCTATTTTGACTCTTACATAATTTCTGAATATCAAGCCACTGTTCTTTTGCTCTCAGTATAGAAGCCCATATGATGCCCTGCCCCATTTCCATCACATGGTCCATCTGATTGGTATCCTTTAACTTCCTTGAATTCCTTTTAACCCTGCTTGATGTGTATTTATAACCAGACTCAGTAATAAGGGATATGTGCATTGTCCTAGATATTTACCCCTTTATAATCTGGGCCTATAGTAGCAGTGGTTCCCACTGTCCCTAGAAGCAGTTTGTTTATTGGTTACCAACTCCCTGTATTATTACGGTGCCCTCCTGAGGGAAGAACACAGCACTGTACTGGAAGGACTGGAAGCTCTTCAGAGAGTATTTCTGAATATCAAGCCATTGCTCTAAAATGGCATTTGCAGCTGAGAAATACTCAGCCTATAGCAGCAGTGGTTCCTACTGTCCCTAGAAGCAGTTTGTTTATTGGTTACCAACTGCCCTGTATTATTACGGTGCCCTCCTGCTGAGGGAAGAACACAGCACTGTACTGGAAGGACTGGAAGCTCTTCATAGAGTATTTCAGGTAGGCAAACACAATTCTCCTTTCCTTGCTCAAACTATACGTATTTGCAGCTCATCCTGCCTCTGTGAATGACCAAGTGTCTTTGCTTGCAGAACAATCAGGCTCGTCACAGATTGCCGCATTCTTCTTCCTCCTCCAGCCTCCATCCCATGTCCCAAGGAAGCTGTAGCTAAAGCTGCCCTGCCACCTGCCACCTCACTCTGCCATGACTGTGGACCCTTCATCACTCACCACAGCACATTGGAAGGACTGTTACTGTCATCCCCCATTCTTTTGCACACAAGAACTTTGTACTTGTGCACAGAATGGGCTAAGCTCTAGATCAGCCCCTCTGTGTTAAGATCCTCTAGTTCTGAGGGGAGCAAATCATAGAGTGCTTGATGTTCTCATACTTTTCTACAGCTCTGTGTGTTTGGGAAGTGGAAAAGTGTGAGCCACCCCAACAGCAATGAGTCAGGTTCATTTTAAACTGGAGTTGCTAACAGAACTACCCAGACCCTGTGAAGAGCACAGACATGGGTGTATACATAGTCCCTGATTAAAACTGATTGGCCCAGTCAAAGCACCCATTTTAACGGAAAAAAAAATTAAAAGGGGCTGGTGAACAAGTGGCACCCCTCCAATGCGCCACTTGGACAATTTGGAGGGACTGTCACTGGCCGTCAACTTGAAGATCATAAAAGGCAAGCTCCAAAAAGTGGGGTAGGGATAGCAAAATCCATGACAAGGAAGGAAAGTCTTGTGGTTGTGAAAAGGGACATTGAGCCAGTGATGTCTGAGCAGTGGTAGGGCTGGCACTGGTGAGGGTGAACTCATTGAAAAATGCAAACATGTATGCCCGCCCCCTTTTTTAAGGGAAAAAAGAGCTAGCTGTCAAAACAGGGATTGCAAAAGCCAGACTGAAAGCTGGCTTTTGCAATCTCAAAAAACAAAACACACACAGGGAAACAAGCTTCTTTAAGCATGATCTACAATTTAGCCTCCATTTTTTTTCTGGGCTGGTCCACCATAGATCTCCAGGCTCCCTACAGATACACCCTCCTGCCCTGATGTTTCTGCCCTGCACCCACCACGCAGATGGGGCCTGCTCACCACCCTGCTTCTAGTCTGAGAAAAAGGGAACTAAACAAAACACACACACACAAATAAAATGGGATAGTCTTAAACATAACAGAAAGTGACACATGCATTTGTTACTTCCCGGCTGGATTTCTGTAATACGCTCTACGTGGGGCTGCCCCTGAAGACAGTCTGGATACTTCAGATGGTGCAAAATAGAGCAGCCAGGTTGCTGATAGGGACTGGGCATTATTCTTATATAACCCCAGTCCTCTACCAGCTTCACTGGCTTCCCATCGAAGTCCGGGCTCAATTCAAGGTGCTAGTTATTACCTATAAAGCCCTTAACAGCTTGGGACCTGGATACCTAAAGGAATGCCTTCTTCCATATTTGCCCTCCCGCCCCGAGATCGGCAGCAGAGGCCCTCCTCCGGGAACCCTCCGTGAAAAACATTAGGAGGCAAAGTACCCAGAGGAGGGCTTTCTCTGCGGTGGCGCCCCGCCTATGGAATGCGCTCCCCAGAGAGGTCCGCCTGGTGCCGTTCTTATTTGTTCTTCGGCGCCAGGCTAAGACCTTTTTATTTCAACAATATTTTAATAACTTTTAACATTAGCTATATAAGTTTTAAACTGCAGCCAGGGTGGATCTGGATTTTATTTGTATCATGTTTTATTTTATTCTTCTTATTTATGTAAGCCGTCCTGAGACTATGCGAAAGGACGGCATACAAATACTATAAATAAATAAATAAATAAAGAAAGAAAGAAAGAAAGAAAGAAAGTGCAAATGACAAGTACAACATAATGTAGACCTCGCATTCAGGCAACAATTTGAGGATAGCAATCTTTTACTTCCCAAAGTCCTGCAAATTGGGAAATGTCACAAATTACCCAGAAGTAGGCTTTTTCTGAGAAATTCTACTTGGAGGCTGTGGAGGAAGTGGTGGTGGTGCAGGTTTGGTCTGTGGCACAGTTGGCTGTTTTGACTGCTGGTTCAAAGCTTCAAGGACACTGGCTGTCTTTGCAACTGGAGGTGGTGCTGGCGCGAGTATATCTATAAAAATACACACATAATGCTATACCGATGATGCATGATCTGCTTAAAATGACTTTCTAAATCACAGCACTGCTAAGAAGACTGTTTACAAATGAAAATAAATACGGAGCAATTTCCAAAGCACAGTTAAACCTTCCTTTATGACACAGTATAGCATGGCTAAGGCTGCAATGTTATGCAGGCTCTTCTGGGAGAAAGTCTTACTGAAGTCAGTGGCAAACCATCTGTGAGTATAGGATTGCATGTAAGAGCCCGTTCATAGGTGGTTCTGTCATGGTCTACAAACCAAGACTTGGGCTCATGCCTCTTCCCAGCTTATTAAAGTACATTTACTATGGGTCCTATTTTTCATGAAAAGCAACTAACACCCATAATATGATTTCAGCAATAACCATTAACAGACCATACCAAGAATAATCTGAGACAAGGATCATTCATATCCATAATTTTATACAAAGGATAAAACTTTTGAAAATTGTGGGGACAGACAGAATTCTTTGGTAAACTGCCCTGAAATAACCATTCCTCAGCAATGCTTTATATTCAAGTAACGAGATATCAAAGCGCATTGAAACTACAACCACCAGAGAGGAAGAAGCATGAGTTGTGGAATGGAAAGTTGAGGCCAATCATTATTAGATGCAGCAAAAATAAAGGAGGCTGTGGCAAAGCGCAAACATACTTGTAGATGTTCCACGCAATGGTGGAACAGGGGGATGGACAGTTGGTGGATCTGATGAAGATCTTTGCCTGCTTATGCTTTCCATTCCTAAAGAATTTGTCTTCCACAGTGTGTTCGATGAAGGAGTGGTCTGAACAGCACTGCCAAGAAATGAAGACTGAACTAAAAAGAAAGGAAAACACTGCATTATTATAATTATAATTAGTGCTGGTTGTGAAGTTAGGAGAAACAGCACCTTTTCTTAAGTGGGTTGGCTGCAATCCAGAGGCACTCAGTACTTCAAATGGCACAAGACATGGACCGTCTTTCAGGCCCTGTTCACACTTGCATGTTCCCAGCTTGATGATTGTGACATCAAAGGAGAAAGACATGCAAGCGAGGCCTCACAGATCAAACACTGCACGCAAAGCTTTGGCATCATTTCAGAAGAATGGGGTTCATTAGCATGTAATGCATGATCTAGTGTTTTCCCCAATTTGTTGTCGTTTTTAAAAACACACATTTTAAAATGCACCATTTTGCTGCTGCCATATAATTTTTAAAGCAAACTACTGGGTGGGAATAGACAAGGAAGGGCAGTTTCCTCTTAACACAGACTGAAACCTCTTGATGCAGTGGCAGAAAAGGCAATGGTGATTGTGTCCACTACTCAGCTCTTGCATCCACTCATCTGCCTTTTTTCTTCACTTGCTCCACTTCCAGGTTTGCCACGCAGCAGATGACAGGATGGGCAGGGAGTGTCTAAGGCAGCCTTCCACAACCCGGCACCCTCCAGGTGTGTTGGACAACAAACTCCTAAGGTCCTCCAGTCAGCTATACATTCGGAGAACACCAGGCTGGAGAAGGCTGGTGCAAGATATAACAACAGGGGAGGAGTAAAATACATGCCACAGCTGATCCATGCGTATTTTCTGATGAAAAGTCAGTAGTCTGCCGATGAAGAGCAATGAAATAATAGTTTTCAGAAAGCCATGGTAGTAGCAAAGAAAATGTAAAGTTTGTTAATGAAGACGCAAGATCTATAACCAGTTTTGCTGAGCAGAAATGTTTAGCCAGAGAGTACAAGTAATCTGAAGTCACTGAGAAAAAGAATAATAATCAGTCTGTTCTCAGAGGACCATTTGCTCCTCCAAGTACCATGATTTTATCGTTTTAATTATTTGTCCCCACAAAGGAAAATGTAATATAGATTTTTGTCTCTGGAGCAGCTTGACCTAAAAACATACCCTCACAGAGCCACATATTCTGCCATGCCAAGACTTGACCAATAGTGGCTCGATGCTTTGTATTTTGTGTTTTACATTAAGCAATGGGAAAAAGTAACTGTACAGCTGAGCTGTCATTTTACAATGGGACTTGGTCAAGAAATTCTATCACTCCGTGTGATTCAGTGAGTAATGTTGCATGTTCAACTTCATCATTTCAGTTCAAACCTCAGCTCAACTTCAGACTCATTGAAAAACTTTGGCAAGGAAGTTATCACTCTCAGTTATTTGTCTGTGAAACTGGGAATAATATCGCACAGGCAGTTGTGAGAATAGAAGAGGAACAGAAATAATGATAGACTTTTTGAAATGTAGGGTAGTCTGTAAATAGAAATTAATAATAAAACTTATCATAGCCTGGCCCTGGAGAACTCTTATCTTAAAAGTGAGAGGTAGCTACTTTGAGCCTCTATTATGTTTCTTATTTTACTTCTAATGGAAGTGGTTGAACATAATAAAGCAGCCATCAAAATCAACAGCATTAAACTTACTTTAGCTCAAACATGTCAGTAAAGAACAGGCTTGTTGCTCATAGCTAGAAACACCTAATTTTCACACTTAAAAATGATAGCAACTTTTGGAATACTGAGGCAATTTAGATATAGTCTTTAGCTATCCATCCAGGCACTTTAAACATGTGTAAAAATTATAATAAAACTTTAAACAGCAATTACCATTATGCTATTAAACTTAGTTTCATTTATAAACTAGGCCCTGATACGATTTTCTGTTTATGTTCAATAAAGCATTTACCTTCAACTAAGTCCATTTTTCATTTCTGCACTCTGTGCAAATTCATCCCAAATTAAAGCAAAGAACATGAAGGACAGGACAGGGACAACACCAACAACATACAGATCTAACACCTACCTGGATAAAGTAATGTAAAAAATGAAAAGAAACAGAGGTTTTGTAGTTCCACATTCTGTAAGCTATTACGGCCTTCATACCTTTTCCAATGTTCCTGGGAGGCAAGGGAGGGGCGCTTGTAACAGGAGCAGCAGGCTGGGTGGGAGGTGGGCTGCTACTGAGTATGGCTCCGTAGGTCTCATTCTGTAATAAGCTCGGCATAAAACCTCTCTGTTTGTCCTTGGCTATATTGGCAGCATCTCTTGCCAAAGATGCTACGTTGGGCTGAAGTTGGCTTGATCCTAGTTGATAGAAACTTACAGGTCTGTCTTCTCTTCTATTAGGGCTTGGTTGCTTTAAAAACAATAATCAGAAATAAGATAGCCACACTGGGAAGTGTTTCAAGTCCTGATAAAAACTGTAATGAACACTAAAAACAACAGAAAAGGAGAAAAGCACCAGAGAGCTAGTACCTATTTAGAATAATGGAGGGTGTAATCCTAAATATGTTTAACAAAGGCTCTGCTACACCACTTTAACACAGTAGGACTAACCTCTGAATAAACATGCGTAGAACTGTGCTGCAAGGCATGCTGCAGACATTTCAAGAAAAGGAACAGCGTGGTTTTGCATTTCCTTGTACATATATTTAAAATTGCCGGGCCAATATCAGTGAAGCAAGACTTCATTTTTAAACACCTGTCAGTTGTAAGGGCAAAAGCTGTGGCCCACCAGATATTCTGGGACCACGATTCCTAACATCCCCAGCCCGTGTGGGCTTACATAATTCAACTACTTCTGAGCAGCCATCAGTTTGGTACTTGTGCTTTGAACAAGGCACTTGTCATTTCTGGGCCTTAGCATGCCCACTTTGCCAAACACTTTTGCAACTTTTGACTGGTTTTGCAGAAGGCAGTTTTCAAAAATGGTCAGATGTTCAAAATGTGTCCTTTTTGACTAAACTAAGGGGAAATGTTTGTGGCTTTTTAATGTCTTAATGTCAGGCAAACGTTTTGCAGATTAAAAGAACTTGCACAGTATGCTATGAAAGCAATGATAATATAGCTCAAGGCAAATACTTACGCAGTGCCAAGGTACAACCATGCTTTCAGACATAAGTTGTGTCATTAAGAACCTTTACTTTCTTTTTCACAAGTCCCTCTAGTCTGAAAACGCGTTAACAGGGAGGAAGCAGTTAAGTACCTTTTAATCCTCAGCTTTAACACTGAACTGGACCACAAAAGAGTTGAGGCCAAATAACATACACTCATCAAAACAAATACGGTGTTTTACATGTCATACCACTTCTGCCTGAAACAGAAACTTTTTATCAGGCTCCCAATCTAGGTGGCGATTGAAAAAGGACAGTGCAAATGGAATGGTAAGACACTGCCACTGAACTTCTCTCTTCTAATAAATTAATAAGTGCAATAATGAATAAATCTAGTCTTCATCTGGAACATAATTATACAACTGTCATTTGTGCATTGCATTAAGCTATACTGATGTCACACCAGAGCACAGATTTTTGCAAGAACATAATCACTATCTACCTTAGAAACATTTTACAAGGAATATAATGATGATGAAAATTCCTTTTGCTGAGAGCAGGAGCATTCCTATTTTCAGATTCTCATTTTCCGATCTTAAAATTATATAATTCTATACACATGGGGTTTTCATAACAGCAGCTAATGCAGAATTTTCTCTTGGATGTGCTCAATTTTAGAAATTCCCGCAATTAAGTGGTGGGAAGACATATTGCTGCACTAGATGCATTGAACCACAAAATGCCGTGGCCAAGTTCCTTTGAAAGGTTTTGTGACTAGTGAGCTGTTGTGTTTGCCTGGTGCAATGCTTTGAGTCTTCCTGAGTAGCATGGAAAGGCAAACCACTGTATGGAGGGTTTCATCAAGGAAACTGCTTCCTGTTCTCACAGCAACATATCCATGTTGAGTTGTAGCAACCCCAGTGATCTATTCTCACTGCTAAAGCCCAGGTGTTCATGCTCTTTACCACCCGGAATCCATGTCACCCACTGAGATGATGACAATGCTGCTTGATCCCAACAACTGCAGAACAGATGCCTGCAGAAGGCAAACCAATAATACTCTGTCTTGCTCTCTGTGAGTGACTAAGACTTCTTCCCCTCAGCCTCCAGGATGTCAGAGGGCCAGAAAAGTCTCATCTCAGCTCTCCCTGTCATGCAGTAGCAGTTTGTTCTATATTGTGGCTTCTACACTATTTTACTCAAGTACTGCTATAGAAGTAAACAAATTCTGTCCCAGGGATGGATAAGGAACCACCCAGAAAACTTCACCTATTGAGCAATAGAGAAATTAGATTAACAATGGACCCATGCTTCTTGATCTTCAGTAAATGAAAGACATGACATTCAGAGATCACTGGGTCAGAGCGCTTCCAGACAAGGCTTTTTTTGTTCCTTTGCCATAGCTCATTCCATCATTTTCCAGGCGATCCAGATGTTGTCATCTCCCCCTCAAAACCTGCTTGTGCTTTCCCACCACTTCCCACACAGAGAACATCCATTAAGGAAAAAGGCAGAAATGTGTCCAATGCCTTCTGACTGGTAGCATCATGGGATTTCTATCTGGAAGTACACTCAGTAAAAAGAAGGGTGGAGAACAAAACCTCATGTGATAGCTGCCTATGACCAGACATACACATAAACTCTTGGACAATTAGCAGTGGAAAAGATAATCCAGCAGAAAAGGAAACATAAAAATCATTTTTCTTTATAGCTATCTAATCCTTTACTGGCTGTTTCAGCGCAAAATAACCTTCAATTCAAAAGTAGAAAACTTTAAATAATACTTCAGTAAAACCACAAGTATTTTCAGAAATAATACTTCTGAAAGCATACCTGCAACTTCTCATCCACATCATCATCACTTTCATCCAGATCTTCATGAAGTAATCGCCATTCATATTCAACATGAACATGAGAATTAAGCCTTCCAGCCAGGGCCTGCACGAGCTAAAGAATGACATGTAAGCATCAGGAAGCACAGACATCAATGGTTTAAATTTGCTTTCTTTAACCAGATCTGGAATCAGGCCGTTTTCTACTCTCCTTTCCTCTCTCAGATGTTTTAAAAAGCAAAGTTATGCTAGATTTATTTCTGTAGGGTTGCTTGGCAATTGTGATGGTGAAATCTTGCCCACACGCCTACTGACGTGCACTCAAGTAAGGGCATTCCATTACCAGCATCCTGCCCCAATATTGGCCTTTACATAGTGCACATGAGGGTGCAGCTAGGAAACTGGCCCATGATTGTCTTCAGCCTTTTAGTAGCATAAGGATGACATGGTATGACCTTTCTAAAACAGTGATGAAATTTTGCCCCAGGAAAAAGGTATTACGAAAATCACTCTCTGCTGTATAAAAGATGTAAAAAACAACTCCTGTCCATGGAAAACTAGTGTGTCAGGGAGAAATGTTCTAAAAACATAGAATCATGCCAAATCCATCTGTGTTACTTTCCCAGGAACATGACATGGTTCTTCTGAACACATGCCAGGCCCTGAGATTAGCAATCTCTGACTAATTAGGAAGGAAGTTCCTGAAACTTAGCAATTACACAAGACTAATTGTCCTACTGAAAACCTATGATTTTAATGAGCACCATCCTGGACTGGATACTATGAAATTCAGAAGCCAGCAGACACAATGGATGCAGGAGGATCAGGACTGGAATCTCATTTCAGTTATGGATCCAAGAAGCAGATTTAGACACTCAGATTAGTTTCCCTGTCTGTCTCCTGCCTCAAAAGCACCTCTGTGAAGGTGAACAAGATTCACTGAGGAAAACACTTTTGAAATCCAAAGTTTAATAAATAAGTAATAAATAATATTTACAGTACTACTAAAGGTAACATGCATTATTTCTTAAGTGCTTTTGTTCAGAAAAGCAGCTACGTTAACATGGATGCAGCATTTCAAATGCATTCAGCTATATTTACTGGCATGTTCTAAGGATACCAACTAAACCAGTGTTTCTTAGATTTTGTTCACTATTCTTACCACAGTGGCACAAAAACTGCATGGGCAAGCGACACTTAAGCGAAAATGATGCAAAGGTGGTGGAAGCAGGTTCTAATGATGCACCAATAGCAGAAGCTGGTGCAACAAAATTTTCAGGGAAATCAGTTGTGTCAACTTATGCTACTGGCTTACCCTGGAGGCTTATGAACAGTGTGAGTGGACTGGTGCTGCTTGATACTGCCCACTATATGCCACTCAAGAAACATAGTTCTTCAATGAAGAACAGACTGGAAAAATAAATCTTACCAGCTCTTCACAGTGCGTGTGTTTTAAGCGTTTAGCTATATCTAGTGGTGTCTCCCCAGCTTCGTTAGCTATAAATCAATGGAGGAAATATGCATTATTTTTGTTAGAAAATTAACTTGTTACTAAAAATGAAAGTGGTTTTCAAATTTGAACTGAAAGAACCAAACACAGTACAATCCAGTCAAAGCTGTGCATTTTAAGGTTCCACTTATTTCAACAGGAAACAATCATGCTTAACTAATCCATGTTGTTTAGTGCAGTCAAGTTTTCTCAGACTTGTGGCAACCCTATGAACAATTGCCCTCCAAAATATCACGTCCTTCACAGCCCTGCTCTGTTCTCATAAACTCAAGGATGTGGTTTCCTTTATGGAGTCAATTCAGCTCGTATTTGCTCTTCTGCTTTTAACTGCCCGTAGCATTATTGTCTTCTTCAGTGAACTCACGCAAAAGACTTTAAGATGTTTAACTCTGGCTGGGCTGTGCACATATTATAAGACATCATACCTTAACTTAGCTGAATATTTTACTCAAATTCAATAGTATAAGCCTGCTGGTTCCTGAATCATTGAGTTAATTCAGTAATTTACCATACCATAATTATACCATAATATAATTATGCCTCACAGACACCAAGAAAATTCCATAAAGCAGTGGAGGATGAAATTCCTTTCCATCTCCATCAAGAAAGGCTGTGGATGTGCTAAACCCATGCTTAGTGCAACAATGGACTGGATGATGGCTTATAAATGGGAGCTCAGTCTAAACAAAACCAAGGTGCTGTTACAGAGTGGCTCCTCTGACTGTGTGGTGAGTGTTCAACCTGTTCTGGAGAGTGTTATACTCCCCTTGAAGGAGCACATCCTCCTTCAGTCATCATTATCACTTAAGGTCCAAGTGGCCTCAGTGATACCTGTCTTCTACCAGCTTCAGCTAGAAGCCCAGCTAGGCTTAGGATAAGAATATCCTGGTTTCAATAATCTATACTCTGGTAAGCTCCAAGTTAGATTACTGCAATGGACTCTACACAGGGCTGCCCTTGAAGACTGTTCAGAATTTGCAGCTTGTGCAAAATGCAGTAGGAATGAGAAGGTCTGAATAGACCTGGCCCACCTGCATTGGTTGTCTGTATGCTTCCAAGTCTAATTAGACTTCCAAGTCTAATTGGGAACCCTCCATGAAAGAAATTAGGAGGGTAGGTACTCGGAGGAGGGCTTTCTCTGCGGTGGCGCCCAATCTATGGAATGCGCTCCCCACAGAGGTCCGCCTGGCGCCGTCGTTATTTGTTTTCCGGCACCAGGTGAAGACCTTTTTATTTAAGCGTCATTTTAATTGTTAACAATATTTGCTTATTTATCTGGCCAGAGCGACTTCTTTTATATTTTATATTTATTTTATATTGTTAATTTTAATTTTATATTGTTATTTTTGTATTTTATTGTATTTTATTGTGTTGTAAGCCACCTCGAGGCTTCGGCAAGGGGCGGCATAGAAATGTTCTAATAATAAATAAATAATTCAAGGTTCTGGTTTGAACTTATAAAACACTGGTGGAGTGCATGCCCATCTTGAATCTACTGAGAAATTACAATCAATGCAGGAGGCTTTTCTTTTGAGTGCCACCATGGAGGGACACTTGGAAGATGGCAAGAGGGCCTTCTCAGTGTAGGCCCCCTGCTTACGGAATAATCCCCTTATCTTTTTGGCACCAAGCTAGAACTGCCCACTTCCCCCAGCCATTTAATGACATTCGTCTTGTATTAACAATGGTTTTAGCTATTACATAATTTTTCCATTTTGTATACTGAAAAGTGTTTGTTCCATTTAATTGTACTTTGGTTTGTGTTTTTTTAATCTATTGTGAACCACTCAGAAAACATCAGCTTTGGATGATATAGAAATAATGCCATGAAATGAGATATAATAAACAATTCTAAAAAGATCTATATCAAGTAAGAAAGGAATGGTCAAATTTATTGCAAGCCAGTACCCTTTTACCTATTTCAATGGAAGCCTTGCCTCTCAGTAGCAGTTTGAGGCACTCCACGTTATCTGTCAAACAGCAGTAATGCAGCGCTGTGCTACCTTTACACGTCTGCTTGTCAAGGTTGCCACTACACAGAAAGAGAGAGGTGAAAGCTTGAACGTACAAGATGGGGTAGTCTGGGTCACAAAACCTACAACCGATGCAATAGCTACAGAAGCATGTTCGCGCCATACTAACAAACGTTTCGACTGAAGTCTTGACTTCCTCAGTAAGGCAACAGAAATGCAAAGGAAGTGGTTTGATCGTTCTGGAACGACTCACCTGTTCTGCACTAGGAAGTCAACTATGTGAAGAGAGGTCCGATCAACTGATCTCACAGCAAGATGAAGGGCCGTTTCATCTTGTTCCTAAAATTATAACAAACACAATGCATGTTTCTGACTGATCTTGGTATTTTAAAAACTCAGTATTTTTTAAATGCCATGCTTATTATTGCACTATGCTAAACTTTTTTTTTTTTAAATGGCCATAACCAAAATTGGCCATATTGAAATCTGGCTTCTACACAGATCCCTGCCCCCTACCCCCGCAAAAAGAAAAAAGCTTCATCTGTTGGGTGTGGAGGAAAAGAGAATTATTCTGAATAAAAGGGAAGCCATGCTTTAGAAGGGAACCACTCCCAGATAATCTTCTGGTATTCTTTTGCCGTCACTCTGTGATTGAAAGGGTAGTAGAAGCTTCAATAACTGGGAAAAGAGAGAGAATGTGTGTATTGAGCATATAGTAACTGGCTTAGAGTCTGCCTTGAAAGTTGTGGACAGGGTGCAAAAACAAGTAGATAGTACAGGATTAGAATCTATGGTTGTGGTGATGTTTGTACAAATGACACTGGGAAATGTAATCTTGAAGTAATGGGAAAACATGTAATTTGCTAGGTAGACCAAGACTCTCAAGGAAACATTTTTGAAAATTTTATTTTATGCACAAAGCCAGGGTTTAAAAAAAAAATCTTTTGCTCCATAGCTCGAACAACATGCAGGAGGAGCGTTAATGATGGAAGTTGACCCCACTGCACTTCAGGTCACGAGCCCTGTTCATGCACTGCAGTGAGCAGAAAATCACTTGCAACTGTGGCTGCCTAGAGGAGGAGCAGGGAGGGAGTGAAGTGCCTGCAATGGCCCTAATCATGTGTTGGGCTCCATGTGGATCCTTTGCAACACAACCAACCCACCTTGACTTGGTGCCAAGAGTAGGCTGTCAGGTCCTACATAGCCAACCTATGCTTTTGCCGGCCAAGGAGATGACTGCCAGCAGGTAGAGTTGGGGAGGTGAGTGGCTGAGAAGATAAAAACAGCTCTAGAAGGACACCCAAGTTGGAAAGGATTGAGAAATAGTGCCATAAAATCTAAACTCAGTCCATAAAGCTGCATGTTAAAAGTCATAAATATAAAACATGTGAACACTTTTGTTCATATGTTGATATTTTTACACATATCTTCAATGGAAAATGTTTCTATGCACAATCTTTCCATGCATGTATTCGGTGACCTATTTTTAATAATTCATTTAAAAATTTATAACAGATGCAAAGACTTTTAAAGTCTTTTTGCTGACTTCTTTTGCAAATAATATATCAAGAAAAGTTGTTGTTTTTGTAGTTATTTTCATTTTTATAACCATTATACAGCTGAAGCTCTATGGATAGTTTTCATATTAAAACAGAAAGGGTCTGAACAAAACCAGAAACAGATTTTATCATTAAAATATTACAAATACATTAAGATCCCACTTCCATCAAAACAGTATCTCATGTTCATACAGTAGGTAGCAAGAGGTTTCAACACTTACATGTCCATTTGCTAGTGGAATTTTCTCTGTTAGATCCACACCATCAGCATATACTTGAACCAATCCAAATATGTCTCTTGTTCTAACTGCTTCACAGAGGCTTTGTAGTTTAGCTAAGTTGTCAGAGTATTTTTTTCTTGCATATTTTCTTTCAATATATTTGGCATTAATATAATCTTTTCGTGCATTCCTGAAATGAAGAATGAGCTGACATGAACTATTCAGATATTGCTTTTATTAAAATATATTATGGTGAATGCAATTCTACAAATAATATTTTTAAAAAATTCATAAAAACTGTTTGGGCTTCAAATTGTAATATAATTTCCTTCTTTCTCTGATATGTACAAGAAAGTTTTGTATTCATGATCATATATTTGACAATAAATATTGTCTTGATGAATACAGTACACTGTTTAATTAGTACAAACTAAATACATAAATGGGTCACTTGAAAAAAGCTATTTTCCTTAGCTATTTTCAGAAAAACATTAAACTTATTTTGCAAATGAAATTAAAACTGTGAGCTCACTCAGTGGATGTGAGCCTTCCGCTAAACAGGAAAAAAGATATACTGTTCTGTCAGTCTTTTACAGTGTTAAGCCTGAGATCAATTGTTTAAGATTACTGTCATCTATGATTTAACAAAGGGTCTGTTACAGACTGCCGAGGATAATCAGATCAAGCATGCTCTGTTCAAATGCTGATCCTGGAGGCTTCATTCTCCATTTGTCTTGATACGTTTAAGTACAACACTTTTTCTTTGCTGTACACATGCACTCAACCCTTCTTGTTGCATCACCTGCATTCGGAGTGCTCACCAGATTATTTTTAATACAAGTGAAGAACATGTGCCAACGGCTACAGGATGATATTACACTGAGATATAAAATGTACAGATAATTTCTTACTTCAGTTGTCTATGGCACCTTCTCCCATTATTTCCTTAGAAACTGATGGACCATGTTCATTAAGTCATGCCCTTAGCAATATGTCACGAAAGTAGGGAATTGGGTTCTAGCAAAGAACGTAAGATTTCAGATGCCCTGCTAGTGCAGTTTCCTAATAAGCTGCTGCTTCATTTATTGGGCCATGCCCAATTTGTGTCCCTTTCAGTTGCTCCTTTAAATCAAGTGAAGTAATTTGATTAAGGAAGCTTCAAACACAATTGTATCTGAGAAAGAAGACACTTCTTAAATTTATGGGGATGACTATTTTAATGTGTTTCTTAAAATAGCTTTTAAAAGTTTATTTGGCTAATAAACAAGACTAATACAACTTCAGTGAATATAGTTCTCAAATGATCCTTTGCATATTTATAGAACTGGCTGATTTTACAGGCTATCTTAGGGCATAATTTGCTGACAATTTTACATAAGAATTATAGGCTCCAAAATTGGGGGGGGGGAATCCAATCTCACTCTACTCTTGATACACCCAATGCTTTTCAACTGATTAATGGGATCCATTATCTAAATCCCTTTTCAATGGCAGAGTTCATGAACTCTTAATTTTGTTCTAAAAGGCAATTCTCTTGACTAAAGCAAAATATAGTTTATTATTACTGAATTATTATTTCTTAAATTTCTTAGATGCCTTTCTCAAGAAAGGCTCAAGGTGGTTTCCAACATAACCAATACACAAAATTTAAAGCCACTAAAAGCAATTATCCGCTAAAGTACTACCACTGCACAAAATAACACAAATATCAGTGATGATCATAAACAATTCAACTGATGCATTAAGAAAGCTCACCTAACGCCTAGAAAAAGAAGTATTTGTTATTAGTAGTAAACATTTATACGGAATCCGAGTGTTGTACTACGCACACATAAAATAGGTTGCTTATCTTGTTCTTCGAGGGGTCCCCTGTGCATTCACACATATGGGCAGTATGCATGCATGGACCCTGTTTTCGGAAGATTCTATAGCTAAGATATATTTGGCAGGGGCCCCTCCCCTGGCCCCACCCAACCCAGAAGGGGTTCCCACCCAATCCTCAGTTCAACAGACACAAGACTGACATCGTGGCCTCATGTTCGGGGGGGGGGGCGCACCTGGATCCTGGTATGGACAGATGTACCATCAGAGGGCAACACAGAAAAGAGAAAGGAGGGTGAGTTTGTGTGGATGCACAGATGACCACTCGACGAGCTACAGTTGTGGGTAAGCAACCTTACTTTCTTCTTCTTGGTCTCTGTGCATCACACATATGAGTGACAGGTGAAGTTAACTCACGAAAGCAGGCAATGTCAATAGTAAAGGACCAATAATAGGCCCACTCTGCCAAAGGCACAGTCTGCTCTGGCACAAACATCAAGGCAGCAGTGTTTCAACAGATTCAACAGGCAGCTACTTTGCAGAGGTCAGGCAGTGAGTGACGCAGAATGCTGTGGAGGTGATTACTGCTCATGCAGGCAGGGGATGGCCTGCACAACCCAACCCACCAGGCATTGAGAGGATCCTGGGAGGCCTTTGCTTCTGCCACCATAGCATAAGAACAGTCTCTATGAGTGTCGGAAGGGCTCAGTCCTGGACTTGCAGGACACCTCAGACAACAAGGGAATGCAGCACCATCTCCACTGGGCCCAACGTTGCAGTGAAGAAAGTCGGGAGGACAATGTCTTTATTGAGGTGGGAGGCAGAGACCACCATGGGAAGAAAGAGGGAGTCTGGGCAGTGCATTGCTTTATCCTTGTGACAGATGAGGTAGGGTGGCTCCACCCACAGACTGGCAAGCTTGCTGGAGCTGTGGGCTGCGGTGATTGCTACCAGGAAGGCCGTTTTCCCAGACAGCAGGTACAGGTCCACTGGGGTCATGGGTTTGAAGGGCTTTCTTGTGAGTGCCTGAAAGATGCTGTGGGTCTAAAACCAAAGTTTAGGCCATCTAGAGGACCTGGTTTGAGAAGAGCCCCAAGTCCTCTGAAAATTATGGCAGGTCTTGGGGCACCACTGCTGCCTCTGGAGATGGCTCCAATCAGGACAGGAGGATTCTGGGTCTGACATGTAGTCATTGGAGTGCAAGGAGGGGGCCGAGGTCTGCATGTCAACAGGCCCAGGGCTGGTAATAAGGAACATACCAGTCAGATCACCAGAGTCGGAGAGTGAGGGCCAGAGTAGGCCTAGTGATGGTGCAACATTCTCCCTGGGAGTGCGATGCCCAAGATGTTTCCCTGTGCACATAATCTTGGTCTGCGCAGAACAGGCTCAGGTAAGCCTCTCTGAAGTTTCAAGAATCATAAGGTGGCCTACAGCCCCGATGATAGTTCAAGTAGTTTAAGTCCCTTCTCTGAGGTGGGAGCAACCACCAGCTAGACCCCTGATCCCAGTGTCTTTGGTGATCAGACTCAGTTTGCAAGGACTCCTGCAGGATTAGCGACAGTGGGGCAGCGCACCTTGGTCTCAAGACAAATGAAGGTGCACATTCAGGTATCAGGGATGACAAGTCCCAGATCTCACCCTTGGTGAAAGAAGCACGCTGAAGTGCCTTGGTGCATTGGGACCATGGTATCATAGTCAGGCATCCTCAGCGCCAGAGGAAGTTGGTGCACAGTGTTGGGTTGGAGCCTGATATCAAAGTGAGGTGCAGTATCAGATGGGAGAACAGCTCCTGGGCACTTAGCTTTGGGGTGCTTCTTGTGGGCCTTGGCCCTGGTCATGTCCGCCATCCTTTCAACCTTTTGGGTGAATTTCTTCACCCTGGTGATCTTTACGAAGAAGCCGGGGTTGGGCAGGGCATCTGAGGCAGCCACAGTTCAGGAAGGCAAGACAGATGAAGTTGCTGGGACCTCTGAGGTGGAAGTATGTTTGGCAGGCCTGGGGGAGCTAATCCTACAGAGGGCTCTATGGCACAGTTTGGCTGTAGCAAGCACGTTTCTTAAATGGAGTTTTGAGCACCATTGTGAGATGGGAAGAACTAGGAGAAAATGACAAAAGATATGAGAAGAAGTTTGGAGTGTCAAGAGGCTAGAGGAGGAAGGGAGATGAAGCGGAATGGATATATTTTTGTAGATTTTTTTTTTTTGAGGGAGGAAGAAATTATTAGGGGTTGGGAGAAAAAGTGGAGATTTCTTAAGCAAAGGAGGCTAGAAAGAAAAAAACATCAGTAAAAATGAGAGATAGCTAGGAAGAGCAGAGGAACTACTTCTCAATGCATTCATGATGGTGGTCAAAGAAGAACTGAGGATCGGGCAGGGACAACTCCCTCACTCCTGGGAGACAAGATAAATCTTATCTTCCCAAGACAGGCTCCACGCATGTGCAGAGCCCTTATGTGTGATGTTCAGAGATCACAAAAATGCTCTTCTTCCTTAAAACAACCTGTACATTCACATTGCAATTGAGGATGGTCTAGGACAGTGGGGGCGAACCTATGGCACATGTGCCGCAGCGGGCACGCAGAGCCCTCTCTGTCGGCACGTGAGCCAAGTCACCCCAGCATTGCCCCAGCAGCCAAGCACTGGACAACAGCGCACACAGGCACCATCTGAAAGGAGTAGCAGCACCAGGTGATGATGTCACAAGCAGCGACACATTAGTCGCGACTCGCCCGAGCTTTCGCATGGCTGGTCAGTGCACTGCCAAGGATATATGTATATTTGCTTGGACTGGCTGTGAGTTGTTTCTTTCTAAACTAAATCCTCAGTATTCAGGTTTTATTGAAGTGTTGGCACTTTGCGATAAATAAGTGTGGTTTGGGTTGCAGTCTGGGCACTCGGTCTCTAAAAGGTTCGCCATCACTTGTCTAGGAGATACAGAGAAAAGCAGTTGGCCTAAGGACACATAGCAAGATCACTGAAGGTTAAGAAAGTTAAGCTGGGGGTTTTTCTGTCTAAACTGACACAGTCACTGTTTTCCATGTTTCATACTTACATATCACTGCTTGGATTTGGTTTGACTAACTCATCCGCAGGCAGGCAAAATTCCATAATCTCATTGAATCCTGCATTCCCAATATTCTTGGCAAGCTGTCAAGAGAAATATCAACATCTCAAGCAAGTGAATTCAGAGGCCGCTCATTTTCCCATTTTCCAAGACAGCAAGAACTCAAGATGTAACATTAACAAAAATACTGAACTCAGTTCCCCAGCATTAATGCTCTACTTACAAGCAAAATTCATTACTGCACAATAATCCAACAAGGAATTATTCCAAACTTGCTATTATAATATTATAGGGATGTTGGACCTCTTTCAGCCTGAGTACCAAAATTAATTTCAGATAAGCTCTCATGGGCCACACTCCAGGGGTGGGCAGGTTTCAAAGTGAAGGGGTTTGGGTCAAAATGCTAAAAGTGAGAGTAATGCTTAGTTTAAAGCTTTTACTACCACCAAGTAGGCTTTGGGAGAGACATTCCAACCATCAAAATGGGAAAAACACTGCAAAAACCAAGAAGCCACCAAATAGTTACTGGTTGGAGAAAAGGGCTGAGGCCAAGGTAAGAGGTATGTCCATCTGGGCAACCCCAGAAGCCCAGACTGGGACCCCAAGTGGGTTAGATGTGGCCCATGGGCCTGAGGTTCAACACTCCTACTTCAGAAACAACCTGTTCTGGTACATTTCCTTATTGGGATATAGAGGTTCTTCCGAGAAGTATAAGAAGTAAATCTGAATAATTACAATGATGGGCAAAAATACACCAACCAGTCACTCACTCAGCTTTTTAATGATAGCAACATTGTTACTGACCAGCAATTCAGATGTTCCCAGCACATCTAATGTAAGTGACTGCATTCTAGAATAATGGACACCAAGTTCTCGATGGATTCCTGAACATTCAATGCAAGTTAAAATGCCCAGATTCGTTGAGAGCCATGTAGGATCTGAAAATGAAATAACAAGAAGTTAGAATACACAATACAGTGTAATGATACAATTTCTCTTCAAGGAACAGTAAATTTATTCATACAGCCAACAATTACATTGTGGTTATTCACTATTCCAGCTTACATCCACAAAGAATCATGCAAAAATCATCAATATTTTGCATTCTCTGAGGAAGTGTTGGATCCAGACTACATTAGTTTTACTTACTGCCCAAGTGCAATTAACCTTGTCTATATGTGACCCCATGTAAATGGAAAGGGAGACAAAGGAAATTAAGCCTATGGACTGGGGACCTAGCTTTTAAACTGGATAAAAGGCTGTCTCCAGTAATATAGTTTTACATATATATATATTTACAAGATCGTGCATATTTTCCTGCTCCTACACACACACACACACACAGAGAGAGAGAGAGAGAGAGAGAGAGAGAGAGAGAGAGAGAGAGCGAGCGAGCGCGAGGGAGAGAGAGGGAGAGAGAGAGTTAGGAAGACTAGAATAGAACACTACTACCCAGAAATAAAATTATAAAATGTGGATAGGAGCTGGAAAATATGCATAATCTTGTAAAAATTAAATTGCATCCTCCTCTAAGTCAGGAGTGGGCAAAAAGTAGATCTCCAGATGTTTTGGACTTCAACTGCAAGTATTCCTGAACACTGGCCATTTGGCAGAGACTTCAGGGAATGAAGTCCAAAACATCTGTAGATCTACCTTCTGTCCATCTCTGCTCTAAGTTATAAGGCCCAATACTCCTATGTGACCATCATTCTGCCTAAATGGAATTTGCATGGTTAGAAAAACAAACTATAAGTGGACCCTGTGATGTGTTCCTGTTTGGTGTTCCAAATAGCAATGCCCCCTTCCATTTGCCACCCTGGCTTTCTACCTCTGACATTATGTGCTCTGTGGTTAGTACATGCTGCCATCTTTCTTAAAGGTTTTTTTTAACTTCTTGACCTTTATTCTTAAAAAAAGCTAAACAGCATTTCTCCAGGCATGTTGATACTTCCCTCTTATTTGCCAGTAGCAATATTTCGGCTATATAGCTATCATAATTCAGCACTTGATGTCACTATTAGTATATACAATGGAAAATACTATAACTTTGTCTTGCTCACTTGCCTTTGGGCAGCAGCAGCTGCCCCCTAGCAATCTGATGAAAGGGTAATTCCCAAATGCTGGCTCTATTCTTGTTTGCCTCCAACAGTAAAGCAGCAGACCCAGCACTGATCTGAAATAAAGACCTATGACATGTTAGCCAAGAAAACATGTCTCTTGTTTCACTTTTTTCTTACAAGTGAAAGGAGAGGCTTCCTGCCAGTGCTGCCTTTAAAAGTATGAATCTGGGTCCCAAGTCACCATATTGGTAGGGGCAGAAGGTGCACTGCTAGAATGACCAGCATGCAGCCAATCATGCAGCCAATTTAACAAATGAAAATAGATAGGGAAAAATGCTTCCATAGTAACATGAACACATGAATGCATATAAACTGTTTTAGTGATATTGAGCATAGTCTGCTTGGCCTTTCATACTGGTGTTTCTGGCAGGTATGTTTAATTAGCTTAAATAGTGTTTTACATGCTTATGGTAGTGGCTTGAGGACAAATCTTTATAAGAGAAATAAATATTATGGCAGCATTTTGAAGTCACCTTGAGCTCCACAGTCACAGCACATGTCATTTCCAGGCATCCTTTGTATATCAGAGATTATTTCTTTTGTCAGTTCTTGGACAATATTGTTTTCTCCTGTATTGTCATCGCCTTTGAATGCATTATTTAAAGCTTCTTCTTTACTGTTCTGTAACACTGATATCCAGCTTGAAAACAAAACAAAAGAGTCACACCTTTTTCCCTGAATGATTAAACAAATGCAGACAAAGTGCGCAATTAAGAAGTTTGGTTCTCGGATCACCTCTCAGATCAACACTTTCATGCCGTATGAAGCTGCTAGCACAGACAATGTGGCCCTTTCAGGATCATGGCGTCTACCAATCCCCCAAGTGATTAAGAAGAAAGTGCACTTTCTTCCACTTACCTTCACTCACCCTTCACCTCCTAATCGCCACACTTCTCCCTACCCCACTGATTTTAATACTCTATCTGATATCACTCCAGTGATTTTAACACCACCACCAAGGACCCTGCATCAGCAAGGTCTTTGATGATGGAGGGGCTCCCACCTTGCTCCAGCTACCTTTCAGCAGGGGACCCCCCTCCAATTCTGATAAAGTGAATGGAGCAACATTGTTCCATTTACTTAAATGGAGTGAAGACAAAAATGCCTGAGATCTCCTACTGGGTATAAAGGACTACAGAAGGTGTTTTTTGAATGCAAAGATTTATAGTTACAGAACGTTTAGTCTTCCTAGCTTCCTTGTATGATGGCAAGAACTAGGGACATCGTTCTTACATAAAAAGATGGACTTGATCGACTGTGGACACCACTATCATTTGCAAGTGAAACAGCAAGGATAACGAAGAAAAAATATTAATGCAGCTTACATTTGACAGTCCTGCTCATCCTCTGCTTGGAAATGATATGTTCTATCATCTATAAAATGACAAAATATTTCCAGTATTAATTCAAATAAATGTGTGCATTGTTGATTTCAGCAGAACAGTTATACCTATTTCAGTATTCCATTATCAAATACTTGATCTTGCTACTGGAGTTTAATTAATTTGACAAAAGATTACACACAATTAAAATTATTCATGGAGAAGATTCAAGTGGCATTAAGTGGCTCAGAAGTAATTGAATTTAATACAGTCTCATGTACAAGATCAAACATTATCAACACCAAGGTTACAGCACATTCTTGTGATATGCTCAGAACTAGTTGGCAAGTACAGGCATTTACATAATCTATGGAATGACATTTCAACAACCGCAGGAGTTGCAACTACTTTCCATCCATTCATCCAACTGGAATACAAGTGTTTTGGGCCAAATGGGAAACAGTTCAGTTTTATTCTTAATGCTTATCATAATGACATGTATTATAGTAGGTTTCCTGGAAGCATCTGAGTGGCAACTGATGGAAACCAGATCTTAGGCTAAATTACCCTTGGTTCCTAACTAGCAAGGATGTTCTTATGTTCTTATAGCATGGATTCCTCCTTGCTTACCTACAGAACAGTTTTTTCTTTTGTTCCTTGACTGGACCAGTAGATGGAAACCCGACTTTCTATCCTCCAACCATGGCAATACAATAGGCTATACGGTCTCCCAACGAATTTTCCCTGACAAACATTGCAATTTGATGGACAACTTCTAGCTTTTGAAAGCTTTTTCAATTTCCTGTGCCCAGGAATTACCACCACCTGCCTTTTCTTTTGCAAGCCAAATAAAGAAGTAATGGTACCTTAAGGAGGCCTTACAACAAGGTCATACTATTTTTAATGGGAAAGAATTAAAAACATTTCCCATGAAATGATTCTTCAAAAGATCAGGGTACAAAGGGCTCCGTTGTTGATGTATTGGCTTAAACTTTGTGTGCCTACTTGCAAGGATAGTTTGATATTCTCTTTTCTCCAGAAGCCTCAGCTCCATGCAATTTGGAGGCCTGTGGATTACTGCCACTGTGTTTGCCATGGATCAGAATGAAGATCTGAATGATGTATCACCTGAACAGCATGGAAAACACTGCTTCATGTATGTGTATTGCACTGCCTTGGTAATATTTCAACAGAACTGTTCACATACCAAACTGTTCACATATGAGCACTTCTTTTCAAATGCTTCTTCCATGGTGAAAATATTTGGAACATACATGGACAGTGAACTTGAGTATGTAATCCATTACATCAACTGGAATGTTTATCTTTACAAAAACATGGCTAAGCTTCAAAGTTCCCATTTCATCCACTAAACCCAAGGGAGGAGGTTGTCACTGCAGATCCCTCTTCAACTGGCAGCCCCTGAAAACTGACTCAAGAAGATTAGAGTGTTCTCAAGAACAGATTTGTATTTGTGTCTATGGGGGGGGGGGGATAGCAGATGAGAATGGATTATCAGTGATCTTTCACATGTGGGTTGGAAGTGCCTTCCACTTCTGCAGAAGGATCTTTGGGACCAGGCCCATTATGAGCTATGTAATTGGGCACAACAATAAACCAGAACATTTAACTGTAAATGCACGTAAGGAAAAGCATGCCTCTGGATCTATCTGGTGTAGAAATGTTCTTCAGAGCACAGAATGAAATAAATAAGATGGGTTGTGCCAACACAATTTGTACAACAGCAGAGGGGGAAAAACCTAGTACTAAATAATATTTGGAAACCTGAAGAATGCTAGAAGTATGACCAAGGCCAGCATTTTTCTTGTATTTGGTCACATTCAGAAAGGGTCTTAAATAAAAAGGCAGTCATTTTGATCTGAACCTCAAAATGTAAAATGGGGGATAGTAACCCACGGGTATTAGTCATAAGGCAAGCAGCAAAGCACAGTCCTAACTAGTGAGGTACATTTGAGACAACAAAAAACAGGGTGACAATAAACAGAAGAACAGAGTAGAAAAATGTTTTAGCTAATACAAGGAGCAAGTGGACTATATTAAAGGAACAGTGTTAATTTTGCTGCCAGAAGAAAATGAGGAAAAGAAAAAGTAAAGAGGGAGGGAGGGGAGAAAGAGATAGAATGTCCCCCATTTTCAAAATAAAGTCTTGACTTTTAGTTATTAGGTCTCAAAGAGTTTGTCTAAGTTCTTTTTTTAATCGGTATTCATTTGAAACTTTATTAATGAAAAGTGCCAACAAAAAAGATAAAAGAAAATAATACCCCAACCTAACCTAAGAAGGCAAACTCGCCTGACCATATATTTCATTCCAGAAAGACAGTACCTAAGCGTTGCTACATGAGAAATGGTTAGGGTCAATTTCCTACCATTACCATGCAACAGAAGCCAGTACAGGACAGGCTATGACGAAGTAGATAAATAAACACATGAAACAAGTTCTAAAGAAGAGGGAGCTCTCAAAATTATAATTGAGGTGAAAATAGGTGTAGCAAATAAACATAAATCAGGGAGCCAATAGGGAGGTTCTTGGAGGTTGAAAATAATTTCAAGAGCCCCTAGAGTAGCAAGGGGATATGAAACCTCCATTGTGTTATGGATTTGGTTTACAAGCTGCTAAGTAACAGTTATTAGGTTCGCCGGTCATAACTGAGATAAGCATACTAAAATGGGTGGTTCCCCAAATTATAGTTTGGGGACTCTGTTTTTGGCTGCCTAATAACCTGTCATTCTCTGGGTGACTCAGAGACTACTAAAACTACTGGGTGACTCAGACTTTACTACTAAAACAATTCAAACCATGAACTCAACACAAATACAATTAATCAGCAGTTCTCAAGCAATCACAGTAAAATAGAGGGGAAAGCTAACAGGCCATGCCAGCAGTAGATAAGGACAAACCTATTAAAGTTCTTGCACTGTGCTGTAGGCTAGCATCCTCCCTCTTCCCCACCCCAGCTCCCCTCTTTCTCTCCCTTTCCTTTCACTGTTTGATTGACAATAGTTTAGCACCTATTCTAACTAGAATTATAAAGCTGATCAGGAATGGCAACAAACCAGGATATTTAACAATGCTTTGAAGTAGGCCAAGCCTGGACAAGCTTCAACTCTAGCTAACACTGATACAGAGACTGTTTTCAACTATGATCAAAGCAAATAATGGCAGTGAAGCAAGGATTCATGCATGGAAGAGGAGAAGAAGGGAGAGAAGGGAACAAACCAATCTAGGGTATTGTTCCTGATTATAAATAATACATCTGCATCAAATCATTATCAAGAGCATCAAAAATAAAGAGGAGGAGAATTTAAATGTAGAGCATAAACAGCCATTTTGGAATACTATGTAGCAAAGAAGACAAGTGTGTAGAAAGATAAAACGGAAACAGAAAAACAGCGAAAAACAGCCAACATGCTTTACTCCTAAAAGAACCACATGGAAAGAGGTTATCAGAATACCAGTACACATATTGTCAGATAATTGTAGCAACAGGATGGATGACAGCCAGTGTAGTTCTAGTGATAGAAGTGATTTCAAGAATAGAACTGGGAGAAGGGGCGAACCCCTTTCAGCCCTGAATGCCTTCAATATTTGCACCAGACGGAAACTACAGAACAGATTTTCGTGAATGCAGTGGAGAAGAAATCTATTTCTGCAAATAAACTACTGCTTGCACAATGTTAGATTTCACCATGTCCTTTACGATGGTAGAAGTGATACCATAGTTAAGAGCAGACCCATTTAAATTAACCTACTCAAATCTACCCATTGAAGCCAATCATTGATAACTTAATTCCCTATTTCTTTTAATGGGTTCATGCTAGGCAGAACTAAGTCTGGATCCAATGTGAAGATCAATAAAACCCAATAAATCACCAAAAGAAAAAGTTGTTTTAACAATTTGTTGTTAATAGCTTTCAAGAGAAATTGGAGACTGATCATTCAAGTCTCTGATACTAGAGGTCTACCACCAAATATACAGCCATTCAGTTTAGTATGTGAAATCCAACATATTCATCTTTCCTCAAGGCCTGCTGCCTTTTCCTAAACTGCCCTCTCTTCCCATTTTCCTGAAAGTTACGGGCCTGCCTGTAACTTTCCCTACTGTCCTTTGGCTCTGTGAGACTTAACTCTATGCCAAAGTGACCTTTCCTTTGATTCTCAAACGATGCACCATGTGGACTGATCAGCCTTGCTCAACAGTGAGTGTTCCTGTACATTTTTCATGACATCTCAGCAGTCCAGGCAATGGAAAGTGGAGATTTACTGGCAAGAGTGAGTTTTTAACCTTTTAGTCATGTAAGATGCCATGCTATGAAAGGAGGAAACCCAAGTTCAGGAAAAACCATGATGGCAAATCTTAATAGCTTATAATGATATAAATTGATTTATAATTGATCATACTTTCTTTCACACAATTATCTCAATCATTTTGAGATTTGATTCTGTAAGAAGGCATATCTGAAACAACCAGTTTGTAATATTGCGACCCAAGTGGTGGATACAACAACAAAAAACCAAGACAAATAAACAAGCAGCTTTACTGACAAACATATAGAAACAATATTTGAAATATATGTTTAAACAAAGCAAACTACCACAAAATGTATTCCAATTGTATTAGAAAGAATGTTGGACTCTTGCCATTAACTCATTTCCTGAAACAATATGGAGGTATGTAGAACTAACTAATATAGAGTACCTATGGAACTGAACAACAAACCTACGTGATATGAGGTCAAAACATTTTTTCTCTTCTGGGTTTGTTTTCACTTGGCAAGTTAACAGATTGAGCTTTGCAGGAGGTCGGTTTGCCTAATTAAAGAAAAACAAAACAAAAAGGAATATCCCTTAGTAAAAATGCATAAAGAATAAAGACGTTTTCTGTTACCATTGATTTTGAAAGGAAGAAATTCTCCTGCAACTAACTGACATCAAGTGTGCCCTTGGATTTTACCAAAATAGGCATGTATTCAGTCCTTTTGAGTAAGAAACTGGAAGTGGAAACAATTAGGTCTAGGGCAAATTCAGAGTGAGCTAAATTTTAAGGACTGGGTCAAATTGTTGCTTCATACCCAAGTTACAGTATTAACATATCTACTTCAGAAAGATGTGAGAGTGCAGTGCTCAAGAATGGATAAATATACTGGAGTTCTAAATTTCTACTAGAATATATCTTTGTAAATATAGGTGCATCTCACACCTGTGCCATTTGTCTTATGTTAGAATTGTGCAAGAAATGTAATTTACTTATGAGCCTTCTTTCCTGCTGCAACACCTAACAGATAGCATCGAGTTTACATAGGAAACATCTATTTTGGTGATAAGATACATTTGACCAAATTAAAACAGGCTACACTCTTGTAATAGGCTCAACAGTACAGGAAGGAAGAATGACAATTCCATGTTTTAACAAAGCCATACATTTAACATTTGGTTCTCTACTTGTTACAGCAGATCAACAGTGCTAGAGACAAATAGTTATAGCCACTGACACAACATTAAAAATTGCACATAAACCTGACCATAAAAACACAAGACAAAGTAATTCCAAGAGGTGCATTGTGCAGAAAAACTCATGTTGCTTACTGCAGTCACATATCATGCAGGCAAGAGTGGCACTATTCATCAACAAGAGAGTCAGAGACTTTCATCTGTTAAGGATACTTTCTTAACTCCATTATGAGAACATCATGGGTTGATGTGCACTGAAACACTGCATGCAGATTCTATACAAGGTAGGGCACAGGAACAAGGTATTTACTCTTGGAGCCACATATGTGTGAATATTTTCTCACTTGCACACTGGAACACAGTGTAAACTACCCCCATGCCTTTTCTAGAAAGGAAACCAAATGCTTTTCTAAAATTAGTAGTAGTAGTAGTAGTAGTAGTAGTAGTAGTAATAATAATAATAATAATAATAATAATAATAATAATCCAGAAACCTATTTAAAATAGGATGTAACTGGAGAGGAACCAAATGAACCAAAGAATTGAGTTTTATGTTCCAGATTAGATAAAAAACAAAAAAAAAAAACACATTATAAGCCAATGCACCAGGGCTAACAAATGTATGCGGCCAGAACCTCCATGGTTTTTCATAAGGAGCTTGACCTGAACAGCCTTATTGAAACAGTAAGTCAGGGGCTTAGGGAGGCAGTGGAGATCAACTGCTAAATCAGTGTAATGTCACAGAATGCAACATTATATTGCAGGTACATCTTGTTGATATTGTGAACAGAGATGTTAGAGCACCTAAAAATAAATGTTATATAACACAGCATTTATTCTTTTTCTTTTCTGAAGAATGGGAAGCTTCCCATTTTACTTCTGAATTAGTACATAAACTAATTTTATTTTTCTGAAGACAATGCTGTCTTCAAAAATAACTGCTGCCTTGCTGTTAAAAAGTAATGTGTAGCAATAACTAATGAAAGTGTGAAGATTGTCCAGAACTATTTTACTGTGATTGATAGCACAAAATATACCAAAGTGGAGGGAATGTTCCTTTATTGTACATTTATTGAATGGCCATGTACTTGAGAGCGGGGAGAGCAAGATATATGGTGCTTCCACTCACGCTTAAGCATGTGTACGCATGTGTGTATATGCATGCACAGACAAAGATACTGCTGGCCAGTTATGCACTGAACCCTGAGAACTCAAGGTTTGAGTCCCTGAGTAGAAACCAACTGCAAATTCTATGTTTTGGCGACACTGAAGTGATGGATTCCATTTTGCTGTTGTATCTTCCTTCCAAATTACAGACCAAATCTGTTGCACAGTCAGAAGCAAGACACATGAGGGTGCCATTTCTGGGACAGGGTTTCATCATCCTAGCCATTGCTGCAGTTCTAGGGCTTGTGACGGATCAACACCACAGATTAACTCTTGATTTCAAGCAATGGTTAAATGCATCATTTTGCTTGGAATTCCTCATGCTCATGTGTCTTAGCTCTGAGAATAACCTGTGGTCCTAATTATGTTAATATAATCCATTTTGATTCTTTCTTAACACAATTCTCTGGTCCTGCCATGGTAACGATTCCATGTTTCCAGGGCCAGAGTTCCCCTCATTATTTCCAACTGAACTCACTATCTGCTTTGTCGTCCAGAGATATCAGTTACGTTGTACATACAGAGAGAATCTCTTCAACCCCCGAATTCCATGCGAAACACCATAGGGTGCCTAAAAGGCGAAAGCTACAGAGCCCTGGAAAATAAAACTTTACCTGTAAGAAAGATAGGTTTTAACTTTTTTTGTCCATGGTGCTCTAGAAACATTTTTTTGTTTGCTTGCTGGTGAGATTTAAAGAAAACTAGGTGTAGGGAGGTGCTGAAAGCATTGGTGAGGGCAGGGGCTGCACTGGAAGCTTAGGGAAGGTAGTAGGAAGCTGATACCAAAAAGTTTCAACAAGAATGCACTATCTTTGAGTTTTATTGAGAACAAAGAAGCAGCCCTTTAGCAAGGCTGTCTTCTCATATTTACTTTTAAGCAATTTGTGGTGGTTTCAAGGACTCTAACAACAACTTAGCTTCTCTTTGGTCTTCCCTTTATTACCTGTCCAAAGGCCCTTCCTTTAGATCAGTCTTCCCCACCCTGGTGGCCTTCAGAGGTTTTTGGACCGCAGCTCCCAGAATTCCCATCCAGCAGATCCATTGAGTGGGAATTCTGCATGTTCCAGTCGAAACATGTCTGGAATGCACAAGGTTGGGGAAGGCTGCTTTAGGTGTTTCCAGAGCACATGGTACAGCCCATTACCTATAACTGAGCTCCAGACTCTTGTCCCGTGTTTCCATTAGAACTAAAGCTAAGAAATACAAGGGTCATCTGTTCCCAAAGGGTATTTCTGTTTGCAAGGAAATTATATCTGTGGGATTTCCCTTTCTCTGAAGTCATATAAATTATAGCCCCCTTTGCTTTTCCTCCTAATTCTATCCATTTCCAACCACAAGGCCCATCATTACCACCAGCACCTGAACTCCCCTGTTCACACAGCACTCTAGTCCCTGCTCTGAAATTTCATGGGGCCACATTCCTTCCTTATTTATTCCTTCCTCTTTCTCTATATATTTCAAGTTCAGGCTATGAGAACTAGGACATTGCCCTGTGTGATAGGCCCTCTACCATATTCTCATTTCTCTATTTCTGCCATCCCTTCTCTGCCAGGGAAGGGGCAAATAGCCCTTAGAAGAGGCCTGAACTGACTGCATTTAGAGGGCTGCATGAAATTAGGGGAAGGGCTTCAGGATACCAACCATTGTCTGAAGAGATGGGTATACCCATCAAGCCATTGTCTTTTTCTCTAATAATTGTGCATGTGCATGTTTTAAGAATAAAAAACCTTTAAAAAGAAAGTCTATTGGACTTTAATGGATATATGAGCTAATTTCCCCAATTTAGAAGGAGCTATTTCTCATTTGTAAGCATATCATGCATGCATCCACTGCGTGAGCACCACACTTCTAGTTAAAGGCCTCCTTAGACCTATCCTGGGCACTGCACATGCATACAAGAGAGTTCATGTATCGATACAGATAGGAAGAAACAGCAACAAGAGTCCCATTTAGTTGTGCAAGCTGGTGGGACCAAGATACATCAGCACTTATTTGGAAATTCAGCTGAAATGAGATTTAAAAGAGAGAGAGAGAAAAGGAGTGCATGAGAGGGGATGGCAAAAGTACTACACATCACTTCTGTGGGAACAACTTAACTATCCCAGGGTGACAGCATATGTGAAGGAAGAATTATATGAGAACACAGGAAGGAAAAAATGGCCATTCCTTTCTAAATAGGGTATAGGAATTTGGAGATACAATGTACACCATAGCGAGCAGACTGGAAGTAGCTAAAAAGAAATGACACCTCACCAGACAGGTCTTCAAGATCCAGGCACAAGAACCCAGGGGCAAATTTGATCTCGGGTCCAAGAATATCTACAGCAATGATGAATGGAGCAGTTTGCAGCAGGCTCCTTTTAGAGTAGCCACAGCTGGATGGATTTATCTAGGATTAAAGGTTATGAGGAACCAGGAAGGCTTGCACCTCAGCGCATCTCCAGGTATAATAAGCTCTACAACTGCTGCCACCCTCCAAAAGGCTCTGTGGCTGGGGGCGGAGGGGGGGGCGACTGTCTAGAAGCAAGCACAGCACAGGAAAAAGGTAGGTGGCCTGTTGTTGAGAAGGTGCCAAAAAGAATAAAGCGGTTTAAATAGATTCATGACCCAGAGCGACAGGAGATTCAGGAATGCAAGCATTAAACCATTAATGAATTAAAGTCCTAGTAGGTCTGTCCTGCTGAGGACTGTCCTAAAAGGCCACAGAATTATTGCTATTCATTCAGAGAAGAAATTCCAGGCCAAGAGCAGCTGTGATTATTCTCAGTATACATTCAGACAAGGAATTCTGAAGGCTTGAACAGGTTCTTCCAGTATCTGAAGCATGTGAATCTCAGAATTCAATTTCTGGTAAGCATTCCTAGCTGGATAAAGAAAATGGGTTACTAGCAATTGAAAGCCGCACAGGTGCCAGTTGTGGGCAGAAATTCTTCATGTCTTGGGTGACTACAAAATGGATTGCCAAGAAGTATATGGGATGAGTTTCATCCACGGGCCACTGAATGTATCCTATTGATATGAAACTATCATTATGTACCATGGCGATATTAAAAGGTGCACATTAAAGATGCTCCAAAGGGCATCAGCCAATACCCATCAGCTGATGAAACACAAGAGGTTGCAGTAGTACTTTCTTTTAGCACTTTTCTTGTTGTATTTTGAGGCTTTTTCCTGGAAACTTACTAACATGAGGACAGAAAAAGATTGCATTAATTCAGGATTATAACCAATGAAGAATATATTTCTAGGACTGCCAAAGGAGGCTTTATCAACCATGTACAGAGCATATAAATGCTTTCTATACCTGCTTTAAAGATGGGAACAACAGAAAGGCTTAGAAGGCATTAATCTGGTAATATTTACACATGACAAAACAATAAAAAATCTTGATTGATATTCTAATCTTAGCAGAGAAGTTCATCCACCAGTAAGAACACTAGTGATCTGTCCAACTTTATTGGAATTCAGGTTGTAACTCAATTCATTTTCTCTCCACTAGGAGAAACACAGTTCTACCTGGTGGACAGAAATGATAAAATGATTCTATTTTCCAAATCATATTAAAAGCCCATCTAATTTTGGAAATCAATGACCTTTCTAAGTGATGGTTATTTTATACGGAGATTACTTTTCTGAAAGAAAATTACATATGAAATTATATCTACGTTTATTTTCCTAAAGGTAGTCCTATACCAACCCACCAGGGATTAAGTCCTATTGAATTCACTGAGATTTACTTTCCAAGCAGAACTGGAGACAGGATTGTGCCAGAAGTATTGGAAATTAGTCCTACGTGAAATTATTTTCAATAATCAGTAAATCAATTCAGACAAATCTCCAAACCATGATCTGTACAACCAGAAACAAATTAGTCTCGTGTGCTCCACTCTCCTTGCTCAGTCCTTTTAGTTATCTGTTTAACACTAATCATAGCTTACTTTTAGGTGCAAATCATAGCAACGTAAGAAAGGCCATGCCAGATCAGACCCAAGGTCCATCTAGTCCAGTATTCCATACACACAGTGGCAAAACAGCTGCCCACTGGATCCCTGAAGCAGGATGGGTGCAAGACCTCCTCCTGCCCAAGCTCCTCAGCAACTGGTGTATGCAGACATGCTACCTCTGGTAAAGGAGGCAGCACGTAGCTGGCAAGGCTAGTAGCCACTGGGAGCCTCCTCCCTCAGGGAAATAAGCAAACCATGATTACCACTTGCCTCCAAACCAGAATTAGAAAGTGGGGTTCGAAGGACATACACTAACCTAGTTACCAATTTCAGATGTCATGGGAAGCTATGATTAATGCTAAACCATGCTTGAGAGGCATGAATAAAAGATATAGTGGAGATGAGAATGTGTATGTTTGCAATTTGTTCATGATCTTCCAAATATGTTAAACTGAGCCAGCGTGAAGTAATGGCAAAAGGGGAACAATAGAGGGGCAACTGTCTTGAAAAAGAAATTGCTATTTATTATTCTGCTAATTTCAGAAACTACACATAAGCAGAAATGTTCTAAGAAAAGAGTAACAGTGTGTCCTTAAAATAAATTGAAAAATTGTAATAGGCTCTTGCTAAGATGCTATTGCTAAGAGGTGATTTCATTGCCTAACATTTCAAATTCAGGTATCAAGCAAGGTGGCTGAAAATCAGTTATTGAAAAATAAACATCAAAACATATACCAAAATATATATTAAATCAGTATATCCCCTGATCCTCTATCACACACGCTGCTGCCTGCTTTTCTGCAGGAATGAATGAAATGTGGTAAATGGCCGAGCATTAAGCCTGACACTGGGCGCCTTATATTGTATCTATTGATTGCATAAATTATGAATATTTAGAATTGTGAGCAGCATAAATATTTATTTTCCATCCACAGCTTAATTGTCTGCTCAGTAATTGCCAGCCCTTGCTGCTGGAAATTTCTGGGCACTTAGTCCTCAAGTAAATTATCTTCTTAAGGAGCAATGCTGGGGTCATGGAGGAGCATTGCAGGGATTCCTCCTCCCAAAATCAGACACAGCACTATAGTTTAGGGAGGGGGACTACACAATCCAAGTCCTCCCTGCCCCCTTGCAGTCACCATAAAAAGAACCATGGCATCTGCTTTCCAAGGTCACAATTGTGGCCTCAGTATACCTCGTAAAGGCCCAGGCATGAAAAAACAAACAAGATCTGGCCACTTTAGGTTTCTTTAGAGATTTGCTGAAGAAACTGGCAGCAAAGCTGTGGGGGCATTTTTGCCACCCTACAATATGCGTCAGGAAGGCCTGGAGGAATGTTGTCCATGGGGTCGCGATGGGTCGGACACGACGTCGCGACTAACAACATGTGTCTCATGGGGAGTTTAAATAGCTTGTGGGCCACTTGACGTTTCCCCACCCCGATTTAACCCAACAATTAAGCATCTTAGTTTGTTTAGCAGAATATACCTTCCTATCAAGATCAGATGTTATTTTCCTTCCTCATCAGTTATTTCCTGACTGCATGGCAAATATATTTTATCTTCCCCCTGTGTTCACTTAGAAAGACTGAATTCACAATTGATTTTATTTCTACCACCTTTTCAGAAGTGTACACTGAACTGAACCTTTTCCTATACAACAGCAGTCATACAGCATCTCTGCTCGCTGCCTAAAGATCCAGTTCGCATATCACTGCACCAAAGAGTGTGCTCCTTAACCCATGATTGACAAGGATGCATGCTGGCTGCAACCAGTGTCTGCTTCTCTGAACGACCCAAGCCTGTTGTTGCTTGTTGAGCACGAGGTGTGTACCCAGAGCGTTGTTAACCCCTGGAAATCAAGGACCCTTCCAAATGATGAGCATTTTATATAGAGGACATTCAGTTGTTTAGCGCCAAAAGAACCTACTGGCTCAGGTTCACACATCACTCTCAAAACTTCCAATCTGGCAGATCAGAGGTTATTTACAGGAAGCATTAGGTATGTAATGCATTCATTACTCCATGATCTACTGCCATTACATGCAAATTGCCCCATGCTCTCTCTCCTCACTCATTTGCACAGGACATGGCTTCATTTGTTTTTTTCTGCATAATATTTTTAACCTGTCATCAGACATAACAACAAATCACTGGGCAGGTTTCATACCAAGAGTATTTGATTCTCAGAACAATTTTGCTAAGTTTTTTTTAATATCCCTGTTATTGAATATTCTGTGTAAAGAATTTAACTGATTCCATATTTATAAATACATCTACAGCATAGTTCGGCTTTTGGTATTAGCAATAGGCTCTGTACATAGAACACTTTAAACAAATACTTACTGTACCATGGGAAATGGTAAGGAAACCATTTTTAACTGTGCACTTCCTCTTCTGCCACACTTTTCTGATTCTGTTTTTTTCAAAAAAAGAGACAAAGTGATCTAAATTTTGGTGTAACTTGCATCGTTGCAAAAGATCCCAAGCAATTTTCTACTTTTTGTTTCTGAAGTAGGATTATACATACCCATCACTTTTCTTGTAAAGACTGCCATCTCTTTCAGTCCCATGCTCCTTATTGCCCTGAGGCTGATGTAAACTATACGTTGTACTTTGACGGAGCTGAGAATCCTGAAAGGATGGGGTGGGGGAAAGAAGCTGGTTAAAGAACAGTATGCCTCATATCATTTCATCTCAACTGGCTAAGCCCCCCCCCCCACCCGCCCTCTATTCAGAACCATAGAGAGCCCAGTAAAAAAGACAGACTTGCTTAGATTACAAAAGATGCATATACAATTTTCCCTCTTTTACTCTGCAACAAAATGGGAACATCCGACTAGCATCCAACTGTGCATGACACTTCACTAACATAAACTAACATTTGCACAACGTAAGTAACATATGGTAGAGCTACAGGAAAAGCTCCCAAAACCTGGCAACCAATTACTGCTTTTCCCTGTTTCCTACCAAATAGTAGTTAAATTGCACAAGTGTTGGTTTACTGTAGTGCAACATCATTAATGCTAGTGCTGGACATAGCTCAATACCACCCTTGAAATTCAGATGGCCTCAGCACTATCCAAAATAGCTATTCTGCAAATGTTATTTGAAATCTGAAACAGCCTCTGAAGAGTCAGATACCAATCATTATGGCAAAATGACATGACCATACAATCCATGGTAATCCTAGCGTTGCCTTTCTTGCTGTAGCCTTATCTGAATACTAGTTTCCATAAATTACCAATTGAACTCAGTAGTGTCAGTTAAGATTAGCTAATTCTGAAAAGAGACAACATTTCAAGAAATCTAATGTACATGCACACCTCTCACATATTTTTCATTACACAACACAAAACACAGGAAAGCCCACAGGCACTCCTAGAATAACAAAAGCCAAGCAACTGGATTTCAGAAAACAAAACAGATTTCAAACAAGTGAGATAAGTGATATATTGCTACAGTGTGGCGTGCTCCAGTTCAAGATTCCAGAAACTCCATTCCGTTTCTGGTCCCCTCCTGGTTTTCTGGTGTCTGCCTGTCAGTGAGCATGCTCACACCCCATTTGGGCTTTGTTGGGGCTTTGCTTGTCCTGGTAGATGTTTTTCATAAAGCTATTTTGCCCTTATGAAACCCTTGAGGCTCCCCAAGCCTTTTGATACCCCACTCTTATGTGCAGCTGGTGCCATTTTTTGCAATGCAAGTACTGACACTTGGAAGAACTAAGATAACTATTTGTATAATTTGGCCTGCATCCAATTTTTCCAGGTTAAATAGTTAATATAAGCGCATACAATTTGCAAAACAAAATATAGATGAGACAATGCTTTAAGAAGGAAAGGCCAGTTACTTGAAATGTACTCAACAATCATGCAATGTACTATTTATAGAAATGTTCAAAGGACTTACTCTCCTAGACTTCGGTCACAAAAGGCAAATGCATTTTAGGAAAAAAAGAAGATCAGTTGCAGCACAAAAACCAACAATATCAGACAGTATACCAGTGGGATGCAGTAATAGAATAATTTATATTAAAACCTAATCTTTATTTATTTAAAGCTTTTATAGACCATTCTGTAACAAATGCTCTCAGAACAGCTTGCAGCATAAAACACAATCATAACAACATAATAATCATAACAATTTCAAAGAAAATAACCACAATTAACAAGGAAAATAAAATAGTAATAGACAACACAAAATACTGATTCACTGCAACCATTCAATCATAACCTGAATAAAAACCAATATAAAATCAAACCATCTATTCAACAATTAAAATGATGGGTGAATAAAAAGGTTTTGATTTGGTGCCAAAAAGTATGGGGTCAGCACCAGGCCACCTCTCTGGAAAGTTGGTTCCACAGATGGGGTGCCACAACTAGGAGACTCTTCCCTTTGTGGCTTAACTTCCTTGCTTCTTTTAGTGGCCACTCATGGAGAAGGACCTCTGTAGATATGTTAGGGTCTGGGCAGATGAATATGTAATAGTACATATAGATGTACATATAGCTTTGAAACCATCCTTCTATGTGTGCACTCATATTTCTATGATTGATTCCCAAGTTTCTTTAAGTCAGGTTATAGGAATTGTGGTCCATCACATCGGGAGGATGTGGAAGGCTACTGCAACCCAGCAAAATGATATGCATGTCCAGGGATATACTATACATATAGCTAGATGCTGAAGAGTTGAGTTTCTTTTTACTCTAATTCAGCAATCTTGCCTCTTCAGCAACCTATGCATGGAAGTGTTTCTTATCACTGTTATGACAGAAACTCCCTAACTACCATGAGTTGCATGCTCCCTGGGGCCTGCTCAATAATGCAGGCAACACAGCTAGGAGGAAAGAGTAAAGAAGTAATGGACTGCTAGGCTGCAAGCCATGTTTTGGCCCCTTTAAAGCTCTCCAATCCTCAGGAAGGGGTGCTGTTCAAGGGGGCATTCAAGGCCATGGAGTATATAAGCATTTACAAACCCAAGAATCCATCAGAATTGGTTGTTTGATCTCTGTGATCTGTCCAAGGTACCAAAAGACCTATTTCAGACCACTCCTATTCTCCAGTCCATGATCATGGACTGAACTTGTGTCATTGGCTATGTAGTAATTTTTCTCACCACCAGACCAAAAAAGACCTGTTGGATCTGCTTTCTCATCTCATCCCTTCTGTGAGCTGAATTTGTCAGGGCTAGAAAATTGCATATAACATTGCTGGATTTGGTCTAATGAGAACTTACAATGGTGTCAAACATGAAAAATTCCTTCTGCTGAGGCCAACCATAAGAATTCTGCTTTTCAAGTAAGCTATTTCACTTGAAACTTCTACATCGGTTGCTTTCTGCTTGTGGTGAACTTACTGAGGGATATATAGTGCACACAATAGTGATGGGAAAAATTAAAACAAGTCATCCAGTAGGAAAATAAAGGGCCTCAATGGGGAAAGGTACCTCAGGAAAATCCTGCCTCAAAAAATTGTCTGTGTCCTTCCTACAGTCTCCAGAAAGTATCTAGGATTGAAAAGGATGGGAATGCTGCCATCAAAAAGCAAGGGAGGCATTATCCCCTGCTGGAGATTAACAGCAGGAACACCACTTGCTTCCATTCAGCCTGGATCCTCAACAGTGTTTAAAATAAAGTAATTTCTTCTCCAAGCTCCAACAACACAGACTCACAGGATCTTTAAAACATTGGAAGAGAATTCCCCCTCACAAATTAAAATAACGTAAACTCAGACATTCATCCATATATGCATCTAAGAGCAAATATAGCTCATAGCATGGCAGCATTCCCATGGATTATTCATATCCCAATGTGCTTCCCTGAAATATGATGGAATCTGCATTTGGACAGGTGTTCCACTGAAAGCAATGTGGATGGACAGTATCTACATTGATATATGCAGCCCATTTAAGCCTCTGGTTGCTTATCCGGCATTTCCACATGCAACCTCCTTAGCTGAGGCAGGTAAGAAGGCACAGAAGTGTAGAAAGAGAGGTTAAAAGGAGGGAAAGAAGTCTCCAATTTTACTCTGCCTGTTATTTTCTTCAGGGAGAATTCCTTCCCCTACACACAAAAAAGGTATGGACCACAAACACAAAACAATCATTTTTTCACAAGTTGACACTTACTCTTATATAATGTATAACAATAAAAGAGGATATGTGTTCTTTCCATTCATTCATCTGCCAGCACCATAGCTCCAAAAACATGAATTCTAGAAACCTGAAATTTGGCATGCGTACTAAGGAGACCTTAGGGGTGTGTACTGCTCAGTTATTTTGTTTTTATACTGCATTAATTTTACTTCGGATGTGACCATATGGCTGAAGCCTGTCATAATATTTTCAGTCAGATGGACTGCTCAGTAAGAGCAGATTTGTATAGCTTTGCAGTTGATACAGTTTTAAGCCACAGGAGATTACCAGGTTGAGGGGCAGAGTTATGTAGTTACATGACATCGTTCCTGCTGTGGGCCAGTACCCCTCAGGGAAACAGAGTGGGCAGGCCTCTTCTTCGAGGGCTATAGGGATGTACCATGACAGAGGCCATACTCAGGGGGTGCCAAAGAGCACACCTACGCTCACAGAGCGGTCCTAATGTGTACAGTTCTGACAGCTGTGCAAGTTGGCTTGAAGCCTTCTCTGAATCAACCTAGAGGCTATTCCCACCCATGAAAAGCCAAGTCCATTAACCAGAGTTCAATAAATCTGTACAACTCCTACTTCTGAAAAGTTTTATCTGATAACCAAAAAACTACCCTAATAACAGATGTCCATATGGGTTAAAAGCACATCTCTTTTTTTAAGATAAGGAGTCTCATTTATCATAAACTTTTTAAAAAATATGCTGCTCACTTAGTCTTACTCTTTGTTAGACATGCTTTCAATTCTAATATCCACTTTGTATTCATAGCATGGATTTTTTTTTCAATGGTACCAGTGAAATGTAGGCAGGAATGTTTTTGTCGCCTAAGCATTCCATCCACGTAATTTGTTTAAGGTTGATACAGGATCCAAAGCTTTTGTCCTTGAATAAACTGTATGAATTTGACACATTCAACCAAAACTGTTTTCCACTTAAACTCATATCTGGGAATTCTTCCAAAAATCATTACGTGGGTGTAGTACGTTATATTTGAACTCTCCCTGAATAATTAAAAACTCCACTGCAGTTCTAGAATCTGTACCGTAATTCTTCAGTGAAAGGCAAGCAAGGAAATCTTTGTGCCAACAGAAGTCGGGGAGAGAAGCCTCGCCTAAGTTCTCTAAGCAATCTTAACAAGATCACAATGAGCCTAAACCAAAAAGTACTAATTTCATGCAGTCAATAAAATTTGAAGTGCTCCCATTAAAATTTGAACAGTATGTTAAATCATCTCACATGCTCACCTCTTTCTGATCAACCTGTAGTGCAGATTTTAAAATATCCCTAAGTTGAATCAATTGCTTCCTTTCTTCATCCTGCACCTGCTTTATCTGAAGCAGAGACATAAGAAAAGTTTGCAATAAAATTGGAGGGCGAGTGCAGAGATAATACTTCTAATCACTTAAGCACTGCAGAGGCCAGCTGTAGGATTATATGTTCGACTACTGCAGCTCCTTCCTCCCTACGATGCAATTCCTTCTGCCCTTCCCAGTTGACCTTAATCACAGTTAGGGGTTAGATCACATCAGCATCAACAGGAATGATGAAGCTGGCTATCGAACCCTGCTCAAGACAGAAGCTCATTTGTGCTGATCATAGCTAAGACCAACACTAATGTGGGGACTGCCGCTAAGCCTGGTAGAGAAGAATGTGGGAAGGGAGTTGTACTTCAGAAGGCAGTGACTGGGTGAAGGATGTGCACAAACGAACGGCCTATTCCTTACCTCTTAAACAAGGTTAAGGGTTACTTCCTGAAGACAGAATTGTTAAAATGCCACAGCTTAGATGGAAGGACTGTGCAGATTTAGAAAACATGGGAGATAGCGAGATAATAAAAAATTGAGAAATTATTTTCTCGTCGCTCATACATTCAGGAGATAAAGAATGTTAAGCTCTACAATGAATCTAAATAAAGTCAACAGTTCTACTAATACTTATAATATCTTTACTGATACCATCTTGATTCCAAGTGGTTTTGTGGCTGAGATACACGTTTTCTTTGGTAAAATGTACTTGGGGCCAGTAGAAATTACTCAGGAAACCTGACATTCTATATTACGGGATGCCATAGCACTTTCCAGGGCCAGCCTGCATTTTCCTGCCTGAGGCAAAACCAGGTAGTACTTCCACTACAAAACCTAGCGGATCAGCAGATTCATCTGTCTTCATCACGGATGGCTCACTCGTTGGGAACACAGCAGGCCATGTGGTGCACCAGTTTCTCCAGAAGTTTGTTGCCAATTTGCCCGAGGCAACTGCTTCACTCTGCCTCATGCTAGGGCTTTTCTGTCCTTTTCAGACCAGTGCATAGACCAAATGTGTATGAGAAGGATCATGCCCACTCATCCTGTTCCCAGATATCTGTACATTTGGGCAAATTCTGAAAGGGGCTCTTGAGTATGCAGCTGACTGAGCAGGTCCCATTACTACAAAAGCCCCCTTTGCAAGTTCTGCTGTATAGTTGTTCCTATATCTGTTGAGAGATGCCAATTATACCGGTGTCCTACTCTGTGTTCAGAATAACTAAACATTCTCCATCTCTATTCTTTGCCTCATGGGTTTTTGCTTGTTTTTTGGTTCAGTTCAGAATTGTATTTTATTTTTTTTCAAATGGATCTGGGAGCTCCAGGTTCTAGTTGCCAATCAGCCATTGAGCTCATTGGGCAACTTTGGGCCAGTCACATACCCTCAGCCTAACCGGGGTGTTTTCGTGAGGATAAAATGGAGAGAAGGAGAAGCTTGTAACCCACCTTGCATTCCTTGTGAATAGAAGAAAAGCAGGGTATTAATGTAATGTAATCATTATCATCATGAATTTATTTGATTCAGGGTTTTAATTCTAAACTGTACAGGAATTGTTGTTGTTGTTTCATTTCCTTTTTAAGAGGATTGTGCCTTTTATAAGTGTTGAAAGCTACCAGGATTTAAAAAGCAATATACTTGTTTTTTAAATCACATTACTGACATGTGGCAACTTACTGTGTGAAGGTCTGTAGAGAGCTTCTCTATTGAGGGCTTGAGGCTTTCAACAGCTTTCAGACCATCCTGAAAGAAGCTTTGGAAGAGAAGAAAAAAAATTAAAGGAAACAATTACAATTAATTTATGATGTCTGAACTTGTCTGAACTTGTCTGAACAGACAAGGCATAAAAGCTTTGCTTGACATATATTTATATATTCCACAATACATGGGTGACCCACTTTTGAAATGTTAAAGAAACTTAAAGACCCACTTTTGAAATGTTAAAGATGAAGAAGCAACTTTATCACAAACACATTCCTTGGGCTCCTACACCATACAGAATCTACAATAAATATACAGGATACAGTACAGAATCTACAGAATACAATAAATAATCTAAACCCTTTCTATGACAGGGCAAGAATAAATATGCTTATTCTATAATTCCCAACTCTTACGCTCCAATGGGATTTCAGCTTAAGATAGTTTCATGAAAAGATCAAATTCCAAGGAGAAGGAATAAAATATTGCACAAAAAGATAGTAGCAATTCTCTAGTCAGCTTTTTGAGCAATATCCTTTTTGCTAGGATGTCAGGGGATTAAAAACATTATTCTTCCATGTCACCCCTGCAACTGCTTTAGCTCGTGATGATCAGGAGAAGTAACATGTAGCATCCTCAGTCACACTGCTAACCGCTCAATAACAGAGCAAGAAACAACACAGAGAAGGTAAAATGTCTTTGGTAACTGGATTGTGGACAATGCACTTTACTGCCACTTTAAGAACATAAATCCTGTGTGTATGACTACTTAAACTGAGTGAAGACCCACGGCTAGCAGGACACAGATCCTGTGAATTTTTTCTGAAAAATGAAAACTCATGTCTCTTGCTAGACTTATTCTGCAGACTTATTCTTATGCCACATGAAAGCTGGCATAGCAGCCTGTAATGCTCGTTTTCACAATGTGATTACTAATTGTGCCAAATGGCCATGTGGAAATTACAAATGAAAGACAAATACGCCATGGTATTATCTCAGTCTAATGCCTCATTGGTATTATCCCAGTCTAATGCCTCATTTCATTTGAAATAATACATCAACAAGACAATAATTGACCTTTCAAACCATTCAGGGCCCAGGGATAAAAAAGAGTGAAATACAAACAGCTGAGTTGTATAGATGTTTATATACAGCATATACACCTTCAAAGAGTGTCAGCACTAAAGCATGTCACACAAATTAATAAGAGCAAAGCTTTCAGAGAGCATACAGTTATTGGAATGTATACGAAACATACTTGCACTGTGCATGGAAATATTTGATCAGGTTTTGAAGCAAATCAACTCCTTTTTTAATCTTGATTTCATTGACTTTCAACAGGTACTGTTAAAATAACAGAACACACACACACAAAAGAATTACTGTTTTGCGAGGACAGTTGCAGGGAATATTCAAACCATTTCCTACAGCGCAAAGCATTTGGGGTGAAATTGTCCAAACTCAAGTATATGCTATTCCTTCTGTCATCAACCATATTCTAGTTAAATCAGAGATCATGATACCAAGGACTTTAGCTCTGGACACTTAATGCTCTATTAATCAATAGCTTTCCCTGGCACATAGACTACAGCTCCCATCATTCCCAGCTGACATTACCATAATTATGGGGGTTGTGGAAGGCAGCAGACTGGGGAAGTTTAAGGTAAAGCACATTTACTTTGAAATGGGTTTAGGCTTTGGCTGTGAATCATGTTACCCTCCATTAATTGTAGACAGAGGTGTTTAACAGACCTTACTTAGGAGCTATGTTGGTGTTGCTGTTCACTCCTGCATGAAATAACAAAATAGTCACTGCTGAACTACACATTGCAAACTAACCCCAAAACATGGCTTCATTCATGGTATCTTCCAACCATAGTTTGCCAGAATCAGACAACCCAGCAAACCATGGTTGGAGCAGCAGGGCTGGAGTCAAGAGAACTGATATGAAAAGATAGCGAGGAAGGTGGATCTGAATTAGCATATTCCTAATTACAAATGTGTTTTTTAAGGTTCATTCAAAATTGAGCTACTGTTATACAAGATCAAAGAGCAACCAAATTTAAAACTAAAATTAGCACACTGTTACAGAACAATCCATAAGCAGCAAGTTCATTATAGCCATTCAGGGCATTAGCAGTTCTTCCCCAGCAGCTGTTAAATGTGCCTACTTATTCAAGTAAAATGAGATTTTCCTCTCCCTACAATACCACAGCAGATGGTAACTTGAATGAGCACAGGAGACAATCCACTAAGCCGAGGATGGAATAGCTGCATAAAAGCTTCCCCAGTTTGGCTGTTTATCATTTGGGTCAGTGGGCACATTTGGAATTATAATGCCATGGGCTCATGTCATGGGCGCTCTCACCAACTGATTGCCAAGGGAGTGTTTGTCATTCCCAAAATGGCTACCATGGTGGGCATCACTAGTCACAAATGCCTATTTCCCAGAAGACAAACTGGTGAGGCTAAAAGAGGAGTAACCTACCCAAGAAGCTAAGTATGAGATCGTGGTAGGATATCAGTTCCATAACACAAAAACACTCTTTTAATCCCACAGTGCCAATATCCATTTAACAGAAGGCAAACTGTATTTTATCAAGAAACAGAGTACAAAGCAGATGTGGGATATTAGCTGCAAATGTCAAATCATGTATTTGCTTCTATAAAGAACAGCAAAACACCCATTTCACAGAAAATGAACTGGTTGAGGCTCAGAGACACCCACCCATACCATACATATATCCCAAACCCCTCTCCACAGAAACTTAGACAAAACTTATGCACAGGTTAGGGAAACCCCACACACAGCCCTCACATGCACACACACATACACACAAGCAGGCAATATATACAGACCACCTCAAAAGAAACAAATTAGCACGTATACATAACAGAATCAGCACAGGCTTCCCCTCCTTCTCTTCCTCCGGTACACACAGAGCATTACATAGCAGCCTGCTAGTTTCTCACCATGCTCCAGGGCCTAGGTCTCTCCCTACCACCCCAACTTTTGTTTCTTTTTTTCCGAATGGGTAGGCAAAATTCAAACCAAAGCTGGGTTGAAGCCCTTCTCTATTTTTATTTTCTACTTCTCCAGACCTTAAATGAGGACTAAAGGCATTTTTGAAAATAAAGATAGCACTGCAGGTTGGTGCTTTACTTAGCAGCAAGCCAGGCTTCTATTTTTTTATATTTTTAACAGAAGTTTGAATTTCTAACAAGATAGAAAAATTGGGAGAGACAGAGAACCCTCAAGACACCAAGGCAGATGTCCGAGGACATTAGTATCCACAGGTATCACAGGGAGGACTCCAGGGCTACGCAGCCCACTAACTGTTGCATTTTCAAGTAATTGTGACAAAAGCAAGGCGTTCCTTCCAGAAATTGGAAAATCCACATCGTTAACACAGAAAGCAGATCCCAAGAAACAGTTATGACCACCAGTGAAAAATGAAAGGAGCTCCATGTCCGCTCTTACCTCACACGTTTGTAACTGGAAGAACCTTCTCTCTTTTTCCATTTCTTCTGCTATTTCAGCCCCACTTATTTCTGTGCGGATCATTCCATGTAATTTAGCATGCTCTTTTTTCTCTTTTTCTATTTTTGTCCTGCGTGGAAGAGCAATAATAAAACTATGCCATAAGCCTACATCTCATTCATCAGCATATTTGTTTGTTTGAAGGAGATGCTAAACAGTCTAAATTAAACTACAACCAACCACCAAATTTAATGGAGCTGTCCTACTGAGTTTAATAGGAGCAATCCTGGATCAACAGCTGTATAGTCAGTTTGAAACTCTCCTTGCTATGAGGACTCCCAAATGTGCTTGATCAAGGATGGCTAATTTCTGTATTGTTGCTGAAGGAAAGACTCAATTCTTGACACTCCCCAATGGTCAAAACAATATGATCACCTCCCTTACATTGACATCATCTAGCAGGTTTTCCCAGGTATGTGCACATGTCTTTGGATAATATTAAGCCACAGACTGATGATATTAAGGAACAAATAAGTATTTTGGAAAAACAGAAACCAAACCTCATATGTGGGACTGGTAATAGGCTTCTTCTGACACATGCAAGAAATAGTAATATAATAAAACATGTCTACAAAACAGAGACCTTCCCTCCATCTCCACCCCCCCTTTTTTTTTTTTACTGTATCTTCACTAAAATACCCCTAGGAGCTGGCTAAAGACACATCTCAAGCCAGATGCCATCTTTCCTATGATGGATAATAGAACGGCTTGCCCAGATTGTCTCACAATCCGCAAGGGCAAAGGAAATATTCTGAGTGATGACGAGCAGTGAGAGTCATTATTTCATCAAAATAATCACGAATTAGCACAGTTGAAAGCTGCAACTTAAGCATTTGGTTTTGATTTACACAGCTCAAAGATATGCAGGCAAAATAAAGATAGTATAGCCAGTTCAGATGCATAAATGTAAATTTCTTTATCACATACAAAAGCCAGGATGGAATACTAAAAACTAAATCCAATTAGTTATGATACATACTAGATTTAGAAAGAATAGAAGGGGGGAAGGGATTGAAAAATCATTTGATTGCTCAGGAAGCTTTACTGATGCTTTCAAGGATCAAAACTAGTGCCCAAAGGAGAATCCACAAGTATGCCTTACTTTCTATGTATCATTGTTTGAAAAGAATCACACAACAGCACTGTGTTCCTTTGGTAGCCATGTGGTCCTATCCCAAATATAATGAATGCCTTACAGGCAAATTACCTTTGTCCATTCCACTTCAGGTTAAAAGGGACAAGCATTTTTTTAGAATCCTGTTATAGAAGGTAACCTCAGCTATTCATGAGACATGTCTGCATAACAGCTTCCTGTAGTTCCAATTCCACACAAATCTAGTACTAAGATCCTAAAGAAACCCAGCAAGACTCTTCACATATATGCACTGGAGGGTTTTTTCCTCTCAAGGAGAACCTCAGCTGCTGCTCTTTGTGAGTGGAGCTCCTGATGCTCTTGATTCGGGTACACACTACTTGGAAATGCAGGAAGACATCCCTAAGAGGCACATGAGGCCCTAAGAATTTCATGCCTCCATGGTACCCTAGAGAAAAGGCTCAGTGGGAGAGCACCTGTGCTTTGCTTGGCATCTCCAGGAAGGAATCCCTACCTGAACCCTCAAAGAACCACTATCAGTCAGCGTAGGTTATCCTGGCCTAGATAAAGATCTGGCTCAGTATAGCAGAATGTCATATGTTCCTCTGTCACAGATGGCACAGCCCTCAAGGAGTGCCCTGCCCATAGATGGTATCTGTCGCCAAACAGATTAGCCAAGATGTTTCCAAATATGTCAAATGGATGTTGGAAATGTAAACATAAATTGGGTACTTTTTATCATATGTGGTGGACTTGCGATAATGCGAAAAAGTATTGGATTAAAATACATAAATGGCTCGAGGAAATGTTACAAAAATCCTTAGCTTTTAAACCTGAAGTTTTTTTTATTAGGCATTATACCGGAGGACATTAGTAAACAAGAAATGTATTTGATTTTACGTGTAATCACTGCGGCAAGGATTGCATTCGCTCAACACTGGAAAAGTGAGGAACTACCCACTGATGAGCTGATTCTAAAAAAGATTCTGGACTGTGCAGAAATGGATAGATTGACTTTATCACTGAAGGAGAAAGAAGATACTGACTTCCATCAAACTTGGGACTCTTTTTATTATTGGCTAGAGAAACGGGACTTGGCTTAGATTTAAATATGTTTTTAAGTGATCATAAATGGAAAAAGAAGGGTGTGGGGGCTGACCCAGCGGGCTCGATGTTTTTGATGATGGATGTTGTTTGTAGTTTTCTTTTTGTTTTTTTAGGATTATAATTTCAAATAAAACTTATTTAAAAAAAAAAAGGAGTGCCCCACCCAAAGGTCACACGTCTTTCCAGCATGTAGGCCATGCATGTCCCACATTAAGGGCGTGAAGGGACGTGTGCAATCCTTACAACATGCCCTATTTAACATGCACCTTAAATTTCAGCTGCCATGCTTCCTTAACTAACATTCAATTACGTTGCCAGCATTATATGGCTCTCCCTGTTAGAATTTACTTTCTTTGAATGAAATGCACCCCTCCCCCAAAAGCCCAGGGCTGTCACAGCTGTCATCCCTTTCTGTTTCTGAGCCAACTGGCACTGCAGATGCATGTCAGAAGGCCGGAATTTGGAGGCTTCCAAGTCTGGGTGAGTCTGCTGCCCTGACTATCCAAAGGTCACTGCTGACCTTGTCTAAGGCCTCTGCTTCAACGTAAGTGACTGTGCAGCAAGCACAAAGCAGGAACATTCAGCCTGCAAGGCGCAACTAGGTTACTGAAATGAGAGTGTCTTCATTTCACACTCAGAGCTGCATATTGGTGCCAAGATTACTCTTCTGAAAATGAAGTCAGTGAACCGCATGTAATAAAATACATTTTTTACCATTCTTTGCACACATAAGTATGCTTGGAAATTACTTGGTGGCAGATCCCCAACGAGGAAGACAGACACAGGGCACACTTACTGGGAGGTTCAAGCCACTGAGCTTCAGGAAAGAACTTGTAGTCCTAGGTCAAGTTCTTTAAGTGGCCATCCAGATGTTGTTAGACTGCAGGTCCCATCATCCCTACCTTGACCTAGGCTGTCCTTGCCACTGCTCTGTGCCTGATTCCGTAGACATACTCATAGATATCTATTTATTTAGATATAGACAAAATCATGCAATTTATACAACAGAAGAGAATGATGCAGAGAAAGGTTTCTTTCTTATTCTTCAGAGGATAGAGACTACAGGCACTGAGCCAGCTATGGTTAAAATCAGCATCAGTGCAGATATAATACTAACCATAGTTAGCTCCAAAGCAGAAATGAAGTAGTAGCACAGCTGGGAGTACACAACCCTGCAAGGTACACTTAATTGCTAACCCGTAGCTAGAAGAATGGGCATTATTCTGCACCACACCTCTCTGAAAACGTAGATGGCTCGCTTTCTGAAAAGAAGATGCCAGCAGAGAGACAAGGGCAATGAAGCCTGACAGGTATTTTCCTTTATTCCAGTGGAAGCAAGAACAATGTTTTACGACTCTCTATCTAAGGCTGCTGAATTAAAGGAATGCATGCATTTAATTAAACCCCCATTGCTTACTGGGATTAATCTCTACAGCTGTAATTCAAGCCCCTGGGGAAAAGCACACTCAACTGAGAGTTCAGTCCTAAGGGATTGCTGCTTACTAGATAGAAGGCTCCAAGATCAGAGCCCTCTGCCTATCCCATGCCCTGCCAACATAAGTCAGGGAAGGCAAGAAGAGGACAGAGGGGCTTTCAGCTTATCTAGGTTATTTGGTGGGTGGGACAGGAGACATGGAGGTTTTAGGATTCTGTCGATCCTGGCCTAATGCAGTGGTTAAGAAGGCAAACATCCTCCTATAGGGAGGTGTTGATGCTGCTCGACATGGCTCTGGTGCACCCACAACTGGATTACTGCGTCCATTTCTGGGCTCCACAAGATAGGAGAGACATAGCTAGGTTAGAATTGGTTCAGCGCAAGGTTACAAGAATGGTAGCTGGGTTGGGAGGGAAGACATATCAGAAGAGATTGAGAGAATTGGGTCTTTCCAGCCTGGAGAAGAGGAGACTCTGAGGGGATCTTTTAGTGACTTATAAGGTATGTGAGGAGATGCCATGTGGAGGAGGGCCATGGCCTTTTCTTCCCTGCTTTAGAGAGCAGGATGCATTCCAATGGGGCAAAGCTCAGGGAGCCAGGCTTCCAAGGGAGATGGCTGAGGCCCCATCAGTGAAAGAATGAACAACTACATGTTGGGAATTATACTCGTATAAGCAGAGCCAGGTCAGACTAGATGGCTCAGGAGCCCCTTCTGACTTGCTTTGTTCCTATGTTTCCATTCTTCCACCTGCTTTTTCTGCTCACCAACATATATTCCCATTTCTCTCCCTGATTTCTCTTCCAAGGTTGCAGTTGTTTTCCACAGTGGCTGAGTGTGGAGGAAGATCCACAACTGAATGTCCTCCTCCACAACTGCACCTCTGTCTACAGTTGCAGAGGAAGAGCTCTACCCCATCCTATGGCTCCTTGGATGCTGCCCAGGGAATACAGCATTGCTCTGCCCGATGGGATGTTTGAAGCCAATCTAGCACAATCCATAGTTCGCACAAAGACTATTCTTTTCTCTCTTTCTGGAAACGACTTCTTGCAAGGAGCACACTGCTATGTAAATGACAATGACTGGTTCAGACAACAAAAAGGCTGAGTAAAAGTTGGTACTGAACATTTAATAATCATCCAATTCATTATACATTTCCAAAGTTGCCTCTAAGCCTTGCTGTCTTTAATTTTGCAAAGTAACTCAGAACTACATATTCTGACATCATCCTGTAGAACCTTCAGTAATGCACAGAGGGTAAAAAACAGGGATTGCAGCAGCTCAAGGGCTTGGGATCACCTTCTAGAATTCTTGCAAATATTTCACATTTAATCCCTTGAATATCCAGCCAACCACAGTGTCAGGCTCTAACCAAGTGGGCAGAATCCACTTTGGATATTTGGGAAGCTGACTTCGTCTGGGCCTGGCCCTTAGTTCATCTAGCGCAGTACTGTCTACATTTACTGGCAGTGGCTATCTGGGTCTGCCAGACCAGGGCATTTTTAACACCCTAGCTGGAGATGCCAGGCAATGAACCTGAGCTCTTCACATACAAAGCATGCACTCCACTACTGACCCTATAACCCATTCTTAAATAACTTTAGCCTATGTAGCAAGCAATACACCTGATCATGTGCAGATGAAAAGCAGAGAGATAATGTGAATGTGTGCACAAGCACCTGCCCTCAACATTGCCAGCCCTCCAGTTGTGTAAAACGTCTTGCCAGTGCAAGCAGAGGCCCACTTCTGGCATCCCTGCTCAATGAGGGAAGGTTGGGGTTGCACTTGCCATTTCCCCTCCCTGCTTTTAGCCCTCAAGTAAGCAGGTCAAATGCTTTCAGAGAGCTCCCCTGCCTGCAGGAAGTGCATTTTCATGGGCATTGCTTCTGTGTATGTTGTCTCTGCATACCATGCTGTTAATGTTTACACATATGAGGGATGGTGTAGAAGAACAAAAGCAAAGCAGAAGCTATAATCTGGCACCAGTCAGATCCAGCCACCAGATTTATTAATAGCATTTTTGCCAGTAAGTAGGTCCTGAGTAGGTCAGTTTGCAGCCATGCCAAAGTAGCTTTTCTATTAAAACTATACTTGAGCTGTCACTGATCCAGCATCAACTACACTCTGTTTCATCCCCACGCAATAGAGAATGGAGGCAGGTAGGAAAGCTACTTTTCACTGGTCTTAGTTGATGAATAAGAAAAAGGTGAATATTTTTTGTTGAAGCAAATTTGCACCATGGCAGGGATAAATGTTTCCAGAAAAGGACAGCCATATGGCCACGGGGAGAGAGGATAGTCTCTCATAAAGGCCTCTGATGGGAATTGAAGACCTGAAACTCTGGCCCAAAAAAGCATTTATTTAAACATAGGATTAAAGTCGATCTAAAAAAACCTTACCAACTAGGACTTTTGATTTACAGGGCATGGTGAATGGCTGTTTGTTTCTTTTAAAAAAAAGATTATAAAATAGGCCAGAATAATAGTAGCAGACAATAAAAAAGAGCTGAAAGACAGAGGGGCCTAGGCCAGCCTTCCTCAACCTGGTGTCTTCCAGATGTTTTGCACTGTAATTCCCATAGCTCATGACCATTGCCCATGCTGTCTGGAACCGATGGGAGTTGTAATCATAGCTTTTGGAGGGTGCTGTTTGGAAATGCTGTCCTCCATAGCTTTTGGAGGGTGCTGTCCTCCATCTTCTCATTCCTCCTTTAAAATCTGTTTCTTATATTCCTTCAACAATACTGAATTGAATGTGATTTTCTGTCATGCTGCAGCTTGAAGAGTTTTTCTCCTTTCCTTTGATATTCATATCACAGGAGAGTATTATACAAATGTCTTCACTATAAGAATATCCACCTTTTATAGTAACATATGTTATGCAATACTGCATTCCAAACTAAATTGACAACAATGTGCACTGACAAGTTTACATAATGAGGGAATCTAAAGGGGGATTTCCAGTGGCTACTCTGTTCTTAGGGAACTTGGAACAAGTCATATACAATTGACAAAAGTCAACCTATGTTGGGCGTAGATTTGTACTTGTGGAAGAGCACTGGCAGCACAAACTGAAATCTGGCCTTAAAGACTGGGTTCATACAGCATGACAAGGGATTGTGGGTTGCAACCCACCATGGCTTCTCATATCAAGCAAACGTGAACCAATTTCCTCAGAATGGCTTGCGTGTCACCCCAAAAACACGCAACTTATTGTGGTTACAGGAACTCAGCTACTAAGCCATTTGGCAAAAGGAAGCAAAAACTCTTGCCACTCTTACCAAGCAGCTCCCAGGCCACTGCCAGCGCTAGCCACTCCAAAAGATCCCCGGCACCCCACTGCAATTGCAAGCTGTTTCAGGCTTGCTATGGCTTTCCCCCCACATTTTCTTCAGAATGTGAAAGCTGGCTATCAAGTTAACTTCTGTAATCCCCATTTTGATGGCTATGAACAATCCCTTGTAAGTGCCACAATGTCACCTCAAAAGGGCCACCCATGGTTGCTAAGCTTTTAAACAAAATGTCACTCTATATTTTTGCAACTATTTGGGGAAAATATTGTTAACTTGCATTTATATACTGTAGACATTGCATGACTGCAGATCCATGAATAGGACAATGTGGAAACTCAGACGGGCCACATACAAGTGGGTGCCTGCAGACATCCTGAGCATTGCCCCAAAAAGGCAGCATATAAATTTATTTTCTCTTTAAGTCTGACAGCAGCCAAAAGGCAAGCTGCCAAACGTAACCAAAGGCATGAATGATCTTAGCTTGTGAGAAGGGGTAGCACATCATTCACACCCTTCATGGCAAGATTTTTGGGGGGACTCATGTGTCCCAAGGGTGTCCTTATTTTTGCATATCTTCTAGATTCTAGCATCTTGCAAACCTGCAAAAGTCCAAGCAACCCCGTTTATTGAAGGAGGTGAAAAAGCTCTATTTTTCAAGTGGGATTTAGAAAGGGTTAAACAAAAGTCTTGTATACTTTCCTGCACAAGTTGTATTCATGCCAGTGCAAGCAAAGATAATTTTCACAAATTATTGCAAAAACTCAGTTCCCCCACAATCTGCCCTGGAATACCCATATTAGGAATGAGCGGTGAGGAAGGAGACAACAACCAGTGGTGAGTCCAATTGTCTGTTGGGAATACCATGTTTGCTTATTGTTAGGGTTTTTAGTGTTGTGTGTGAAGGCACCCAATATGTTGCGATGTGTTATGCTAAAGCTTAGCACTTGTGCAGCCAAGTACTCTGGATCCAGATTTTAGTGTTAGTGGAACTACAGTGCAGAACAGGAAAAAAACGTTGCTGCACTCGTACCAAATGTCTTCTGCAAGGATAGGATGGAATCTGGATTCAGCCCAACATCCTAGTGTTTTAAAAACAGCAGTGCATTCATTGCTGTTTTATGCAAAATGTTGCATGGGTTATACATATTTGTTTTCTAATTACTGTTGAGTTTCCAGACTAAAAATTCAGGTGGCCTTCAAAAGATTCTTGTGCAATTTTGAGGATTCTTCATTTTTTCCTTTCCTGTGTCCTCCTCTCTTTTTGAGCAAGTCCTTACCTCCCAAAATACTAGCTTAAGTATTTGATACCAAGAGTGCCTGAGCAGGAAATTCTACAAACTCATGGCATGATGACATAAGGAGTAAGTATCATTCCCCAGTTTGCAGAAAATTTAAACTAATCTTTAAGCCTTAAAGGAAGCTACACCAAGTGATAATTCAACAGAAGCATTTAAGCATTTGATGAGCCTGACATGTCTGGATCATCCAATGATGGCTTGCATTATGAAACAGCATCCATAATTCAAACAACATAGTAGGAGCTTTCATAGCAGTTTCACCATGGAATATATACCTGAAGTAGATTGCACATTCAGCTGTAGACCATCACCTCCAAACACAGGTGAATTAGCCTCAGAACCACAAAATGGAATTATACTGTCATGGATCCCTCATGGATCAAAAACGTAAATTGCAATTCTAGACAATCCTGGATTCACCGAACACAGACACAAAACTCATGTCATCTTCTCATTCCAGAGTAGCTGCAGACCCTCAATCTGGATTGGGGCCCTGTATAACAGTAGGGGGAACTTCAACCTTCCCCCCTTCAAGCCTGGTCCAGATCCTAATCCAGCAAAGGGATTATTATTTAGCCATACATTGTGGGATTAGGGGTGTGAGCAGGATCCTGCCTGGATTGCCACAGAGAAGAAGGGATAAAAGCAACCTACCTATCCCTAAAATGGTAGCATCTTGATTTGGATAATGACTTATCCTGAACCTATGCATATATTTATGATTAATTTGTTCTTTGGTCTTAAGTAGTACAATTTTTCTGAATAAATGGACATAGGAGAAGCTATTGGTAACAAATCCTAATTAGTTGTTGCATAACAGAGAGGAAATACATACACTTTTGTTTCATAGTCTTTCCATGCTTTATCAAAAGGTTTCTTCAGATCCTGCAAAATTACAATGAAAAATACATTAAAGGTGAGTAACTATTTGCAGTGAGAATTTCCGTCCAAACTTGATACTGATAACATATTTTTGAACTCAGAAACACTCTGTCTCTTTTTAAATGAATGTTAATTTTAATTAGGTTTCTAAGATTTTATGATGTACTTCTATGGATGCTTAAACATTTGGAAGCCCAATATATACTCCTCGTATACTGGAACTGGAGCAAAGCTCAACACACTGGGCAAAGACCATGTTTACACTAACATGAGCTCCAATTTCATCCAATTTCCTACCCAGAGACCTGTTCATAAAAGAACTGCTTTTTTTTTTTTCCACTTAATCATCCCATGTATGAGACTGTAACAGGCCAGATCTGCATAATTTGTAACCCACCAAACCAAATCAAAAGCTGCCTACACAGCCACCCACACCAGATGAGGTTCAACTCCAGTGCTGTGCTTCTTCCTGCTTGCATATTCCAAGAGGGGCATCGCTGAGCACCTGGCAAACCCGAAGACAACGCTGGCATTCTGCTTCTGGGGTGGTGGGCCACGCAGTGTACTGACCTATCAAAGAAACCTTTATCGTGAGGCCGATTGCACAATGATTCAGGTGCCAGAGGCTGGCAGCTGTTACCACGGTGCAGTGACCTAGAAAATGGCTTTCATTATTTTCCCCTGTACATGGGAAGAATTGGGAAGACCAGGAATTGCCCACGCACATGTATGGACTGAATTAAGATCTTACAATATGAACTTATTAGGATAAAATATTCTTGTAGAGTTATCTAGCAATAATTTGCAGTTAAATTAGCTGAGCAGATTTACATTTTCTAACTACTGAAATAGGCACATCACCACTGCACAGGTCAATTTGTGAAACATTATGTTGATAAGTAACTAATGAACCATTTGTATCCACCTAAGGAGGACTTGTTATGGAATAGATTAAAAATATATTCTTCATCACAACAATACCATACAAGAAAAGTAAGTCAATATATGGAAATAAAAATTTCAGTATTCGGACATTTTCACATTTCCTCCCTATTTTTAATGTTTTCTCTGAATATAGTTCATAAGCAGTCTACACCAAAACTATGTTAACTGCTTCTGTTCTAATCCCTTTACTGAATAACTGTAAGCAACTTGCCAGAAATAGAATGTTTCAACCTTATTCTCTTTAAATGAACACTTTTTGATATATACAACACAGACAAAACACACGTTTTTTTCCATAAACATAAACATCAAGGAAATTCTGGATAACAATAACCAGGGACATCATAATAGAAATATTCATACAAAAGAAAAAGAAGCAAGAGAGTAGTTGGAGGAAAAAAGAAACAAAACCACCCCCATATACTGAAGTGAAAACTACCTAAGTGAGATCACTGCTTTTCTTCAGGAATACACAGAACCATTTCATTCTATATAGCTCAAAAAAAGGTTAAAAATTCTAAAATGTATTGTATGAAGCTGTTTTCTACTGCCAAATTATTTCAATGGCTGGCTAACTGAACTCTCATCTTAGTCATAAATTAGTCAGCACCTCCTTTCAGTACAAAGTTCTCACCCCACTCACAGAAAATGTTGTGGCAAGTGATGCATTTCAATGTTGGAGACCATGTGGTGTTTGGTAGGATCCAGGAGAGTTCTCAAGGCAGGTTCTCCAGCCTCAGTTGCAAGGCTGTAGTTCTGACCACAGTAATTGGCCTTCTTGTCCAATTAAGTCTCAGCAATGCATAGTTTGAGGAGGAACACAGAAAGATGCACATTCTGGTCTCCAGCTAAACATGACCAGGTCACCCTGCCACCAGTCCACCAATTCCACACCCAACTCAGGCTCTGTGGCAGCCTATTTCTCAGTTAAGTCTCTGGATGGAGAATATGTTATTGTGCTTCCACAATTCTCCAAGGAAAAAAACTGGAAGCAAGCCTTGAGCTCACAAGCATCCTCCGCTGTTCTCTTCCTCTCCATTCACTGAGGGAAAGGGTCATAGCTCAGACAGAGCATGTGCTTTGTAAGCAGAAGAACACAACTTCAAACCCTGGCATCGACTCATAGGGCTGGAAAACTATTGCCTGAAAACCTCCACTGCCAGTCAGCCTTGGCAACAGTGGGCTCGATGGACTGAGGGTCTGACGCAGTGAACAGTCCCTTATGTCTCTATGGAAGGCACGTGGGACAGAGTTCCTTCCCAATGTCCCCCAAAGGAGAAGTTTGGGCAGAAAATAGCATCTGAGTAGGCACTGTGAGCATGGTAATTCATGATGGCCAAAAGATAAGCATAAGTGACTCCCCAAAGACAGTTTCTTTGCAAAATGATGAGCATTTTTTAAATGGATGGTAAATCCTAAAACTGAGTTAATTGTTTATGGGTCCCTGTCAAGCATTGCTAGTCCATGTTGTATTTCGGCACTCTGCACTTCTGTCTAAACCAACAGTCAAAGCTCTCTCTCAATGTGATAAAACATAATATAAAAACATTTTTGTGAAAATTTTCAGACCTTCACAAAAAAAAAAAAACAAGATAATTTTGCATTTGCAAAATGATCATGATATATACACTATAATTGCAATAGCGGCAGGTGTCAGGGTTCCTATCTGCCTGAAATTCCAAACTCTCAATACCCATAAAGCAAGGATTTATTGTATTAGATCTGCAGCACTTTTAAGGAGCAGCACAAAAGTCAATCAATCCATCACCATAATTGAATATTGGGGATATTTTGTAAACAAGGGATAAGACTGGTGGTAATGAGTGGTGGTTGAGAATACTTTCCTCAAAAATACACTTATGATAGCATTTAAAATACACTTATGATAGCAATAACTAAAAAACCATGCTACATACCCCTTTCACTCCTTTTAGATCTCCCTTCAGCAAACTGTCCAGTGGAAAAGTAATTATATTGTTCATGTTCTGGATCTACAAGAAAAATTGCAATACTTTTAAGATGTTATCATGATAGTCAGGCTCAACATCCATTACTTTATCAGGCAGATCTAGAAGTGTTCAAACCTCAAGGAACAAACAAGATATAGTTCTCTGAATACATAGTACTACTGCCATTATAAACACAGCAGAGATGGCCTGTCTTGATATATGCTGAGTCCCTGGGAAGATTCCATTTGCCACACCACCCTACATTTTGGTTCCCAGTGGGTTCAAGATTTCAACAGTTCCAGGGCTTCAACATTTGCAGAAAGCAGAAAGATAATGAGGGATCTCATTAGAAATCTGCAAGCAGTTGGGCATGCATCCTTTCATTACTATTATTATTCCCAAGGCACAGTGCTCAAGTTGTGGCCATCTTGTTTTACCTTCATGTTAAACTTTAACTTAGTACAAATAAGGAAAGGCATGCTTATAATAGGTGGAGCAGTACATCCAAAGTACAGTGCCTTACCTAAAACTGCTTTGAAAAATGGAAGTAAAATAATATGTATTTGTATATAGAATGTCTGAGCCAAATGTTATCCCATTTAGTTTTTTCCAAAGACTCTTAATACTCCACTGTTTGTGCCTGTTATGTCTTTGTTCCTACTATGCAAATCTCTACCTCATGTTATTCTTGAGTGATCCCAGCCAACTGCGGTTCATATACAATGACAGCCCAATAATGTGTAGCCAATCAGATTCAGATAGGTGCTGATGACACTGATGACAAATGATGTCCAATGGTCGTGTGGGTAATCCTAGCTAATCAGGAATCACTCAAACAATGTTATAATCCTTTCACATGGCCCTCAAAATTCAAATGCTGAAAGAGGGTAGGTATCTTTCAACTCTGACCACAAGTCTTGTAAAATGGCTCCTCTTTTGGCTCACCCAAGTACAAACAATTTAAAGACTATAAGCCATTTTGACTGGACCAATTTCCTAACAGATTTTGCTCTGTCCTTGCTAGGTCTAAAGTATTGAACTGTACAGAGCAACAAGGAAAAGCTCCTGATTGTAAAATCAACATTATATCACTCAGCTGCAAATCTCTGAATAGTAATAATGTCAAGCAGCTTCTCATGAATTCCAGTCCAGATGGCCTAAGTGAGAAGTATTTTATTACAGAAGCAGTCTCAAGAGGATGTATTAAAGTAGCAAAATGGATCGATAATAGGGAACAACAATCAGAAAGTCCAGAGCGTCAGCTGTACTCCACCCCAAGTACCACTAACTGCCTTCCTCAAGTTGCCAATCTGGAGCTGGCAAAGGATACTGATGACAGTCTACTCTGAAAGATATAGGACCCTTAGCCTTCCTCTCCTTCTTCTCCTCAAAGTAACCCTCTTGCTATTATTATTATTATTATTATTATTATTATTATTATTTCCAATTCTGTATCACCCATAGCTGAAACTCTCTGGAAAGATTACAGCAGTATGTACTGTAGGCATTGGCTACTCACAGTCCATGGATGCTGTTCCAGTCCATCACCCATTAAAGGAAACTGTACAGCTGTTGGTTATTTTTTTCTCATGGGGACAGCTTGTCCATTGGACCAAAGGAATTAAAATCTGGGCATCCAGGGGAAAAAAACAAACCATCTACTTGCTGAGGACTGCTGCTCATGCTCAAGTACCCCTAGCTGGTGCCTCCAAACTGTAGTTCTCTCCTCTGACCTTTGTTTGGTCAAGCCTACAGGAGCGGGAGAGGGGTATGAGAGTTTTAAGATAACAATCATACAGTCACAGTAGTTACTAAAGGGAACAAAAAGGTAAGTCAACAGCTCCTGTAGAAGTACAGAAGCCCTGCATGAATGGATTGGGGAAAAAATAATTGTTATTTATTCTCAGCCCCAAAAAGCAAGGTTGCTTTAATACTTAGGACTATTTCTGTCCTCACATGAAGTATTTCTCAGTGCATTTCCTGCTGAATCCTGTATATTCTAACACAACTGTTCCAACGTTTTAATTGCTGCCAAATTTCTGTCCCCACTCCTAAAACTGTGCCCTCAGCAACAAGCTGGCATGGGCAAACTTTTCCCCAGAGTGGAAATTCAGGAATTGGAAAAGCTTCAAGTGCTTACATTTATATATGCCAAGTTGTTGTTAAAGGCAGAGAAGAATTACTCCTGCGATGTAAGCTAAACCATCACAGAAAATGCCTGAATATGGGCTTACCTATTCTATGAACACAGAATCTTCCCTTGTGTTAAGTATGAGAGAACATGAGTCTCCCAGGACAGACTAGCAGCCTGATAATGACTATGCTGAAGATTGAAGTCCCACAATTCAATCTTTTATCTCTTAATACAATATTAGTAATATATTATTGTTTATTAAATTTATAGTGCACCTTTTTCTTTTTAAAGAACTCAAAGTGGCTGACATCATTCTTCTCCTCCTTCTCTCAACATCCCCACAACAACAACCCTGTAAGGTAGGCTGAGCTGAGAGTCTGTGACTAGCCCAAAGTTCCATGGCTGAGCAGGGACTAGAACCCAGATCACCTGAGTCCCAGTTCCACACTCTTAATCATTACACCACAGTGGCTCTTGGTTTAAAAAGTTAACAGAAGATAAAAAGGAAATTAACTTTTTAAATTCCAGTTAAAAAAGAAATGTTATTCCTAGCCTTTTTAACAACCTGTTTCCTTCTAAAAGTTTCCAACAACATAAATAGCCTTAATTAGAAACAAATATTCACAAATATTTGAGCACCTTTTAGTCAAATCTGATTACTATACTTGGGTAATACTCCTAATTATTTAAAGCAGGTTTTAGCTCACAGCAGGACACAAGATATGGATATAGGCAATAGCAGACACATTTCCCACCATCCTTAGATTCTTCTACCACCGCAAATACAAAATCAATATGTCATTTATATGTGAAAGCAGATGACTCAAAAGTTACACTATGTTTAAAGGTGGTTCAGCCTTATTAAAACTCCTGTGAACATTTTACTACTCTAATCCTGATATATACAGCTGTTGGTTCATAAAACAGCAGGATTAATTATACAAACCACAGTGGCATTGGCATCCCCACAAAATTAGAACCTTACTATTCCTCTGCTAGCTCCCACATTCAACTTCTGCCCTTCACCTTCACATGTCTAGTCTACTATCTATATTCAACTACATATTTGTCACTTTATGGAAGGAGGTTACTGCTGACAGAAAGGTTTAAACGTACCTTAGGAGCAAACAAGCAATGTGATAAATCTGTTCTGGGGAGCACTACTTTATACTACAAATAAACAGATGACCCTTCTCCTGAAATACTCATTTTCTATCTACTAATTTTGTATTTTATATAAATATGAAGGAGTATTCAACCCCAACAGTTCAGAAACTAGTTTATCACTTTAGAGACAACTAAGTCATACTCTTGGAGCAAATACCTAATATTTCTACTGTTACCTTTGGTATCTTTATTCCAAGAAGATTTAAAGGGTAATGGGTACATATTTAACATGGATTAACTAGAGCCTTTTATATATTTTTTTAATTCAGGCATTTCAGTCAATGAACCTCATACCAGTCTGTAATTCTTCTTTGCTTAACTAGCTGTCTTCTCTATAATTATATAAGCACTACAGGAATGAGACTGTTGAAACAGGGTGTTGAAGTACCACAGACTAGTAGCACATGGCCAATTAACATCTGCAGGCAACAGTAGCCATTCAATAGAATACTACTGTCAAAAAGGGGAGCTGAACCAAACAAATGTGAAAGAAGAAACACTAAAATTAAAGAGAACTATTTTAAGAAATGATGCAAAAAAAAAATCAGGCCTATTAAAGACACACACATAATCCACACTCATCTATCCTGCAATCACTTTGCTGCAGCTAAGTGGTTTTGGGTTGCATGGATGAACAGATGCATAGGAACCCCATGTTGGAATAAAGGCAGGATATGACTGCTTCGGGCAGATATAGGAACTGGCTTTCCAAGGAAGTTAGTTATGACTAAAAGTTTTACACTGATCTCAATGGAACTTTTTAAGTATGGCTAACTTTCTGTCAACTAGGATGACGTGATTATATTCCATGGTGACTTTGTACCAGTGCAAAGCAGATCTGCTTGTTCAGGGCAGGACATAAGATTTTCATTTTGTGGAAATGAAAATTTTCATTTGCAGTACCATCTTTCCGCAGAAAAGGAACTCTTGGGCATTGCGAAACCCTCCAAAAATTGTAATGATGTGGGCAAATACCAATCAAGTGAAAAAGACCATCTGATCTACTCAATGGATTGCAGTGTTTTTATACAAACAGCACCAGAGAGCAATAACTCCTATGTGACACAGTTCTCCTGTGAAGGGACTGATATGGTTGTGAGCAAGATGACTGAAGGGCAATTGGTATTGAGTAACCTTGCCTGTACAGCCAGACAAAAAAACAGCCTGAAGTTACCTGTGGCTGTTATCATACACTTGTCCTCAATAAAACTGAAGGCAGTTGACACTACTGTATTCAAAGATCAGTGTCAAATAAATGAACAGAAACTTTGGCAAGGAATGTCCTATGCATTGCCAAGGAACGTGTTTAATTACTTTTTCTGTAAAGTGCCTCATGTATCAATATCAAAGCAAACAATGGAATGAGTTTCACAAAGACTTTGTCTAATTCAAAGAAAGAGCTGAGAAATATTATAGCCCAATACCCAGCACACAAGAGTCAGCTCTCACAAAAAAGAGGAAGCCACAATATATCTGTTTTCAAGTTGATAACATAAACACATTTGTGTTTAACAAGCTGTTTTCTTGCACATAAGCTAAAATAAACATTTTAGAAAAACACAATAAAATGGTTTCACAAAAAATGCATGAGTTTATAAAAACAGCAGAAACTATGAGGTCATATTTAATAGTTTAATTAAAAATTAAACAGCTTAGCAGTTTTGTAATTTAACCAACAACACTACAATCTTACATTCAATAGGACTTATTCCCAGGCTATATGTTTACAGAACTTCAATCTAGCTATTACAGTAGTGTAACAAAAGAAATCAGGTGTACTTTAAGGCAATAAATATATGGGAAAAGAGTATTATACTTGTCCCTGCAGTACATTTAATTCTATAATACATTCAAAAATCAGTAAATAATTTATTTTTTAAAAAATCTAAAACTAGATACCTTAAAGTTCCTGTAAAGAACAAAGGGCTGGATCAGACATTTTATCCACTGCTCCATTTCCTGAATACTTGACAACCCACAGCATGGTACATTAGCTGGTTCAACTGAAATTAACTGCACTTAGAGTGATGCCAACTTGGTCAGTGTGTCTGAACTGTAACGGGCATTCATGCAAACGCTGGTGCTGTAGCTACCTGACCATAAGCCAATATCCTATGGCCACTGCCAGACCATAAGTGCTGCTATGATAGCAAATTAGTCTGCAAGATACACACTCAAAGGTTAAGTATTGGTTCAGTGAGAATTGTCTTGAACTGCGGGTTATTGTTGAAGCATAGGTTAATGTGTCTGAATCCAACCAAGATAACAAGCAAGGGTATCAACTCACAGGTCACAAATCCACAAAAAACGAGTCCTCCTCATGGGTTTGTCCTAGTTAATAAGCCACGAAAGCTAAGCTTACAAAGCAACCCTGCATGGTCATGTTGTTGTTGTTTTTAACCACAAAGTGCTTTCTACTTTGTCATGGCTTCCATCCTCACTGCTCATTCCTTCCACTGTTGACATGTATCCGATCAGTCACTGTGCATGACATTCAATCTCAAAGTACTTCAGTTCCAAAGTCCCTGCCTATGTCACCTGCCTCTTCTTGATTGGTCAATACATAGAGACTAGATGGCTGGAATGGTTGACACTCTTTCCAAAGGACTCTGTTAGCTGCATACCATGACTGTGAAGACCATGATCCTGGGTTCAGATAATGCAACAACCCATGGTGGTACACAGAAACCACAGAATAAACCATTGTTTCTCATTATGGTTTCTAAAGACCAAACTTCAATGCTGAAATCCCAGGACTTCTGTTCAGACTACGCAGTGGACCAACAATGGTCACAAAATCCACCACGGCTTGTCATAGTGTCTAAACCTAGCCAGATTGTTAGGGGAGCTGAGTTCAAATTCATGGTTCAACAACAACACACACTCAACACCTGAGTAGGGGTTATTGTGTTGTCTGAATCTAAGGAGGATCAACTTGCTAATGTACATTCATAATGTGCAAGGATATTAGGTCATAATTATAGGTAGATGAGCTGCATATACAAACATTCAGATGTTACTGGTAACATTTTTCAGACTTTTTACAATTTAGAGAATTAAAAAAGAAATTGGGAATAAGGGTCACTTCCAAATATTGCCCTTTTTAGGCAATATTTAGTGCCTTCCTGGTCACACAGCACTAGATATTATTTAATGTTGAAATATGGGGAAAAAGAAAGGAAGTTTTGAGAGGGATGGCTAATTTTTTTTGATGTTCCCCTTCTACCTTCATTCAATGCAAGCACTGTCAACACAGTTGAACGAAGTTGTACTGCAATGTAATGCAGACTCAGGTCAAAATTACTCATCCTCTCCCACACTTTCCTACCCAACTCCCATGAGAGGGTTCAGCTAGAGGACACCAATTAATGTTACAAAGGGTTTAGAAAGAAACTAATTATAATACTGGAACTTTCTCCTTGAGAGAGCTAGATAACAAAGTTGTCTTTACACCCATTTACAATATCCACCACTTACACACATGAAATATTTCCCTACATAAGCAGATTTCAACTCTAGACATTTAAATTTCTAACTTAAAGCTCTGTTAGCTAAGCTTCAGCAGCAGTCATTCAATTTTTTTTTTAAAAATACACTTAGCTGAAATACATTCTAATGTACATCCTTAGATGTCACTGGAGGGTAACTGTAAAATTAGTAGGACAGCCAAGCTTAGTGTCTATCAAAGTCCTGGCCTTTCTATAGGATCAAGTACCATATATCAAATTTATTCCAGTTGAAAGCTAAGCTGCACCATTCAATTTCAATTCTGTATAATATATATTTAGGAAGGACTAAATCATTTCCTACCAGGTTTTTGAAGAGTGCCGTCAACTCCTTTGTGAATACAGCAAATTTTAAAAAAGCAGTTCCTAAATCTGGATCATCCCTACAGACGCAGTTTCCGCCAAATTTCTCCAAAGCTTGAGTGTACTGTTCTTCATTTTCCACATGAGCTTCAAAGAGAACAAATGCTATGTTAATTCCATAAGCTAGCAATGGTACCCCATGAAATAAAAGGAGCTCCCTCTTGGTAATTTTGCAAAGGCAGTGATTTGACTACATTCATTTAAAATATTTAAAATAATTTCTAACATCCAAAGCTATATACCAGACCAAGAGTGGGCAACTTGTCTAGGGTTGATGGCAGTTGTAATCCAACATCTAGAAGAACACAAGTTATCTACCACTGATACAAACAATCAACAATGCATAGTAGACTAGAAGAAGATAATCTGAAAAGAAAAATGAGTACACTGAGATACCACAATATTCATGAAAACCTAAACATTTTCCAAATGAATAACTCAGACATATAAGCACTCAATCACTATTCTTTAGTTACTTATTTTTTTTTTAAAAAAACCCCTTCCTCTAAATCTTATCACATTTAACTAATTAAAAATACTGGTTGATTTATAATTATTGGGTTCCGTCTTTTCAAAAGCTTTTATTTAAGAAATGGTTGATTATACATTTTTCAGAACAAGATGACTACCTCAACACATTCTTTTAAACAGAGGATAAGAAAATACTCCTCTCTCCCTTAGCATATCCAGCACTCTCTTCCAGGCATTGTAATTTATATACAGAAGTCAAATGCCCGTACCCTTTCAACAAAAGCATCGCCATTCATTTCAGTGGAACTGTCACTCTGGACCAAGACAAACAAAGAAGCTTGTACACGCAAGTACTTCAGTGAGCATTTCAGGCATATTGATCAGTGCTATGAATATCCAGACAGACTTTAGCTGACAAAAGTAAACAAGCACAGAACATAGGATATAATCCCACAGTTTGTACCCTTGATGGTCATAAGCCCCCAAATGCAGAGACTTACTAGTATTCTATACAGGGTGAGAGGAGCAGCTGAATTGATCTTTGCCTCCCTGTACTCATGCTATGCATGTGTGCTAGACTGGCTTTTTGCCCATCTAGTGAAAGTGTTTTGGAAGGGGAGGGAAGGAGGCTGAGGAGCCTGCAGGATAACTCATACCCTGGCTTCTCCAGAATCCCCCTTCCACCTTCCCAGAAATGCATCCTTTTACTCCTCTCCAAAGTTGCATTCCCAGCCTCAGAAACAGTTCCCAGATGGTACAGTTCATAACATGCTGGCTAAGAGGCACAGAAGAGTTCAGAACTCTGATCCCCAGCTCCAAAGTCATCTTTAGACTCAGATCTGAGAATCCAAAATATTCTATGGCCCCTCATAAACTGTCTAGAGGCTATAGGACTGGTGCCTAAAGAAATACAATACAGAAAAAAGGAAAAGGAAACACAAACCACACAAGGAAATGAATAATGCCAGTCCCAAAACAGATAAGACCATAGAGACATATTACACTATACAAGTTTCCAAATAAGTGCTTCTATAATCCTAAGGATATTAACTATTCCAAGGATGGCCACCAAACATAAAAATACAACAGTTATTACACAGTTCATAATTGTTTTGCAATTAACAGGGTCCCAATGCAGGATATCAGTGGGCTGTTCATATTTCATGTTTCTACTGGGAATCACCTGTGTCTGACTTCTATTTCTATTATAAGGGGCTACCTTTTTCCAAATAAAAGCTGTCAGGTGAAGCACACTTGTTTAAACACATCACATGGAGTTTGGCCCCAAGAAATTCAATGTAATTTATACAGACTCAATTCAGAGGAGCCTTGTAATAACCAAGAAACATGCCATTGGCTTCTGCACCTCATCTCTTCATCTCACAAGCCAATTCCTACCTCTTTTATCAAGTTTCCTCTAAGCTGGACTTGCTACGATATCCAAACAGAAGAAAACTATTTTTAACACTTGTTTCCAAACCATGGTTTGAAATAATGGGTTGAAAGCAGATTGCAAAGGCTAATTTGGAGATATTCCTGATTAAGCCTAACCATAACTTGATATGGAAAACTATGGAAATGCAGACAGCTTCTGACACAGACCCTCCAAACCATGACTCGGAGTACTGCAACATGACATCTGACTTTTCTAGTTTTGTCTGGCAGCTGTCAGTACTTTTTACTCTCCCCAGCAGAGGTTTCCCAATGTCTCTGGCAGTGCTCCTTCCCAGTAGTGCCCTTTACCTGGCACATGGACTACTACAGCAGTGGAAGTGAGAGTGGCTGATTCATCTTTGTATGCATGCCAACCTTCCCCTCACCTACCAGCCACCTTTCCTCACTTGGGCTTATTGACAAGTTCAAGGCCAGAAGGATTGTTTGCAGGGAAGAACTGAGGGCCAGTGAAACACTGAAGCATTCCTCTCCTGCCCACTACTGCATCCCAACCCATACAAACAGTCCCTCTACACATATTCACGTTAGGGTGAAGCAAATGCAGAGTTGCCAGTCTTATGGCTGCTTCATCATATAACGTTTCTCAATTTTTTTGAACTCAGAGCTTCCTTCCAAATTTAACCTTCTTGGCCTGCTGAATCCCCTAACCCAACAGCCACCATCTCTCCAGCAAATAATTGAGGGTAACCATTAGTGGGGAATCATCGAGATGGCGGCCAGTGATAAGCGGGGTCCCCCAGGGCTCTGTCCTGGGGCCGATCCTGTTTAATCTTTTCATCAATATTTCATCAATATTTTGAACTAGTCAGATGTCTACCGCCATGTGTACAGACTGCTGGGCTAGATGGATCTTTGGTCTGATCCAGCATGGCTTTTCTTATGTTCTTCTTATGTCCAATCCTAGTTCTATCCAGAAATTATAGTAACTGTAGCACTTCCCATGTAGGCTTCAGGTACCCCAGGATCACCTGAATCCTTTGGGTAAGTCATTTGGCTACACTGCACTCCAAAAACATAAGGAAGGATAACTCCCAAAACTGGACAACAACAGAATTCTATTAATGAATTCCCTAAAACGAAGTTCAGGAATTTCAAAAAACAATGGCTCAACTTTATGCCTGTGCTGTAAAATTACTGCTACAAATGTGTCTGCAATAATTTAATGCACACAGAATACTATCTGCTGGAAAACAGTCGTTTCCAAATTTCAGCCTTGTGATCACATTCTTCTTGACTTTGCATTTAAAGCTAAACTGTTGCTTAATGCGACTTTAATGATGCACTCTACCCCTTCTCTCCTCGTCCAGCATCACCACAAGGAAAAGCTAAGGCTTTGCTTCTGTTTCAAGTAACCATTGTTTACTGTTGTGCTTAACTATGGTTTACGGCATCAAGCTAACTTGATCAAGCTACACAGTCGGAAGTCATTTGCTTCCCTAAACCATAGTTAAGGTTAAATAGAGTATGTATGAGTTTAGAACTGAACTGTGATTAGCTGAAAACAGACAGGAAAATAACTAGTTTCATCCTTTCAACTGGACTGGAGAAGGGGAAAAGAAGTTCTTAATTTCCAAGTTAATTCATTTAATGCTAAAGGCAAGCTTAGCATTACTGTCATAAGCATTTCTCTCCCTCACTCTTCTTCTCCAGCAGATTTAGATGAGACTTTAGAAGCAAAATCCTTTTATTTTTAGAGCATAACAGGTTACACAATGGTACAAATTAAAGCATTGTCATTCATTTATTTAGCATTTTTATATACCATCTCATAGCCACACAGCTCTCTAGATGGTTTACATAATAAATTAACTTTGAGATGTGGGAAAAGCATCTGTCCATGTGCAGATGTGGCTGCAAAGTCATCTGCCCCAATACCCTCTGCCTCCTCCTTGGACCTGGATGACTCTATCTGAGCTGATTCTAATAGGCAAGAGGTGGCCCCTGCTCTCCACAGGAAAAATCACCCCCACCCCCCGCTCCTTCCAGAGCCATTTCTTCTTCCTTCCAGGCATTGGCCACCCATGTGCAAATGCAAAAACTTCTCTTGCAAACCCCCATTAAACCACCTTTTTCAATTTCTGCTTTATGAGAGAAACATCTGTTAAGCATAGTTTGTTCATATGCAGTTGGAAACCATGATTAACACTGGGAAGGAATAACATTCCAGAAAGAGAATGAGGGAGCAAGTCCTCATTCATGACCTTCCTGTGTGCAAACCAGTGCTTTTTTTGTAATAAACCAGTGCTTTTTTTTCAATCACTGTACACACCCACACACATCAGTTGTGTAATGAAACATAACGGTCGCCACCCGCAATAAGCACTCAGCGCACGACCACATGACCAATCACAAGCCAAGCAGCGCCATCACAACCAGTGTGGACAAAGCACGCACGCATCGGATTCAACACACAAGCAGCCCGCATGCACTGTTTTAATGATTTTGCCGCTGACCTGCTACGCTCATCAGGGCGATCCAAATCCACATGGACCAAACATCAAATTTTCAAAAGTTACTTTTAAAACTTAGAAAATCTGTCAAAAAAAGGTGCCAGAACTCTGTTCCTGCGCATTCTATGACAAAAAAAAGCACTGATGCAAACTATGGTTTACTAGAATTCAGCATGACATCAGCACCACTCAGATAACCATAGAAAATGATCAAGAATGTTTTTATATTCTAATACATGATTTGAAGCATATAGTAAGTAGATTATACATACCCAAACCAGAAATATTTATGGCTTTTACAGATTTCTTCATTTTATAAAGAACAGTTCGGTCAACATCCAGTGCCTAAAAATAAAAAAGAATGCTCAGGTCATATTTAATATTTATAAATTATATATAAGCTAATTTAAACTGTTAAACTGGGCGTTATTCTCATATAACCCCAGTTCTCTGTCAGCTCCACTGGCTTCTGATTGAAGTCCGGGCCCAATTCAAGGTGTTGGTTATGACCTATAAAGCCCTAAATGGCTTGGGACCTGGATATCTAAAGGAACACTTGCGCCCATATATGCCCTCCCGCACCTTGAGATCAGCAACGGATGCCCTTCTCCGGGAACCCTCCGTGAAGGATATCAGGAGGGAGAGTACCCGGAGGAGGGCCTTCCCTGTTGTGGCGCCCCATCTATGGAATGCGCTCCCCAGGGAGGTCCGCCTGGCGCCGTCGTTATTTGTTTTTCGGCGCCAGGCTAAGACCTTTTTATTTAAAACTTATTTTAATTGCTAAATTATTGAATTAATTAGGATTTTAAAATTAGCCGAGAATGCACCGGGGGTTTTTAAATGTTTTTTCTTTTAAATTATTGTATTATTATTATTTATGTATGTTTTTATGTATTTTTTGTGAGCCGCCCCGAGGCTTTGTTGCAATGGGGGCGGCATAGAAATGTTTTAAATAAATAAATAAAAAGAAAACATGAAAAAATCTACAGGATTATGTAAAATATTTTAATGAAAATTTTCATTAAAGTATCCAGTTAAAATACTCCATATTAATTCTATTCTCTTAAACAAGGGAGTTTTTTACAATATCTTGAATGCTGTCAATACTACACAGCAGATTTCTTAAAATTATTAATATAAGATTAATAGCTCAAACATCAACAGCATCATTAGTATTCCTAAGATACTAGGCTTAATGTTGAAATTTCCATGGATTTCCATGCTGTTGATGTACCTAATCAGATCTTTGAATTAATAAGCTGCAATAACAACAGGATTTCATTTGGTTTTGTAGTTATTTGCGTTTTTTTATTAGCATACCTAACCATATTAACTTGCTGCCTGCTGTGATCCAACTAAGTAGATGCAGCTTTCAACAATGCCCTGTTTTGCACCCGGACAACATTGAAATTATATTCATGAGCTTCCAAGAGCATCATGAACACCCTCTCAAAGAAACAAAAAGATGCCATAATAATCTTGCCTCTAAGCATAAATAGTAAAATTAAACAAACCCGCAATGGTTGTAGAGAGCAAAGTACATAGATTCCAATAGTAAGGTGCAAATGAGCAGGCAATACAGTATTTTAATTAATAAAATACATACACTTTTTCATCTGGTGTGGAAAGCAGGCAAACTACATGCAAGATGCACCACAAACAAATGGCAATATTGTGTCCACAAAGGTTGTTTGGTGTGTGTCAGGAAACGCTCTTAACATAGGATGAAGTGTCTTTTGAGGTAACCAAAAATTTGCTTAGGCATTCTATTTTCTTCATCGCCTATGCAAGTTACTATTATTCTTTTGGAAAAACAGATGCTTACTGAAATACAGAAAAATTTACTTGCAAGTCCCTCAGCTGATATCTTCTATGACTGCTAATCTTTAAATATGCATGAAAAACCAAACCAAAACAAACAACCACACTCGCAAGAATATGACAACATACACAAATAGTATATGTACAATGTGTATACTCAAACTCAAAATACGGTGGAAAACATCATAATGTGTATGTGCTCAACTGTTTGGGATAAATCTGTATTAACAACCCAGCGATGATACTCTAAGCTCATTCTCATATATTTACTATACAGAACATCCTTGTGCGTAACACAATTCATGTCAAACTGTCATGGATGACAGTAGCATACATGTTCTGTTTTGTTCTTCCCAGGATGCATTAAGCATTTAAATCATGCTGAATCCCTGCTGGTTATGTATTTCTGTATACTGAATAATTAACTTATTATAAAACAAAGTTACCCCCCCACAGACACAGAAAAAGAGAGAGAAAGGAAAACATATTTTATAAGGTAGCAGTGTAAAATATGATTTGAATTTCCCGTTCTCTGTTGTAAACTAAAATAAACAAATAAGCTAAAAATTAAATGGATATCCAGGATAGTTTCCTCTGGTTATTTTAGTGGAATGCTTTCTTTGGTGGCACTAGAGTAACTGAACGGTGAATAAGTAAAGCTGTTAAAGGCCTTAATGGCACTTGCTTTTTGTGTTTCTCTGCTCTTGTGTGAAGTGCATCCCCCTTTAGGACTTCCTATGGCCTTGTCTTCCTTTCATCATCTGCACATCATTTTCAGAAAAGTTCACTTATCTCATTCTCAGGTTTATTTCTGAAAGCGTATGGATGCTTCACTTTTACGCTAATAAAAATATGACAAAATGCTTTTAGTTTTTTTCTTCTTCACTATACACTCCATCTGTCTGTTTTGTTCTCCAGCAAGTACCAGAAGCAATGATTTTTTAAAATGGCTTCTGATGTTACCCCTTCCAGCACAGCCATGTTGACTGATGCACCAGGTCTTTCTAACCAGAAGGAAGATGGATACATAACTGGGACAGCATCTGATGACATGAAGTGCAATCAATGAAAACATATGCCATAGTACATTTCTGTTTTAAGATGCTTCAAAGTCTCTTTGTTGCTCTTTGCTACAACAGACTAAAACAGACTACCTGGCATTTGCTTCATCTTTCCCATTGATTTTTCTTGTTCTGAATGATCAAAAATCAGATCATGCTTTACTGGATGTTACAGCAATTGGGTTATGTTGTTTCTTAATGCAGTTAACACTGTCTATACCTACTTTAAGCAGATCTGTCATACTTTCCACCCATATACAGTCTAGAGAACCCAGCACTTCCGTCTTGTAGAAATATCATTGTCTTCCCCTTCCCAAAATAAAACAGTACTTTCAGTTAGTATATTAAATAAAGACTGGACAGGAAAATCAGTTTAGACTGCAATCCTATACACTTAACTGGGTTTAAGTTCCATTAAACTCAGTAGGACTTCTGAATATGAATACAAGGGATAGCACTACACAGTAAGACCTATTTGGCACTTCATACTCATTGGAAGATCTCTATGGAAAATTTGTGTCTTCAAGACAGCATTTGTTTAATACTGCAGATGATTACAGAGATGCAATTATTCTTAAAGCAGTGATTTCAAAAGCAAGGTAAAATTTAGTATAATGATCAATGGTGGACACACTATTTGGGCTTGATTTGGAGTAAGACTTTGCAAACCAAGCTATTCCCCACTCCTCAAAATAATCAGCATCCCAGATTCCCAAAACTTTAAAAAAGTGGCTGTTCAGTGAATTTTAATCCTTAATGTGGATATTCAAAGGCCTTGGAAAGTAAATGTCCCAGAGTTTCCTGCAGCTGAGATACTGTTGTGCATGCTCATGATAATACTGCCAGGAAAAGGGTCCCAGAAAATCTAATATCCCAGGACCCCTGTCACTCAAAGGAACTGAAAGGAACAGAGGTGTGCTTGATTACATGCTAAGCAGCAGAAGAACATCTGGAAAAACATCATGTAGCCAAGTGCCACGATCCAGACAAACTCCAAATTCAAGACAGTAAGTATGAAATTTGATGGCATCATTATTTCTCCTGCACAAAAAGGAGCACTAGTCATCTAATTCAAAGCCCCAATTAGTGTTAAATGTCCTACCAGCACCCTGAAGAAGCAATGATTAATAAAGAGTGTGACACTGTGGACTATCTAGTCATCTATAAGTATGATGTATTTCAAAATGCCTGCCTTAGATTTTTCCACCCTCCATTAATGAGTAAAACTTTGATACTTCCAAATACTTAAAATCTCCTAGGTGCATTATAAAGTGGTCATACTGAACAATCACACTTTAAAATACTTTAGAAGTTTATCTATTCTGAGAATACACTTCTAAAAACCCATGCTCCTAAGGAAAATTGCTCCCCTGAGCTTTGCCCTCTTTCTGTTATGCAGTCTACATGCAGGGTGTGACTTACACACCGGAAAACAGATCAGGACAACAAATCAGAACATTATACTATGTGTTTAAATGATTAACTTGATATATTTTTACAACTCCCAGAGTAACCATATGTGTTGCATATTTGGGGTTCTTACATCTGTTAGACTTTAAAAAATCCAGAAACTAAGCAGTATCAATTGGCACAGGTGTAGCCACTTATTTTTAGCTGCCAATTAAGTGACATTTCAGGTTGATGGTGTTCCTGAAAGCAGTTCTGGTTAATTGGTCATAATTAGATGTTATAGTCTCCACAGTAACCTTAGCTCTGGCACATGCTACGAAGATAGTTTAAGTTATTAACTGAGCAGGATATTCCAAGCATAAAGGCCTTGAAACTCTAAAGTAGCAAGCATATCTTAGAAACGAGGGATTGATAATTTCATTTCATTATCTGTAGGTAGCACCCATTAAATGCAATAGGGCTTTTTTTTCTGAGTAGAGGTACACTAGGTTGCAAAATCTGTTATTCTGAATATGCCAAGTACAGTCTGAGCCTCTTGCCTTCATGGTCTACAGCATTCCTAGATCTAGGCCACTAGCACAGTATGTGCTCCAGTTCCAACTTATCTCCCCAGTCCTCATTCTGAATCTAGTGCCACAATAGCATTGCTGCTTCTGACAGTTCTCATAGCAGCTGTGTGCCTCATCAACATTATAATGTGTGATCTGCATGACCCAATATAATATGGCTGCCATTTCCACAAGGTCAAGCCATGTACAGTACCATTTGTAACCAGAATCATACTGGAGAATGTAATTACCACTTAAGTCACTTCAAGGGATGGGCAGCGCTGATAAGAGGGAAAATCTGCCTGACCCACAACAAGCCCAGTTGCAATTATTATCACTGTGTTGCTGGGAATTGACACAAATAAATGTTCATCACAACAGAGCAATTTTTACTGATCAGACTCAAGACTGAATCTCTTTCTTCACTAAGTCAAACATTCATGAACACCAAGCACTGTGGTAGTTCGGCAGTGCTACAGCTTGTGGTACAAGCCTCCAGGCAGAT